AGTGGAGTCACAGAACTGGAACTCAGCCCGTACTAAGCAAAGGACCCCTGCAACATCCTCACACTGATCACCCTTTTTTTTTTTGTTTTGTTTTTATTTGTTTGTTTGTTTTTGGTGAGGCAGTTGGGGTTAAGTGACTTGCCCAGAGCCACACAGCTAGTGAGTGTTACGTATCTGAGGCCGGATTTGAATTCAAGTCCTCCTGACTCCAAGGCGGATGCTCTGTCCACTGCACCACCTAGGTGCCCCTGATCAGCCTTTTCTTGAGGACAAACCCATCCTTTCTAGAGGCAGCCTGGCCCCCTTCTAGACAGTGCTAGTCATCAGGAGGAGTTTCCTGACCTAAGCCTAAATTACTCTTGGCAGTTTCCCCTCATTGCTCCCAGTTCTGCCCTCTGAGGCCAAGCCGAACAAAGGACAGGCCTTGTGTCCCATTGGTGCTTCCCTCCTCTGGGCCAAGGAAGCCTTCTCCCTAGAATTTTGATTCAAAGAAAATAACTTAGTTTTCCACGTTGACTCTGATAGAATCCAGAGTAGTGATAGCTTAAATTAAAGAGCTCTTTATAATGAGTGTTTCAGAGAAATTCATTCCTGCAGCCCTCAGAGTAAGGATCATGTACCAGACGAGTTGAGAGCTTGTCACTTGAGAATGTACCTGCCAGGTGTAGCGTGGAGAGGGCGATTACAGCTTGGATTCTGACACATAACAGCCCCCCGGGCCATCTGGTATAAATGCTGTGTCTTGGGTACATCCCTGAGGAAAAGTAGATGAGAAGTTTTTTTTCAATAGATTTTTTATCGATACTTTTTTGTCTTTATATTGCCTACATTTCCCTGTGCTCCCTTCTTCCCCCTGACTGGAAAGTCATCCCTCATAACAGGTTATAAAAAAAAGCTCAGCAAATCCAACACATCGAAGAAGTCTGCCATCATATGTAGTACTGCCCCCCCGTGGACCCCTACTTCAGCAAAGGGAATGGGGAGCGGAGTTTTTGACTTGTCACTTCTTTAGGGCCCAGTTTGGTCATTGTAATTTCTCAATGTTGAGTTTCAGGGGTGTTTTTTGTTCCATTTACATTTTAATGTAAATATTGTTTGTGTGTTTCTGCATGCTTCATTTCATCTCAGTTCATGTAATCCTTTTCCGTATAATTCATCCTGTTGGTCTTACAGCAAAGTATTCCATTGAATTCGTGTATTGCAATTTGTTTTATCCTTCTCCAAACCATGTATATGTTTCCATTTCTTTGCAAAACAAAAAGTGCCGCTAAAATAGTTTTGGTGAGTTTTTGTTGTTGTCATCCTTGGTTATATGTCTAGCAGTGAAATCTGGTCATTTTATTTGTGTGATCCCAAATTGCCTTTCAGCGTTCACAGCCCCTCCAGCGTTGATTTCCTAAAGATGTATGGATTGTTCCAACAAGATTGATTTCAATTGAAAAAGATAACACATAATTTAGTGAGTAACTAAGGTGCCACTTATTAACAATAAGAAGTTTTTGGGGGCAGCTAGATGGCGCGGTGGATAGAATACCAGCCCTGGATTCAGGAAGACCCGAGTTCAAATCTGGCCTCAGACACTTGACACTTAACTAGCTGTGTGACCATAGGCAAGTCACTTCACCCCATTGCCTCACAAAAAAAAAAGTTTTTGTAACTTAGATTATCTTCCTCTCAAGGTGTTTCTTGAACCAAAGGGTAATGAAGAAATGAAAAATGCATTTAGACTGGTCATATCTATACATAAATAAATGTTCACAGCTTATTCTGCAAAAGTGAATTTGGCCGCAGGTGTCACTGAGTCTTGTTGAGATGAAACTCGTCTGGATTCTGGCTCTGGGTGTGCATGACTTTGTTCAAAAGAAATAGGACAGTCAGAAAAGGAATTGTGTGGAATTGCGTGTGTTAAAGGAGGACTTGACATAAGGAAACACAGAGCACGTAAATGCAGGGGGAAGCACTGGGGTGATTCTGCCATTGGCACATACTGTAAACCCCCAGGAGAGAGAGGAGCTGAGTGAGCTTGGAGGACGGATGGCTCTCAAGCCTGGCAGAGGCCGGAGATGGGAGGGCTGGTGGTGTTGATCCACACATCTGCTGGCACCCTCTGCCAATGCTGAGCAGCTAACAAGAACTCCCCAACTTGGAGATGGCAGAAGTTCCATGCTGCCGCTGATGCTCACTAACAGGATTTGGTGGAGGGTGGCAGGGGCAGGTCTTTGGCAGGAGTGCTACAGTCTCATAAAGGTCAGCGACAAAGAAGAAGCTGGGCAGAGTTGGACGTGCATGCTAACATTTGGAAGAATGGGTTGCAGAGGGTTCAGAGGCAGGACAGGTACCATCCTGTGGACTAAAGATTTCTACCTGAAGTCAGCCCAGGAGGGGTGAGAAATTGAGAATTGGTCAGGCATCAATGGCATGAGATTGGGGAATGGATGGATCCCAAACCTCGTAGAGGCAGGAGATGGGAGGGCTGGTGGCGTTACCAAATGATTGTTTTGAGCCCGAAGAAAAGCAGAAATGATTCGTCCCTCTGGGAGCTCACGTTCTAATGAGGGAGAAGCGATACAAGCTACACCCGATGTGAGTGAGAGGTGATCTCAGAAGCAGGGCATGAGCAAAGGCCTCTTGCAGAAGGTGGGACTAGAGCCTTGAAGGAAGTTGAGGGAGAGCATTCCAGGCCTGGGGGCAGCCCAGAGCTGAGAGGGGAGGAGGCCCGGGGTCACTGGACCAAAGAATACAAGATGGGGAGTCAGGCGTTAAGAAGACTGTAAAAAGGCAGGAAGGGGCCAGGTCGCGAATGCCGAACAGGATTTTATGGTTGATCTCGGGGGTAAAAGGAAGACACCGTAGTTTATTCAGCAGAGGAGTGGCCTACACTTCACAATAGAATTTGGAAGATACAAAGGGAACCGATTCCAGGTGGAAAGAAAAACAGTTGTCTGAAGAGACTGATGTGGAGGAAACTCACCAGTTGACTTGGATTTTAAAAAGGAATACAGTCCAATCAGTAATCAGTATTAAGCTTCTACTATGGAAGGTGAACATAAAATGTGCTGCCCTATGAGACCAGAGGTCAAGCTCAGAAGAAGCTGAGGCTGCCAAGGATATGAAGGACATTAAAAAGGTTTTTTAAAGCCTCACTGGGGGATCCAGGAATGGACCAGTCAGTTAGTGCTTGGGTTGGGTAGGACAAAGGGCAGCTCTGTCTTCTCTGCCAAGAAAGATGAGCTCTGCACTGGAAATGATAGAACCAAAAAATGGCTGATGAGAAGTTTGTACTCACGTAAGGAAGCAATCAAAGGGCCCCTAGGTACCCCTGATGGATGAAGCCACTTGGCCCGGACAGGAAGAAGCTAGCATTTTAGTGCTCTCAGAGTCACCTACCGGTTTACATGTTTTCTCATCCGACAGACTGGGGTGCTCAGAGGACTGGCCAAGGTGGTTCCTGGGTCACTGTCAGTGACCTTTGAGAGACCAGGGAAAATGTTGGAAGAGGAAACACCCATTTTCAAAAAAGGGAAGAGAACAGAGTCAGTAATGTATAGATCAGGGAGCCTAAAGTCGGAACGGGTCATTAAAGAGATGGTCAGCAAATATCTAGAGAGGAGTGGTTATTACAAAGGGCCAGTGTGGTGTCCTCAAGTACGGTTCTTGTCTTTTTGGAGATCACTAACATAACCCTCTCAAGTCTATTAAAGTAGGTCGGAGAAAAGCAGTGGAGTCCACTTAGATTTTTTATGATGAGCCTGAGAAACAACAACAAATATGAATGTTTCCACGTACAAAGAACAGGACTGTATGTGCAACTGTGAATATTACGTAGAGCTTGTTCATAAAGCGTACTGAATTGAACACACATACAAATGCTGCTCTGCTGCTCCATGTTCCCTTCCATTCCCATCTGTCCATTTTTAAATGTTTAACTGGTGGAGTTTTTCCTCCCTTTTTTGGGCATTATCACCACCTCACAACTCCCCTCCAAAGCTCTTTACTTCCTTCCTTCTCCCCACCCCCCAGGTAAAAGCTCTCCATTGTAATAAATCAACAGACATGGCCAAGCAAAACAAATCTCCACACCAGGCATACTTGAAAGCACGTCTCATATACCCGCTGTCCACTGCCTCGCTTGCTTTTCTCCTGGGCTGGTGACTGGTCATTGCATCAGTCAGGGTCCTTTGGTCATTCCAAGCTGTTCTCCTTTACAGTGTGGCAGTCACTGCAGAGATCGCTCTCTGGGTTCTGCTCCCTTCCCTCTGCATCAGTTCATCTAAATCTTCCCAGGTGCCTCTGGATCTGTCCCTAGTGTCATTTCTTACAGCACAAGAATACACCGTGATTCCACAACTCCAGAACTGATGGGCACCCTTTTGGGTTCCAGGGTATGCAAGCTTAGTGACTTTGGGTGTCTGGTTCTGAATCTTTTGGTGCTTCTGGATCTCCCACGAAATCACCACATGATCACTTGTGAGGCATCTTGGCGCTAGGTCTCTTCATTCAGAAGAGGGAAAAGGGCTGGCATAAAGCAAAAGCCTCCAGAGTCCCGTCTCTACTTACCTCTTGAGAGCCCTCAACTTCCTTGTGCATCTAGAGACTGCTTTTCACTCACTCTACAGGTAGGATGGTTATGCAGCTAATGTATGTAGGAACCCCTAACTGTGTGTTAGGTAGATATTCCTCTGCTATTCTTATCTGCCGAGCCTTCACAGATTTAAAGCAGGAAGGGGCCTACTCTGGCCTTCTCATAGAAGGAAAAGGAGTCTCAGTGAGGCAGGATTTGAACCCAGGTCCTCTTGAGTCCAAATCCAGTGTTCTTTGCCCTATGCTATAACCGCCTCCTGAATGACATGTATTTAACCAGATTACATATTTAAGAGGGCTTTGCAAACCCTAAAGGGCCATGGAAATACCTGTTTTTATCGCATGAAATAACAAAGTCAGTGACACTGTTGAAAATGAATAAGGAAAATGGCATAAGGTCTCAAATCAATCCAACAGCCTCTATTTCAGAACATGGTTTATTATTGATGGGAGGAGACATAAGCCAAGAGGACATTTTTCCTGTTACCCAGAATGTCGCCCCTTGTCTTCCAGTCTGTTTATTAAATGACATCCTATGACTATTTATGCTAAATTCCCATTCTCAAGCATTTCAGGGTCAGTATGAGCGCTGGGTGAATGATGGCACCCTCGTGCCCTCTCAGTTACTGTTCCGAGTGGGGCTCTTGCCAGTGCTGCCCCCCTTGGGCAGCCGGCTGGCACTGGGCTGCCTGGGCATCCGCTGGCTTGATCCTTCTCGGCCACCACGCTCCCCCAGTACGGCTGCCCCACTGCTCCTGTTTCTCCCTGAGGGGATACAAGACGTTAACTGTTAGGGCCTCGATGTGGGTTCTTACTGCAGTCCGTCCCCCCCAACCTACACGTGTTCCTTGAACACCCCCAAAATGCAGAGACATTTTCACATAAGCCATCCGCTGAGGCAGGGCTGTCATCAGAAGGGTGACAGGAGCCCGCTGCAATGAAATCACAGGAACACAAGCATCTGAGAAGCAGCCAGGGAAGCATTTCCAAGAGCCAGAGACTTGTAGGTTCAAGTTGGGGGGGGGCGAGCACAAGCCCTTCCCCAAGAACGCAGGCTAACATGCTTGCTGACAAGCAAGGCCAGATGTTCGAGCTGCACCCGGGAGAGACGGAGTGTTTTTGTGGTGGAAACGCCAACATCGTCCCCGAGTAGATGGCTCGGGCCAGTCCCACCAGCGCCCCATCTCTCCAGGCGCCTGCCCTCCTTCCCCTTCCCACCCAGGCCACAAAAACACTCTCTCCAGTTAGTCATGCACTTGCTTACTCACAACAGCAGGAAAAACAGGACCGCTCAGTCCATCCTGCTGGGGTCAGGCCTAGATGATACTACAATCCACCTACCAAATAGTCTGCTAAGCTAACTGGAAGAGTAGGGTTTTAAGGGGGAGGAGAACTAGCTTCTGCTCCCACACTGGCCTGCATCATTAATCCCCTCAACATCAATAGATTACCTGAAGACTGATTGGGAGCTCACTACTTCTACAGGCTACCTGTTCCATCTGGGGGCAGCTCTGGTTATCACAAGTTATGTTCACTAAGATTGTATGATTTATCGTAATTGGGAAGATTAGAAGATGGAGGGGTCCTCAGCGGACATCTAATTTGATAGCAGTATGTACAAAAAGGATGTGGCTTGCTCCAAGATGACAGCTGACACCATCACTTGTTAGCCTGTTGGGATATTTCTCCTGCATAATTCCATTTTGTTTGATAACTCCTAAATGACCCTGTGTACTAGCGAGCACCTTGTTTCTCCAGCTCAGACTCCTAAGGCCACCTTTGCCTAGCAAGCCCACTTAGCACAGGCAGATTCAGCTGGAGTCCTTCCTCAGAAGACCTCAGCCCTCTTCTGACTTCCAGGGATTTCTTGCTCCTCCTCTTCCTCCCCAACCCAGGCCTCTAGTTAACAACAGGCCCCAGTGCCATAGGCCACGTGGAACATTCTCTCCATGAAAGCCCCTGATTCTGGCTGCAAACAAGAGTCGCCTCCAGCCGTCTCTGAAGGATTGATCCGCACGTCTACCTGGGGGACAGACTTCAGAGCTGGCCAGGTACTCGGAGGCCATCCCGACCAGTTCCATTATATGCAGGAGGAAACTGAAGCCCAGATGGGTTCCAGAGTTCATGTGGGGAGTTAAAAGAGAGAATTCAGGATTCGAACCCAGGTCTCTTCAGATTCTGATGTGAGCTTGAAGATCACCTCCTGAATGATCAATGCCCTCAAATCTGATTCTGATTCTAAATCAGCTGCCGACGTCACTCATGGTGCTGGGGCTACTTTTTTCCTCCAATTTAAAAAAAATGTGAGTCAGTGGCGGCGAGGTCCTTGAGCGACCACAGATATGGGTGTTAAGGTTTGAGGAAAGCATTTTACGAAGTGCTTCCTTTACAACTCAAAGCCCTCTTGGGAGGGAGGTGCTATTATCATCTCCATTTTACAGGTGAGGAAACTGAGGCAGACACAGGTGGAGTGACTTGTCCAGGTGAGGAAACTAGTGTCTTGAGGCTGGATTTGAACTTGATTCTTCCTGACTCTGTGGCGCCCCCTAGCTGCCGCCAAAGTTTAGAATCTTTTACCGGGTACTGAATCCAGGCTTCCTATTAGAATGTGTGCTTGCTTCCTTTTCACGTGGTGTCCCTCCCGTGCCTAACCTAGAGCCTGAATCACAGCAGGTGCTTCATAAATGCTTGCGTGACTGCCTGGGAGGCACTTCTGGTCCAAGAGAAGGTCAGCTCCCTGAGGGCAGGTCACTTTTCACTTGCTATCATGCCCAGTGTAGTTGATCAGTCATGTCGACGACTTCTCTTCATGACTTCATTTGGGGTTTTCTAGACACTGGAGTGGTTTGTCATTTCCTTCTCCAGCTCATTTTACAGATGAGGAAATAGAGGCATCGTTTCCCTTGGGCCCCAATTTCCTCATCTATTAAATGGGCGGGCTGGCCCAGGGGGCCCCTAAGGCCTTGCAACCTTAAATCTATGAACCTGTGGAAGTCATTCCGGCCACACACGCAGGACGGGCTGCAGGCAGGGAGGCTGGTCAGAAAGCTGCCGTGAGGCTCCAGGCTAGAGGCATTGAGAGCTGAACCAGGGGTGCACGAGGCCCTTTTCTTCCAATTCACAGCTAAACTCTGGAAAGGAGTTTTCCGTTTGGCTTAGAAAGGCAGCAGGATCTGGTGGGAAGAGGCCTGGAGATGGAGTGAGTGAGAAGTGCTGGGTTGAGGGCTGCCTCCCCACTTAAGCTCTCTCGATCTCTTTCTCTGTCAGACACTTTATGGCTCAGAGGTTGGGTGATTCCACCCAGTCTGGGCACTTATGCCACCAGCCTTGAGGGCCCTCAAGGGCTGCTGGGGCCCGAGACAGCATCCCCCTGCAGCCACGCTGGTGGTGAGACTCTCCGAATGCAATCCAGGCCGGCCTCTGCTGCCCAGACCCATGCTTGAAACCTTTCCTGGCTGGAAGGAATCACCAGATCATAGACTCTGTTGGGTGTGGCCTTTGGGAGCCCACCTAATCCGGGCAGGACTTTGGTGGGGCAGGAATGCTGATGCTGCCCAATAGGTCTCGACTGAGTGCGAGGGTGTGAGGATGGGGCTGGAGTACTCCTACCCAGGAGACCGCAGATGGAGCCATGCCTCTGCCCCGCCCCGCCCCCTCTCCTTCCTGAATGACTCTTGCCAGTCACCATCACTGATGGCACCCGCCTGTGCCCCAGGCAGCACAGCCACCCTCACCTGGGCCTCGGCCACACTGGTCCTTCTGCCTCTGTCCATGCTCTCATCCACCCCTTCCTCCCTGTGATGCTCCGAGGCGGGGCCTCCTCCCCTAACCTCCTCCTAGGCTCCAGCTGCCTCCCTCCCCCCATCCATCTCCTCTCAGGCTCCTGCCATACGTCACCTTCCTCCTTCACAGATCAGGTCGCTGCGTCCGTCTGCCCGAAGTCCTTCTGGGCCAATCAGTGTGCATCTACTGAGTGCCGGAAGATGTGCCAGATGCTGGGGTGGGCGTGAGGTGGAAGGTCACACTCCCTACCCCTGAGGCTTTTCTCAGTCTCGTGTCCCCATTATCATCCACACCCTCATCGTCTACACCAAACTCACCTCCTGGTCAGCCCCCACACACAGGGGTACTTTCTGGCTTCTGTGACTGATAATGCTGTTTCTCATACTTGCCCCTGGGCAGCTGAATTCCTGCCCACTCTTTAAAGGCTTGACTACACACCACCTCCTCCAGGCAGCCCCCAGAATCCAAAGCACCTCGTGCTTCACAACCTTTCTCTTCCTTGATTTTCAGTTAGCATTCTGCTTACACCTCTCTAATGAACTTAGCCAACATTTAATGGGGGTGCTAAATCCACTTGCTAAAATATAAACTTCACAGCGAGAGCAATTAGGTGGTATAGAGGATAGAGCACCAGGCCTGGAGTCAGGAAAACCTGAGTTCAAATCCAGCCTTAGACACTTAGCAGGTGTGTGACCCCAGGCGATTCACCACCCTGTTTGCCTCACTTTCCTCATCTGTAAAATGAGCTAGAGAAGGAAAGGTCGAACCACTCTAGTATATTTGCCGAGAAAATCTCAATGTGGTTAAGATGAGTCTAACACAACTGAACAACAGCCACAATCACAACAAGCTTCATGGCAGCCACCGTGTCTTCTCTAAACGGGGGTCTTCCCCAGCACCTAGGCACAGGGCTCTGCTTAATAAGGGTTCTTTGAATGGCAATTTCACGCTTGAAACTCAACAGCTAAAGTCTGGGCCGATGGGAGCCAATACAGAAAGTGACGTAGCTAGTTCCCACGGTCTCTCGGCTTGTGCCTGAGATGAAGACGACAGAAGACAAGGAGCAGGAGGTCCCCAGACACGTGGGTCTTCCTCTAGGGCAGTGCGTCTGGCTGAGGCTGAGACCGCGACAGCTGATGGGACAGCGGAAGGTCCAGGTGGGTGAGGAGAAGAGTGATGGGGACCCGGCAGCCCAGAAGCCACAGAAGGGGCCTCTAGGGGGAGCACCACCCCTCTCTTCTCCCACTGCTCCCCACGGCAGGACAGTGAAAAGGAATCTGGCTTCTTGGCTCAAACAATGCCCAGGAGCCATCTCACAGTTCAGAATGGGAGAGGACGTGAGTCAGACAGGTAGGTGCCCAAGAGCGGCAAAGTCTTGTGCGGGAGCCGTGGGGTGTCCCGGGTCACCACCTCTCTCCTGGACTCTTGGAGCAAGCTCCCTGCCACCAGTGTGTCCCGCACTCCAACCTGAGCTATGTTCACAACGCAGCTGTCTGACCGCGCGACTCTTCTGCTCAAAAGTCTTCAGTGGCTCCCCACCGCCTGCCCCTGCACCGCCCGTCTCCAGCCACGTTTCACCTGAGTTCCCCACGTGGACTCTACGTGCTAGCCGAGGTGGAAGGTGTTCCCTGGCCTCAACCTGCTCTCCCGCCTCTGTGCGTCTTCCCAGGCCTGGAATCCTCCCCTTGTTTTCCCACCTAAGGGAGGGGCTTTCCGTCTCTCCCTATTGCCTGTCATCTGACTCCATCTGGCCTACTGCTAGATGCTGATTCTGTTCCTATGGAAACACCAGACAGCGCCAACCCGGGTAAAGAAACGAATGCACGCGACCTGTGAAAGGAGAGAGCAGGCAGCAAGAAAACTGGAAGGAACCTGGGGCCCTGTGAGAGGGAGGCGAACAAAGGGCGGTCTGGGTGGCGGCGGCGGCGGCGGCCTGGCGCGGAGAAGGCCGGAGGGCCGAGGAAAAGGAGGGTGCCGGGGGGTTTTTACTGTTCTTGGCAGAGACAAATGAGCCCTCTAGAGTTCAGAGAGAGAAACACAGCAAACAGGTGGCATCAGTCAGGAGGGCGGAGAGGGTCCGGGGGCCAGCCCTGCTGCTCCCTTTGGGGTCCCCCGGCCTCCCCCAGCCCCAGGAAAGGAGAGACGCTGCTCGCCCTCCCTCCCCTAGAAAGCGTGCCACCCCCAGCTCCGTTCACAGGTTAGTGCTGGGAGGGAGGGACCTTAGAGGATCTCTAATGGAACTGGCCATTTACAGAGGACACTGAGCCCCCAGGGAAGTCTTGCCCAAAGTCTTGAAGGCAGTAAGGGGGGGGGAGGGGTGGCTAAACCCAGGTCTTCTGAAGCTAGGGCCGGAGCTCTGTCCACTGCACCACACTGCCTCCCTTAAAGGATGTTCCACCTACAAGAAGACTGTTCCCAAGGAGCAATTTCACCGCTTTGCTAGAAATGCTTTGTGGGGTTAAGAACAGTGGGACAAAGTACGCCTTCAATTCAGTGCCAGGGGAGGTGGGCTGTGGACACTGGAGAACTCATGAGGCTAGAAATCAGGAGGAGGCCCGTTTGGGGAAGAACTTACCTAGACGAAAAGGGAGAACGCTCTATTTTAACTAATCAGTCTTGCTACCTGGTTGGTCACGCTCTGTCGTTTCTATAGTGCTGACAGGCTGAAAGGGCTGCCTGTGCCCCCTCTAAACGTCAGCACTCAGTGACGGAGCTCTGGTTGCCCCACCCTAGTTACAGCTCGGATGAAGGCTAAGACAAGAACCCTACAGGAGCTCCTGGGGTCCTGACCCTGTTCCTTGGCTAGGTGGAAGTCCTGGGTATTATTTATTATGGCCTTCCTTTTTATGACTGTCAACCAAGAACTGCTGACCAGCAGTAAAGGGGCCCTCCGTCCACCGGTGCTCCAAGGAGATTCAGCTGGGGTTCTTCGGAGCTGAAGGCACCTTAGGATTATTTGGTCTAGACCGCATGTAATAGATGAGGAACTGAGGCCCAGAGAGGATTTGGGACTGTCCTACGGTCACTTAACAGTCTTCAGGAGTAGGAGCTCAGGCCGCTTGAACCTCGGCCCAAGGTGCCTGCTCGGGAGGGCCCTTCTCAGAAGCACAGACCCCATCGCCTGACATTTCCCCAGAATTCCAAACTTTATCAGGGCATCTTCCAGGTCTAGGGATGAGGTGAGGTCCCCACTGGGCCCAGATTTGGGAGGGGGGCCTGAGGGACACAAGGCGCTGCAGGGGTACCCCTCCAAGAGAATAGTCCATACGTAAAGATTCCTGGTGGCCTTTCATTTATCTTGCTAACTCTTCCTCAGTTACATTTGAATTGCTGAGGCAGACACAGCTGACACCTTAGCACGTTTTTCTACATCTGAAGAGTGAGTGTCTGGCCCTGCCTGTTCTTGGGCACGTACCCCCTTCCCCAGCGGGAGGCCCCCAGGACAGGAGTGGGGATACTGAGCATTCACAGCTCCCAGGCCCAAACCACAGACTCTGCTCCAGACCACCGAAGGCTCACGCTCTATGATGTCCCATGGGCACAAAGCCTGGCCCCAGGGAAAGCCCCACTGGCCCTCGGCCTCCAGGACACATGCAGAATTCCATGAGAACGTAAGTGCCTGGGGGGCAGGGACCTTTGTCTATGTATCTCTAATGCCTGGCATGGAGCAGGGCATCGGAACTGCGTGCTTATCTAGAAAGGGCCTAGCGCCTGTAGAGCACGGGCCCATGGTGAAAGGGCTCTAGCAGGCTCTAGGCTCAAGAAGGAAGGGTCAGAGCCCGGCCTGGAGGCGGGAGGAGGCAAGGTCACCTTACCAAACTCAAAAAGGGCTCTGCGGCCAATTAGACAGGAGGAGGCTTCTGTAAGGTCAGAAGAAGACAGGAGACACTGAAATGTGGGAGCCCGCTCGACAAAGCCCGCACCTCCCCCAGCCCCAAAGGGAAGCCAGCCCGGTCCTGACCTCTCGTGTCGGGCAAGGCGGACAGTGGCAGAGCGGATCCCATGCTCTCGGGCCCAGGAGGGTCCGTGGCCAGCCTCTGCCCCGCACACATGGACTTCAGCATCTGGAAGACAGCCAGGGGGGCCACGTTCAACTTCAGTAAATCCACCAAAATCCTGTTGGGGAGAACGCAGCACCCAGGTCATTCTGACACCTGATCTCATTTTTCTACCTTTTCTATGTCCTTTTTGTTTTGTTTTTTTGTTAGGCAGTGGGGTTAAGTGACTTGCCCAGTGTCACACAGCTAGTAAGTGTCAAGTGTCTAAGGCCAGATTTGAGCTCAGGTCCTCCTGACTCCAGGGCCCTTCTACATATTCTTATATAACACAGAGGTGTGTGTATATGTATGTATGTATTTTACACACATACACAATATGTGTGCATATATATACATACATATTTTTTTCTTATCCTTTATCTTACTCTTCCCCCCGATCCCCGTAGCAAAGGGCAGCCAGAGGCATGCAAAGCCTGCCTGGGGCCCACTGCCCACTGGTCGCCACAGCAACGTTCCTCAGCCCTAGCCTGTCCCTTCCTGTTCTCTCCCACCACAGACTCTGGAACAGGGGCAAGCAGTGACCTGACAGTGGTCTGCCCGTCCCCGGGGGCCCTGCCTCTACGTGTATCCTGCTAAGCGCTGTAATCACGTCCCTGGCTTTCTGGAAGGCCTTTGGTGGCCCGCCAGTATCGCCCCAATAGGTGTCTGCTTGGCGGGCAGGCGATGGAGCCGCTCTTGTGTTGGCTGTGGGGGACTGACCCTCCTCACCTTATCTGGCAGCGTGACTTCGTCATGCCCCCCGTGTTTCTGGCTGCTCTCTTGCCTTGGGTTGTCTCCCATCTCCAGGCCTTTGCTCATGGCAGGCACCAAGGCCACCATCTCCCCTGGCTGGACTGTTCCTCCATGAAGATTCCTCTGCCTCTCCCAGTTCTATCCAGGACCACTCTCTCCTCGAACCTCCCACAGCCCTTTGTTTGAGCTCCCGAGTGGCTTACCACAGATTTTTCCTATGCTTCTTGAGAGAAGGAATCATTTCCTTTTGTACTGGTGTCCTAATGCCTAGCACTGCACCTGGCACACAGTAGGCACTTAATAAGTGCTTGTTGACTTGTGCTTCATGTAGTCTAACTAGCAGCAACATTCCCGGAGCAAATGGCCTCTCTCCTCTGCTAGACTGCAAGTTCCTTGAGGGCAGCGACACCCACACAAGGGCTTCTGCAGAGCTGGCACTAAAGTATGCTGGCATTGAACGTCAAGCTATCCGGGCCCCCCTCAGCTCTCCTGCTGACCCTGCTTGGGTGGCCAGACGTAGGGCTCCACAAGAGTCCTGATCTGCTCAGGGTTCGGGAAATCTCTGCTGGGAGAAGGCTGGGTTCTGGTTTATGTGGCCTGAATCTGCTGTAGCAATGCTTTAGCAATACCTGACATTTCCCCCAGGAAATGTTGAACTGTGTATCAGTTATGGAAAAATAAAGAAGCAGTCGGGGCTGTGCTGGCAAATGTTTAACAACCAGCTTGGGGGGGGGTATACAAGTTCACATTTTCTCCATCAGTTGCTTACGTCCAGACAATCAACAAAGCAATAAGTCAAGACCCAGTCTGTTGCGTTTGCCAGTTCCCAAGGTGTAAATGTCCACTGTGACAATTATTTTTTGTTATTTATTTTATTATTTTTGTCTGTTAGTGAGGCATTTGGGGTTAAGTGACTTGCCCAAGGTCACACAGCTACCATTGTGACAATTTAACAATCAGCTCTTGAACCCAGCACCATCCTGGTTCAGCCAGTGGTTCAGGGTTGGGAGACCTGAGTTCAGATCTTCGAGCAGACACGAGCTGGGTGACCCTGGACAAGTCAGGCCTGCCTGAGTTTTCTCATCTGTAAAATGGAGGCACTAACACTACCCAGCTTCCAGGGTTACTGTGAGGATCAAGTGTGATCATGTTTGCACAGCACTTTGCAGACCTTACAGCGCACGGTGAATGCTCGTCACTATTCCTTCCAGGAAGCCAGGTGATCCTAGCATTTGGAGATAACTTGGTTTAGAGGAAACAGAATTCTGGGAAAAGACTGAGAGTGGCCAATATGGCCCTCTCTCTGGCTCTCACGGGCCTGGGCAGGCACTCGGGATGTGCCAGCCTGTCCTGCGGTATGCCACGAGCCCTCCATCATTCCTATCATCGGGAATCATTCCTTGGTATTTCACTGGCAGATGTGGAGACTCCCTGCACCAGGGCGGGCTGACATCTCATCTGCAAGGGGCAGGCTTGGAGGGCCAAGTGAAACTCGGGCTGTCTCTCAAGAGTGACAATCACTGACATTTACGTGGCCGGTGAAGCCCCCTTCCCCCTAGCTCCTTCCCCTTGCTCTCCTCCTCCCCTGTTCCTCCCACCAACCCCCCATCCCTCCTGGCACCTATCTGGTCCCGCTCCAGCCCGAGGTGCCCAGCAGGTGCCTCTCTTAGTGGCCTCCCCACCACTGGGAGCGCCCGGCCCTCCTCGGGCCCCCTCCTCCCCCTTTCTTCCTTCTCCATCCCTCTTGGTCCTGCCCCACCCCCCACCCGGTTCTGCAGCCCTCTCCCCACCGGCCCCGCCCCCGCCCCCGCCCCCACCCCGGCCCCGCTCCGGCTCACTTGAACACGTCGGGGTCGATGGCTCCGCCGGCTGCCAGGGCGAGCTCGTAGAGCTCCGTCTCCTCGGCGTTGAGTACCTTCTTCCGCCGCAGCGCCAGCTTCTGCAGCGCAGCCTCCAGCCCCGGGGGGCCTGGGCCCGGCCCGCCCGCCCCAGGGCCTCCCCGGGCCCGGCCCCAGGGCCTGCCGCGCCCCCTCCCCCGCCGCCGCCGCCGCCGCCGCCGCAGCCATCCTGGCCCGGCCGGGGCACCGCGCGCTAAGGCCGGACTGAGCCACGCCCCCAGACCCGTCCCAACCCGGAGAGACTGCCAGGCGGTGTCAGTCCCGCCCCCAGGCCGGGCCCCGTCCCCCATCAGTCTCGCGGAGGTCCCGCCCCCAGGCTCTTCGGCGCACGCCGCCCGCCGCGTCTCTCCCTGCAGCACGTTCAGGTCCTGCAGTGCGCATGAATGCACAGAGACGTCTGGTGCAGCTCTGTTCCGGGCCCATCCACATCCATCCGGAAGCGCTGGGGATTCAGGCCAAAGCGGAGCGGGTCCTGTCCTCAGGGAGCCGACGTTCTGTCTCAGGAGACAGGCCAGGAATCTGCTCTGTAGCGTCTCAGACCCGGGCCAGCCAGCCTGGCTTGGACACTTCCGCACAGGGAACTCGTCACCTAGGCTGCGCCTTGGAATTTGTTGAATTGTGCGTCAGTTATGGAAAAATAAGGAAGCAGTCGGGGGCATGCAAGTCACTGATGTGTCCCCACGTCCTCCACTGCCCGCTGTATATCGAACAATAAATCTTTGCCACCTTGACTTAAAGAATGTTTGACTCTGAATTCATGCCAGATGACCCTGTCCTATACTCTGGTCTTTGGGGGACCTCAACACCCTCGGGACCAAGTAGAACAATGCCCCCTCCCCCCACCCCACCCCCATCCCTGCCAGCCATTCCCACTTACTTGGCCAGCGCTATCATGTTTCCTCTTGAGGCCAAACACACATAGTTCCCTCCTTCCAGCATCCCCTCCCCTCTCTATCCTGGTTGTCCGTTTCTGGAGCTCCTCCTGCGGCTGAGCCTCCTTGCTAAAATGACAGGTAGATACTCCAGTTACCCAACGGAATCTGACCAGAACAGAGGCAACAGGATAATTCACCGTGGGACTTTGGAGTTAAGGCCACACAAGAGGACCACTGGCTGTTTTATGCCCTGCTGCCTCCCTCATGTTTTAATTTACCTCCGTTTCATAAAGGACTTTTCCCCACAAACTGTTTGCTGTCTGGTCCATCCTGTCCTTGTGAAATTGACTTTTTGAGCTGGGGGGTTGGGATTTTTAAAAATTGATACCTACTAAGTTGATTTTCTTCCTTCAACAATCTTTCTGGAACCATTTTTTTTTCAATCTTGATTCATCTATCTAGGAGAAGCAGGCAGGCAACAAGCAATTTATTAAGCAGTTACCACATACCTGGCATTTTGCTAAGTGCTGGGGGATTCAGATACAAGCAAGAAGACAGTCCCTGCCCTCAAGGGGCTTAGATTTTCATGGGGAGAGACAATATAGAAAAAGGGAGCTGAAGGCAGAGAGGTATCTGCTGGGAAAGGCAGCATGGTGGTGAAATCGGGGTGTCAGAAGCATGGTGGGAAGAGAAAGGAATCTGGATGGTCTGGGCCCAAGTGTAGGGATGGTCCAGGGTGAGACAAGGCCCCACATGTTAGCTCTCTCCCTTACAGCTTCCTGTCCCCTACAAATATGATAAATATAGGTGGGCCTGGAGTCAGAAAACCCCCAGTTCTGGCTTTAGATACTAGCTGTGTGACCCTAGATGAGTCATTTAATCTGTCTGCCTCAGTTTCCACAACTGTAAAATGGGGATAATAAACCTCCTAGGGTTTGTTAGGATCAAATGAGATAATATTTGTAAAGGACCTACTAGCCTGGCACATAGTAGGTGCTCAATACATTTTGTTTCCTTCCAATCTCTACTTTTTATTCAAGTAATCAGTTTACAAACACACCCTCCCATGTCTGTTTCAGGTATTGTGTTATGATAGGTGATGAGGATGAAAGTACAAAAGTGGAAGTCCCAGGGTCAAGGAGCTTAGGTAGGGCTCTATGTATAATGTGCAAAATAGATAATTGAGGAAGGAGAGGAGGGGGAGACACTTTAAGTAGCTCCCACACCCAGTCCTCAGGCTCCGATGTCCATTCATCTGCACCTCCTGGGAAAACGTTATTTATTTCCTATTTCCTTCTTGAACCCAGGATAAAGGAGAGGTTATGAGAAATTTGGGAGGGGAGGAAGGAAGCCTCGTGGACGACGGAGGATCTGAGTGGGCCTGGAAGGCTGGAGGCTGGCCACGTGTCAAGAGATGCGGGGTGAGCTGGCAAGGACCCTGCCCAACTGGAGTCGGCAGGTCTGACATTTAGCTTCAGCATCATTTCTTTGGATGCTCACACTCCGCATCCTCGCTCTCCCAGAGGCATGAAAGGAACCCTCGGTAAATCCTAGTGTCCAATATAAAGGTCCCATTCGAACAAACAGGACTCCCCCACGGAGCCAATGCAGGCCTGGGTACGGCTTGAGAGGAGGCACGAGGAGAATGAGGAATGGGAGAAAGGCGACGGGGATAGGGCTACGGCAAGGGGCCTTGAATGCTCTGTGCTCACCGCAGCCCCCCTCCCCTTTATGGTTTCACTGGCTCCTCCCAAGAGCCCTGTGAGGTGGGGGGGGGGGGGGGGGGGGGGGTGTGATGGGGGGTGGCCCTCGGTGACGTCTAATTCTAATCGAGGTGAGCAGCTCTGCTTAGCCCCGCTGCTCCAGAGCCCGGGATGCTCAGGTAAGACTGCATACAGAGGCTGCAGCGGGGGGGGGGGAGGAGGAGGAGGAGGAGGAGGAGGAGGAGGAGGAGGAGGAGGAGGAGGAGGAGGAGGAGGAGGAGGAGGAGAGGAGGAGGAGGAGGAGGAGGAGGAGGAGGAGGAGGAGGAGGAGGAGGAGGAGGAGGCCCTCTGTGCGCCTGCGCAGTAAGGAACGCGGGCCCTTCTTTCCCCACCTGCAAGCGATGCGCCAATGCGCAAGCGTGAGGTGGGAGGGGGCGGAGGCAGAGCAGGGAGCCCAACGCGGGCTGTAGCGCTGCCTACGCATGCGCAAACAGAGCCGCTCTCCGCAGGCGCAGACCAGGCGGAGGGCCTTTGGCCTCTTCCCGCCATTCCTGGAGGCGGGGCCTGGCGCGCGGATTGATGACGTCAGCGACAGCGACCCGGGCTCCTTGGGGATGGCGGCTGTGACTGGCGCGGAAGAGGCACCGACGGCCGGTCCTGCAGGTGAGCAAACCGGGAGACCGCGCCCCTGCCTGAGGGGGAGCCAAGGCCCCTCGTTCTTAGGGGCCACTACTCCCCGCCCCACTTCCCGAGACGGAGAGCCCGCCCCCTTCGGAGGGGGCCACACCCCCTCATTCCGGTGAGGCACCTGAGCCCCCCTCTCCAATTCCTGAGACAGGGACCCCCGCCCCCATCTGAGGGGGGGTCAGAACGCCTTCTTTCCAGGGCGCGGCATGACCCTTGCCTCCTATTGTGAGGTGCCTGAGCCCTCCCTCCCCCATGCCTCAGACAGGGACCCCCACCCCCATTCCTGGTGGGCCACGACCCCGCCCTCCAGCTGTGAGGAATCTGACCCCACTCCCCATTCCTTCAATGTTGGGAGGCCACGACTCCCCCTTGCCCATTTTTGGGGGGACACGAGGTCGTCCATTCCCGAGGTGCCTGGCCCCATCTCACGATTCCGGGGGGTACAAACGTTACCCCCCCATCCTTAAGGGTGAGGGTGCCCCGTGAGCCCTGACAGCCCCCCTCGAATCCCTGCCTCCAGCCCCCCCCCAAGCATCCCTAGAGGTAACTCCGTGCAGGGACTGCCCCTCCCCCCCGCAGTCACGTGGCCGCCCGCACCCCCTGGCCTCTCCCTCCCATTTCTGCCCCCTGCTGACTGGCCTTCGGGGTTGCGGCCACTTGGGTGCCCGGGACACGCCAGAGGATCGGGAGGCAGGCTGCAGGACCGCCTGTCAGTGAGGGCGGGGGCTGCACGGGGGTCCCTTCTCTTCTCCGCCCCCCCCCCACCCCCGGCAGCTTGGGCAGCCCGCCGCTGAGGCCCGCTGCCCCTCTGGACCGAGCCGGCCTGTTATAGGAAGTCTCAGAGATCCCCTCGGCCACCCCGTGACGTCTTGGGAGGAGCCTCTGCAAACACTTGGCTCCCCCTCCCCACGCTGTGGGTCTTTGTGGGAGGCTGTGGAGGTGAACGGGCTTTCTGGCAGTGGTGAGCCTTCCCAGATTGAGCTGGGGCGGGGGCGGTCCTCCTCACCCAGCAGGAGGTCTAGGGCAGGACCCCTACGGGGAGCCTGCGTGGCATGGGGTGGCATGGCGGGACCTGGCGCAGCTTTGAGAACCTAGGGTCACTTGCACACCGAGGTGACCAGCTGTTATTCCAGGAGGACGTCACTTGGATCTTTTTCACCAGTTGAGTAAATGTTTATCAAGGAGGCTATTGGAGATGCCCAGCTTGTCTTCGTAGACCCCTGATGCGATGGAACTGTAGTTCTAGAACAGGCAGCAAGGGCTTCTTTTAACAAGGTCAGTCAGTGAGAGCTCACAGAGAAGGAGACCATGGGGAGGGACGGCTGAGGGGAGAGGACTGAGATGTATTGTGGGACGTGTGATATTTGAACCAGGCCTGACATGGTGGATGGACCTTGCCGAGGCAGGTTTTCGTTCACAGTCATAGCAGTCTTCTGCCCTTTGAGACCGGCCTCTGCTCCTGCAGCCGGGAGGACCGAGTCTGCCTGAACGGTTCCTTGGTGGCATGGGAGAGGAGAAGCTGAAAGGCTGGCTCGCCTTCACCCACAAGTGTGGCAGATTGTCTTGGTTGTTAGGTGAAACCCAAGTCCCTCCATTTCTCTTGGTATCAGGCTCTTCTGCCTGATCTCAGTCCCCTTTTCTTTGAACCCTGTTGATGCTGGTGGTGGCAGTCAGTCATTCAGATATAAAGCCTGCCTTCTGTCTCCTTGCCTTTGCCCGGCTAGACTACCTGAAGCTTCTAGTCCCCTCTGGTTAGGGGCTTCCAGCCCCCTAGCTAGAAAAGCTCCGGCCTGTTTGATAGCGGGGGATAAACCTCGGCTTAGCCGGGAGGAGGAGCTTGGGAGGAGACAGGTACCATGAATGAAAGTGGGGGAGCCAGGGAGGGGAGCTGGTTTGGGGGCAGAGATAATGTGGAGTGTTGTTGAGCCGGGACGAAGCTTCTCTTTCCCTGTACTTGTGGTTTGTTCTGAGAAGCCAGCCTGTCTTTCAAAGGGGCTCCTGTCAGACTCTTGTAGAATGTGGCTTTGTGGTCCCTGGTTGTGTAATGGCCTTTTCTCGGTACTCTTCCTTGACCTCTTGGGACTACCACATTCGCTCCCTGCTGACCACACTCTTTTTGGCCTCCTCCCTGATCCTGCCTATCTCACTGCTCCTGCCTCTCCTTGGCTCCATCATTGCACGTCACCATATGCTTCTTGGGTATTTGCATCTCTATTAATGTCCTGAAGGCATCTCAGACTCATCACAGCCAAGACAGAATTTGTGGCCTTTCCCCCTAAACCTGCTCCTCTCCCAAACTTTGCTCCCCCTGTCCTGTTAACTGCTGCCCTTCCAGTCCCTCAGGCTGGCCCCATGAAGAGAAGGACCCTTCTTATCAGCGTAAAGCAGGGAATTGTGGAGTGGGGGGAGTTAGGGGAATTTTACCTGAGAGAGAGAGAGAGGAGCTTGTGGCAGACAGCCTCCATTTTGGGGGCAGCCCTTATGTTGGCGTTGACTGCCTAAAGCTGGGTTTCAGGGAGATGACTCTGCCATCTGGCAGTCAGGCAGTCAGTATTCATTTAAGTGCCTCCTATGTGCCAGACGCTGTGCCAGCCTGGGTTCAGATCCAGCCTCAGACACTGCCGGCCACGTCACCCCTGGCTGCCTCAGTTTCCTCGTCTGTAAGGTGGGGATGATACCAGCACCTTCCTCCCGAGGTGGTCGTAAAGATCCAGTGCAGTCTGATTAGCTCCACGTTGCTAGCCGCTGTTCTTATGTTCTGACCCTTGTGCCTCTCTTGATTTTCCGTAGTGTTTTCCTAAGACGACAGAATTTTTAGAGTCTCCCTGGGACATTGTTATGGCTCTTCCACACGTGCAGCCCCCGAGCTTCTTGCTGGTAAGTGTCCAGTCCTGGAGGGAGGGGCTTGAAGGTGGCAGCAGCCTCCCGCCCAAAGGCCATGTGATGTGACTTCACAGCAGCCCCAACCGCAGTGCTGGAGCTGTGGGCCCACTCTCAGCCACAGTTACTGCGTTTTCAAGGTGGGCCCCTGTCGCCTGGAGCATCTCCGCCCCTCGCAGGGCTTCTGTAAGGCTCAGGAGAGCCAATGGATAGAATTTGTGCAAAGCTGCCAGTACCACACCCCATAAAGACAGTAGTGTAAGATCAGGCTTTAGGGTTGGGAATGGCTTTGAAGGATCTAATCAGACCTCACTGCAGCCTGAGACACAGAGGATCCAGACCCAGCTCCTTGAGCCTAGGCCTGCTTCACCTTCCTCTGCACTACGCTGTCTGCAGTGCAGTCGGGCACTCCAGAATAGGCCAGTCCCCCATTATTCACTTCCTCTGGTTTTCTGTTATCCAGGGGACTTACTGGAAGAGAGTGTGGGGGGTCAGCCGACTCGGGTTTGAGTCTTGGCATTGGCACTTATAGCTTTGTGATCTGGACCCAAGGTTTCCTCCTCTGTAAAATGGGAGTGGTGGTCCTCGCCCTGTCTCTTTCTAGGGCTGGGGAGAGAATCAGCTGCAGTGTTGGGTTTAAATTGAGTTGTAGTCCCCAAGCACTCCAAGCCTCTGAGTTTGGGCAAGTGAGAGGGCGGCAGAGGTTAAGTCCAAGCCTGTCCCTTTGGAGATGAAGAAAGGGGCACGCGGGGAGGGGAAGCACCTGGCCGGAGGTGGGTCACCCAGGTGGGATTGTGAGGAGCCAGCCTCATCTTTCAGTTTTCAAGGAGGAGGATGATCTGATTCCTCCTCATGACATGGAGGTGGCCCCTGTGGGTGACAGGTTCTGCCGGGCCCAGGGACCCATTGGCTGTTTGCTGTCTGAGCATCTGCCCACCAAGATTGTGAGGTTTCTGCCCAGGCTGACTGCACCGAAACAAATGTTCACTCTCAAGGTCTCTCCTCCAGGGAGCAGGGAGCCCCAGTACTAGGCCCAGCATGACCCTTTGGTATTCTTCACCAGCCCTTCCCTGGACACTTCAAAGGACTGAGAAGCCAAGGCTTTTGGGTGGCCCTAAAGAGTAGCCGGTCAGACCGCCCCTGCTTCTGCCCTCCTGGGCTGGGACCCGCATCATTCCCATTCCCATTGACCAGATCCCACAGCGGAGGAGCAGGAGAGCCATCTCAAAACCATCTTTGGTTTTGCCCCTGTGGGTGGGAAGTACTTCCTCAGAGCTAGAGGCGGCCCTCGAGCCCAGGCCTGGCTGGCTCGGCTCCTCTATGCTGGAGTGCGTGGTTGTGTGTGTGATTAATTATGTGGAATGAGAATAATCAGTCATCTCCACCTTATTCCATCTTTTTGTATTCTTTCTTGTTATGCCAAAACAGACCCTCTCAGAAGAGGGTTTCAGGGCATACCAGGGGGCTCCATCCCCAGCTACACAAGTTAGAAATACCACACAACACAGAGGTTCAAACCAGAGATGGTTTTGAGATGGTTTGAACAACAGAGGAGGGGGCAGGCTCACACAGGTGGGTGCTGCCAGCTGGAGGACTTGGTCAGGCTTTCTGACTTTGCGTGAGCCTAGTGCTCTTTCCATAACACGCCATGTTCCTTCTCTGTGAGTGCTTCTAGGTTCTGGGGTGTCTTTTCCTTCCACTGTTGGGGTAGAACCCCCTACAGGGGGATGGATGGTCCTTAGCAGGTGGTCTTTTTGAGTTGCCGTGGCGAAAAGAAAAGATCTTTGCCTATTTGGGGCTGGGCCTGTTTTCATTTAAGAGGGCTGGTCATAGAGCTAGAGCAGAAGGGACCCTGCAAGGGCTCTCTTCCAGCCCCCTCATTTTGTGAAAGAGGAAACAGAGAAATTAAGTGAGCTGTCTGGGGGCCCACAGCAAGTCACTGTTAGAAGCAGGATATGAATACAGGTCTTCCTGACCTCAGGGCCTGCATGCCGCCTCCTGCCCAGTATTATCGCTCCGTAAAGAGAGCCTGGACAGTAGAGGCGAGGCTGGTCTGGGGCTCACGCACCCTTGCCTGTGCCCTGCTGAGGCCTTGGGGGCAGGAGGGGGAGCACAGGCGGTATTGGGGTGAAAGGATGAGGGCCTTGCCTGGAGCTGGAGGGCTGCTGGGCCCCGCACCCCTTGCCCACCAAAGGCCCTCGGAGGCACCTTCCAGGCCGCTCTTGGCCGGTCTGATACTTGGGGTCCAGCAGAACCGGCCAAGGTGGTTGAATCCTTCCTTGAGGCCCGGGGTAGAGCTGGCTCAGCGGCTGTGGTCTCTTTCCTAGGCAAGTTTGAAAGCGGATTGTGTGAGCAAGCCCTTTCCTCAGCGGTGCCACGATCTGGTGAAGGTGATTGAGGACTTCCCGGCCAAGGTAGACACAGCCGTGCATCTGTGTGCACACATGGATGTGTATGTGTATACCTGTGTATGTACTGTGGGTACATGTGTGTGTGCCCATGTGTATGTGTGGTATATACTGTAGGTGTACATGTGTGTGCCCGTGCGTGTGTGCTCATGTGCATGTGCGCACCTGTGTATGTTCAGTGTATGACTGCACCAAAACAAATGTTCACTCTCAAGGTCTCTCCTCCAGGGAGCAGGGAGCCCCAGTACTAGGCCCAGCATGACCCTTAGGTGTTCTTCACCAGCCCTTCCCTGGACACTTCAAAGGACTGAGAAGCCAAGGCTTTTGGGTGGCCCTAAAGAGTAGCCGGTCAGACCGCCCCTGCTTCTGCCCTCTTGGGCTGGGACCTGCATCATTCCCATTCCCACTGACCAGATCCCACAGCGGAGGAGCAGGAGAGCCATCTCAAAACCATCTTTGGTTTTGCCCCTGTGGGTGGGAAGTACTTCCTCAGAGCTAGAGGCGGCCCTCGAGCCCAGGCCTGGCTGGCTCGGCTCCTCTATGCTGGAGTGCGTGGTTGTGTGTGTGATTAATTATGTGGAATGAGAATAATCAGTCATCTCCACCTTATTCCATCTTTTTGTATTCTTTCTTGTTATGCCAAAACAGACCCTCTCAGGAGAGGGTTTCAGGGCATACCAGGGGGCTCCATCCCCAGCTACACAAGTTAGAAATACCACACAACACAAAATAGAGATTTGTACAGGCCAAATTCAAAATGAACCACCTGTGGTTTCTTGTGGCTCAAGCCAGAACTCCCAGCTTGAAAGCTTTACTGATGCCTTTTGTCTTTGCATCACAGTATGAGATTTCAGTCCTCTACCCCCGTGACAGAGAAAAGAAGCCAGAATACCCTGGATGTGAGCACATTACTCACTGCTTCATTCTTTCCCCCATGTTTTCTTGTCTCTTCTCTGGGATGACTCTCACCGATGTCTCGTTTATCAGAATTGCCTTTCTTTTAGCACCCACAGGCCAAAAGGACTGCCCCCAGTGGCCCCTCACGCAAGCTTGTCTCCTTCCCTTCTGCTCGCCTTAGCATACAAACCCCTCCCCGTCTTCGGGTGGGCCCTCTGAGGGATGCCCTCCTGGGCAGCTCTGGGCCTTGGTGATGTGGAAGGGCCATACTCCACCCCTGGCAGGAACATTATAGAAATTGTCAGGTACTTCCAGTGGGTTGATTGATTTTGGCTGATTTCACCATCTTATTCCTCTTCAGCGGCTCTGGGAGGGGAGGGAGAAGGGGGAAATGTGGACAGTGTAAGGCCTGCAGGCACGACCACTGCCCCTTCCTCTCAACAAGCTCTGTTGTCTCCACTTCAGGAGCTGCACTGCATTTTCCCATGGCTGGTAGAAAATATTTTTGGCAGTTTGGACGGCATCCTGGTCGGCTGGAATCTGCGGTGTTTGCAAGGAAGAGTGAACCCCGTGGAATACAGCATCGCCATGGAGTTTCTGGACCCCAGGCAGGTGGATTTTCTGCAGGCCCCACTGTGGGTGGTCTCCCGTTTGACCCCACTCTGGGTCTGGCCTCCGCTCACACTGTGTTTCCTTTGATTCCTTGTACAGTGGGCCGATGATGAAGCTGGTGTACAAACTCCAGGCCGAGGATTATAAGTATGATTTTCCTGTGGCCTACCTTCCTGTAAGTAACTGGGCCGCTGAGGAGGGCGGGCCCAAGCTTGTGGAGGGGGGGTTGGACTGACCCCCACCTGACTGTCAGAAGGCTGTGGGGTGGGCCCCATCCTGGCCAGCCTTCCACACCAGCACGGTGGAGTGACATGGTGCTGCCCCGGGTGGGTACAGGTCAATTACCTCTGCGTGCTACAGAGGGGGCAGGAGAGAAGTGCCTGTGTCTGGGGGGGAGGTAGGAAGGAATGGTGCAGGGTCAGATGTTGCCCAAACTGTTCCTGTGTCTGTCTCTTCTCTCCTCTGCTGAAAAATCTCCTGTGGTCCCTCACTGCCCGGAGGGCGGCATGCACACTCCTTTCTGTGGGGGTCCAGGCCCCGCCAGCCTGCCTTTCCAGCCTGACCCCCGGTTGTGCCTCTTCTTGCCAGCATCGTCATCCATCACACTGGGCTTCTCTCAGTTCTGCTCCCTGAGCCCATCCTGCCCTTGTCCACCCCTGGTCTTAGCGCTTCTTTCTTACAGCTGGAAAATGCCCTTCGTGCCCACGGTGCCCCTCACCTCTGCCCGTAAGAACGCTTCTCGATCTTAGTGCCTGAAGGGGAGTGCCCCGTCTTGGTGCCTGCCCTGGTACTGTGTCCGACCCTCGCCTGGGCACTTTTCATTTGTGTTGTGTTTACTTGGGTCTGTGGACTTGCCCCCAAGACTATCAGTGCCGTAAAGGCAGAAGACCCAGTACCTCCCCCTCCCCCCCCGGCACCGAGCATGGGGTGTGCTCGCAGGTGGGACATTGACTATAGCAGCTTCAGCAGCCTTGGTACCTCTGCTCATGACTGCTCCTCTTTCAGGAGCCCGTGCGGGCGTGCATCGAGGAGCGCATCCTCCCAGAGTGCCCACTGTATCACAACAAGGTCCAGCTCCCGGCCGCTGGCACTCAGGGCCTGCACTTGGCTCTCAGTATCCTTTCTGTGGCTGTGGCGGGAGGCGGGTGGCTCGGGCGGCTCATCCGCCCTGCTCACTTGGGTCATACGCGTGTGCTATTTGTCCTTGACCTCCACCTCATACCCGTTTGAATACTACATGTTCTTCTTTGCCTTGAGCCTCATCACACAGAGGGTATGTACGGTTCCACCCGTGCTCTTCTTGAAGTGGGAGAAGTTTCATTTCCAGACAGGGCTGTGACCACTGGTGGAGGCTTCGGGCCTGGGCACCAGGTCTCCAATGGGACGCTCGTCCAGAGGAGGACAGGGCAGAGGTCGGGGAGGGACTGGGAACTATGATGTTGGAGGATGTGTGAATGAGCCTGAAGAGAAGGCTGATAGGGATGTGATTGTTGTCTCTGAGCATCAGCAGATGTGGCGTGTAGGGTTAGCCCCAGAGGGTGAGAGGTCCCCATCCTGCTGGGGTGCTGTGAGTAGATGTGAATACCTCGGGGCTGGTTGGGAGTCAGCTATGAGGAGCCGGTCAGGTGGGTACCAAGGTTCGGCTGCGCGTTGTGCTAGGAAGCGGTCCGTGTAAGAGGCTCTAGCTTTTACAGATGGGTGCTTGGCTGTACTGAAACACTCTGTCAGTGATGGGGGGAGCGCTGGGTTTGGGGGTGGGAGTTATGTGCAGGTGTACAGAGCTGTGGGTACATGGGGGTACAGACGGACTAGGAAGAAGATGGGAGTGACTGGGGGGAGTATGAGATCAGCTTCTGAGGGGCCGAAAACAGGTGTGGTGCAGAGGGCGGCATGGGTACGGTGCGTGAGGAAGAAGTCTGCACGTGGTGAAAGGGGGGCCGGTGGGGGGTGCCTAGGCACAGAGGGTCAGGTTTATGAAGATGGGATGTGAGTCTGGGCACGGTGCATGTTGGGGGAGCAGTGAAGAAAGTAGATGGTGGGGGTAGGTTTGAGCGGGCAGGGGCACTGTGGGGGGTTGTGGGGGGTAGATACTGGGACACCCAAGGGCATGGGGGCAGGAGTGATTGTGGGTGTGGAAGGTGATGTTTGAGCTGAGGCTTAGAGGAAGTGAGGGGCGTTTATAGGCGAGGGCATTCGGAGGTGGGGGTGGCCATCACAAAGGCTGGGAGGTGGGAGATGAGGGTCATCTGTAGGGAACAGCAAGGTTGGCATGACCGGAGCAGAGTGTGGAATAGAACTTGTGTACACTAAGACTTCTGGAACACCCTCTCTAGTGAGGAAGGAGAAGCAGGTTGGGGCTGGTTGGTGAAGGACTCAAATGGCGCCATAGGAGTTTGCTCCTAGAGGCAGTAGGGACATCAGCTTTAGGTCAGTCACTTGGGCAGCCAGGCGGAGGGAGGTGACGAGGGCTGAGGTATGTGCGGTGGTGGCAGCAGTGGTGGGTCTGGGGCTGTCAGAGTGAGTCCGGGGCTCTGGGGTTGGACCGGGAGGGGAGAACCGCTAGGCGAGGAGGGCAGGAGGTGCCTGGGCTTCGCAATGTTCATGAGTGGTTCCGGGGCGGGGAAGGCTCGTGGCAGTGTACACGGGTGGGGGGGGGCAAGCCTCTGGACCACTCCACACCTTCAAGAACCTATAAAAGCATGGAGGGAGTTTGGAGGCCTGAGGGGCAGTAATGCTCCATTTGAAAGATGACACCCAGCATCACCTCTCTCCCGCCTGCACACAAAAAAGAAAAAGAAAAAAGCCTTGCTCTGGTCTCTGAGGGGGAAGGCAGCCTGGGGAGGTTCAGCAGTTCCTCCCCCTGGGCTGCACGGGGCCCATCGGCCCTGGACTGTGAGTTGGGAAGGCCTTGGGCAGAGGGAGAAGGGTACAGAGGACAGTCACCAAATCCAACTGCTGGAGCGTTGTGTCTGCTTCTCTGCACGTCCCCGTGGGGCCGGGGGCAGGGAGTGACATGTTGGTGGGTGGGGGGCCAGGTGACCACATCTGAAGGTGTGGGGTAGTACATACTAGAAGCGAACAGACTTTAGGGTGCAGGTCGGGCTATGATAACTGTCTCCAAGTATCTAGGAGGCTGTCTTGTCCAGGAGAGGTCAGTGATGGGGAGGAGGGAGACTGGTGGAGATGCTGCCTCACATTTGAGACAGTGGCCCAGGGTGGTAGTGTGGGTTCCAGGAGAAGCCCATCCCTTCCCCCAGGTTCTCGTAGGTTCGTTGGGATGGCTGTGCTGGGAGCATCCCCTAGACCCTGGCCCTCTTGCTGTGACAGGAGGTGTAATGAAGGCCCCCTTTGTCTTCCAGAATTTTCCTCTGTCAATTCATGTCCGAACTTCCGACTGTGCCTATTTCCTTCTGGTGGACCGGTACCTGACGTGGTTCTTACCCACGGAAGGAAACGTCGTCCCTCCGCCTTCGACCACCCTGGGTGGTACCATCCCTTCTCCCACGCCCAGGTGAGGCTCCCGGGGCTGGCCCCTTTGAGCTGAATATCTGTGCTCCTGCCCCTGGTCCCACCATGCACGACAGTCTGCGCTGAGGCCTCCCTGAGGCTTTCTTTTAGGACTTGCTGTGGGCAGAGCATTGTGCTCGGGGGAGATGGAAGGTTCCTCCCCCGGATGGGTTCCCTCGAGTTTAGTGTCTTCCCTGTCAGCTGGGGGCTACCTGTGTCCTTGCCACACTCCCCAGGCACGCAGCAGGGTCAGATAGCAGCTCTGTGTTTGCCATCCCAAGCCCATCGGGGCCTGGCCCATCCTCTTCTGCAGCCGGCTCACCCAGGCCCTTCACGCACACCTTCCGGTCATCCTCCCAGGCCGGTGTCCTCCTCACAGACAGCCCCGCGCCTCCTGGCCATCTGCCACGCTTGCCATGCTCTCCCTGTGCGGCTCCCTCACCTCTGACAACACCCCGGGGGGCCTGCACTGCTGGTGGCCTCCCCATCCCTCACAACGTGTAGGCGGTCATGCATGCATATGCACGGTACAGAAAATGTGGGCGTGAATGCACACATGCAGAAACAAGACTGCATACGTACGTGTGCACGCATATACGGTCATGCGCACACATTAACACAAGGCAGGCACACCCATACATGGGCAGTGCGTGTTCCCATGCACACGTGTGTGCTTGCCAGCACGTAGACACACAGAGCCGTGCTTGTGCACACGCGCACACGTTAACACAAGGCAGGCACACCCGTACGTAGGCAGTGCATGTTCCCATGCACACGTGTGTGCTTGCCAGCACGTAGACACACAGAGCCGTGCTTGTGCACACGCGCACACATTAACACAAGACAGGCACACCCATACGTGGGCAATGCATGTTCCCATGCACACGTGTGTGCTTGCCAGCACATAGACACACAGAGGCGTGCTTGCGCATACGCGCATGTCAGCTGCCCTGATTCAGCATCAGTTCCTCGAAGGCAGCGGCTTAGGGTTTTGTGATGGTTCTTTTCCCGGCATCGCCAGGGCCGTGGGAAGTGCTTCCTCCTGCTGCTAACTTGCCAGGGAAGGTCTGAGGTCAGCATCTGGGGGCCTGGGTTAGGTGCCCTCCGTCGCCCCTCTCCTCCCTTTGGGGCGGGGGCAGCAGGGGGGCTCCCAGGGAGTTTAACTGCAGTTCTGTTCTTTGGCAGCCGCCTTCGGTCCTGGTCCCCTGGGTGCCTGGGAGGTCCCAGGAGCTGGGCCAGCTGCCCGCTGTGGCCAGTTTGTTCATTGACCAGACTCTCCTTTTCTGCAAGGCTGCCTCATGCCATTCCTTCTCTAGACAGTAGGAGGAGGTGCCCACGTGGCTGTTCCCTTTGCGTGCTTGCTTGCGCGCACGTTCTCTCTGTCTCTGTCTCTCTCCTCCCTTCTCCCCCCATACGCACACACATGCACACGCACACGTGTGTTTGCATCTTCTGTTATACCCTCATATGTCTGTTTACACTAACCATGCATCTTCCCCCAATTAAACATTCAGCAAGCATTATTTTATTTTTATTTATTTATTTATTTTGGTGAGGGCAGTTGGGGTTAAGTGACTTGCCCAGGGTCACACAGCTAGTGTTATGTGTCTGAGGCCGGATTTGAACTCAGGTCCTCCTGAATTCAGGGCCAGTGCTCCATCCACTGTGCCACCTAGCTGCCCCCCAGCAAACATCATTAAGGGCCTGCTGGGGGCTGGGGGCTAGGCGCTGGACCATCCCTGCTTCGGCGGTTGAGTCAGAATCGGCAGCCTACACACAGATAAGTCTGTGAGGAGGGTAAGGGGGGTGGAGGGCTGAGGGCATTCCCAGCAGGGGCTCTCAGAGGAGGGCTCCCACCCCCTATCCTGAGGAGGTGGGCCCTGAGCCCAGTCTAGAAGAGAATGAATAGCAGGCCCCAAGAGGTGGCATGAGGAGGGAGCTGGTGTGAACACGCACTCTGATATGGCAGCTGAGCACAGAGGGTGTGGGAGAGGGAGGAGGCAGGTGAACTCCCCAGAAAGGGGGTGGGGCTTTCCAGGCCAGACTTATCAGCAGCAGAGGAGGGACAGCAGACTGATAGTTCAGAAGATGGAGTGGAGGCGCTGTTGGGGTGGCCTGGGGGAGAAGATGGGGACCTGAACTGGGCTGGGGGGCATGGCCCCTCACTGGCTGTGGGCAGCAGGGGAAGCGGATGGCTGGCAGATTTGACTTGTTGGTTGAGTGGGGGCTCACATGTATACACACACATCTGTAGTCCAGCTCCCACAAGCACATTTATTCTCAGCTGCCCCTTTGTGTGTGCACATGCCACCCAACGTGCACTGTGCCCATTTACCCCCGCTCCGCCTCACTCAGACCCCCTCACCCTCATGTACACACACGTATGCCACTCATATCCCCCAACACGTGTGTGTGCATGTGTCCCATAAGAAAGCGGAAGGATGTATGGTGCCTGTGGGCTCGGTGAGAGGGATCAGCCCTGGCGTGGGCAGCATTTTGGTGGGGGGCTGGCTGGCTGGCTGGTCGTGCATGCTGCTCTTCTGCACTTGCTGATGTCGGGTTGTTTGGGGCTGTGCGGTCAGGGCTTCCCTGGGGCCTTCTAGACGTCAGTGGGATGCTGGGCCTCAGGCCTGGGAGGCACTCCCGCGGTCACCCAGCCCCGTCTCTTCACTCTGTGAGTGATGTTGATTTTGCTGGGCTCATGGAGGCAGTGGTAGAGCCAGCTCTTGGGGACGAGGTCACGCTGACACTGGAATGCTCGCCTTGTGGGAGACGAAGTGGTTTGGAAGCCAGCCTTGGGTTGGGAAGGCCTCTTTATCTGTAACTCTGCTGGAGACTTGGCTTCTTCCCCCAGGACCCCCGCCGTGCCTTTTACTTCCTATGGCCTGCACCACACGAGCTTACTGAAGCGGCACATTTCTCATCAGCCCTCAGTGAACGCAGACCCTGCCTCCCAGGAGATCTGGAGATCAGAAACTCTGCTCCAGGTGAGACGTGTGGCCTGGATGTCAAACGGCCAGCGCGGCCGGCGTGGGCGGGACTGGGAGGGCTGGTGACGCAGCGAAGCCGACCGCCCAAGGCTGTGCCTTTCAGGATATCCCGTGAGGAGAGAGCTTCCTTGGTTCTGCGGGTTTGCTTTTTCATTCGGGAGATGCAGGTTCAGCTGCTGTCATGTTCACGGTCCTGCGAGGGGCTCCAAGGGCAGGAGAGAGGAATGAGCCATGCTCATGTCCTCGTGGAGCTGATGTTCTTGTAGGGGAAATAAGACGTGTCCAGAGACCTGCTAGAACCTAGAAATCTGCGTGATAGGGAGGGAGGGGGCTTAGGGGATCGCAGAAGTCTTCATAGGGGTGCTGGGCCTTGAAGGATAAAGTGAGGCTTACAGTGGGCAAGGTGGGCCATCCTGGAGCAGGGACATCTTGGAGCCAGAAGGGACCTTCTGCCCAAACCTGAGGGTCCTAACAGCTGGCAGCCATCTGGTGCCACTGTCCGCCTCCCGTGATAGGGCTCCCCTCTGGAGCAGCCCCCATTGTCAGACCAAGATCTGCTTCTGTAGTGTTCTGGGGTGAGGCAGAGCAAGGCTTCTCAGCTGCTCCTGGCCTCGGACGGCACGCAGTGCTCTGGCTGTGGCGAGGCCCGTCCCTGGGGCGTCCTGGAGCCCTTGGGGTCTTCTCCCTCCGTGGGGCTTGTGCCTTCACTGTCCTGCTGCTTGTACCGCTGCATTCCTTTGAATGTCTGAAAGAACCAGCGAGGAGGACAAGCATTACCTTGGCTCTAGGGTCAGTGCTAGGAAGTGACAGAGGGGCAGACTTGGGCCGAACAGAAGCCTGGTCACCAGCAGTCCAAGCTGAAAGCTGCCCGGGCCTGGGAGGAACAGACTGCTTGTGAAGGTAGCGAGTTCCCCGTCCCTGGAGGGTTGAAGCAGACTATCACGGTCGGGAATGTAGCTGAGGAGATCTCAGGCTCTGGCCGGGAAGCACCAGGTGTTCAGCGCTCCCGGCGGGGCCCCCGTGGTGGGGCTGTCCTGTGCGGACTCAGCTGGGCTTGCCGAGTCTGACAGATGCCTCTGCTCCTCCTAGGTCTTTGTCGAGATGTGGCTTCACCATTATTCCCTGGAGATGTATCAGAAAATGCAGTCCCCTCATGCCAAGGTAAGGGCACCCAGAGTGCATCGTTAGCCTGTTGACCCCCATTATCCAGGGCTGCCTTGGGAAGCTGGAGGATTCCCCAGGCTCCCCGTGGTTCTGGAAGCCCAGGGTCGCTTAGCTGGGCGGGGGCTGTGCTTCAGCTCCCGCCTTGGCTCACGCTTTTGACCACTTTCCTCCGGCCTGCTCCTTGGAGGCGAGGTCAGTGCCCTGGTTCTAGAGCCACCCTCTCCAGAGAGGGGGGCTGCCAAAGGTGGGCCCAGTCTGTCAGGCTTGGGGTCCCTGGATGACTGCAGAGAAACAGACCTGGATGTTCTCCAGATGGGAAATCCCAGGCACTTGAGCATGGGTGTGGCTCCTGCCCCAGGGACGATTCCAGCTTTGGTCAGTGGCCGAGGGCTGTGGCACAGGGGCTCTTCACGTCCTCTGCGAGGCACAGAGAGGCCCCAGATGGTAACGTTGGTCAGCTGTGCAGGGGCAGACTGCCACATTGATGGGCTCCCGAACCCGCCTCCTACAGCTGTCCTCCTTCTTGCTAAGCTGTGACCTCTGAGGAGGGTTTGGGGAGGCCCAGGATGAGCCTGGGAGCTGACCCTCATGGCCCCTCGGCCAAGTGGCAGGCCCGTCCAGTGCTGAGATTCTGGGGCTGGGCTGGCTGGGGTACACGGCCTTTCTTTTGTTCCCCCCACCCTCCAGATTCTGGGAGGGGGTGCCTTCCAGCCCCTCACCATGGGCGCTTGGGAATGAGCATGGCCTCTTCTCTCTCCCTGCATGTGGCTTGGCCTTGCAGAAGTGTCAGGACTGTGGATTGCTTTAAATCTGTCTTCTGTCTGCTCGTTCTATCTAGAGTGCCTCTCTAGAGGGCGGATGTTTCCTTGCTGGACCCACTAGCATAGGTAGGCAGCCTAGAAGTGGTTCTGGGGGGCTGGAGAGACGAGGGAAGACTTTGGGACTCCCTGTTTGGGGATGTGATTAAACAGGAGGGCCTTTCCTCTCACCATATTTGCTGTTCCTCCATCCATGGGCCAGGTCAGAGGCGAGGTGCTCAGGGCCCAGGCCCTGCCTAGTCCAGCCCTTGCACAGGTAGGCCTCTCTAAACCTCAGTTTCCCCGTCAGTAAGATGGGGGCCACGGATCCCTGCCTGCTCTGTCACAGAAGGCCCCCGGCCTCTCCAGCACCACCTCAGAGGTGTGCAGACCCTACTGAGGCCTGATAAGGGGGTAGGGCTCCTAGCGTGGGCGGTTGACAATCTGTGTTATCTGGGGTCCAAGGCCATGAGCTGCCCTGGAGGAGTGGTGGGCATCTTGAAAGTGCCGCCACGCCCCTGCCCGCTGTCCCTGTCGGACTGCCCTCCAGCCCCGCGTTGGCGGGGTCCTCGTCTTCTTGTCTTGACGGCCCGAGTGCTCCTCGCACCTCGGATGCCGCTGACCCTGGGCCACATGAGTAAAGATGACTGCCAGGCAGACAGCCTGTCAGTGACCACAGCCTCTTTGGATCCATCATCTCAGCACCACCCCTTCCCCTTAACCACCTCTGCCGGCACCCTGTAAAATAAGGGACCTAGGCCGCATCTTCCCTCCCAGTCCCCAGAGCCTGATTCCCCAAGAGGTCGTGACTTGTCCCGAGTGATCCAGCTTGTGGGTTGGTGGTTTTGGCTCTGCCCCAGGGTCCCCCACCCCCTGGAGGCCTGTTCCTGCCATCGCTCTAGGAGCGCCCTGGAGCAGAGCTTAGATGGCCTATTGTCCGGGACAGGAAGGGTGCCTGGGGCTTGGGCCAGATGGCCTCTCACCCTTCCTACTGGTATCCTCAGGGGAAGACAAGCCACCAGCTTGCATAGAGCCTGGTCAGATTGTCTGTGCCTGGCCTGTAGCCCTCGCAAGCGTGGTGTCCAGTGCAGTGCGGTCCATCTGCAGAGATGCCCCAAGGGTGGTCAGGGCTGAGGCCGGTGCTTGGGCTGCCTGGGGTTTTTGGTGCTGCCTCGGCTCTTTCTGATGGACTTTGGGGTCTCGTTTCCCATTTCCTACACTGCTGTGGCTCACCCTCTTAACTCCTTCCTGCCTTACTAATGGATCTGCTTTGTGAGGGTGGCGGTCAGCTCTGCCGCTGGGACCTCGCCAGAGCCAGGCCTGGCTGGGACGCTGCAGCTGGGAGGGCAGGCTGCCCAGAGCTCCCCCACATGCTCTCTGTGGCGCCCGTGTGTTGGCCTGGCCAGAACAGCATCAAGCTGCATTTGCCCTTTACCCAGATTCTTGTGGGCACTTCATCCAGTAGACTCTCATTTATCCAGAACAGTTGGGTCTGGTTGACCGAGACCAACCATGTGCTAAAGTGTAGGGCAGGAGATTCGGGGTCTAGGCCCAGCAGTTCACTGAACCTCTCTGAATCTCTGTCTTCTTCCAGGAAGAAAACCCTCCTGTGAGAGCTCGTGTTCTAAGTAGGTAGAGCGATAAATAGTGATTAACATGGTGACCCTAGCGCAAGTCCTGATCTTCCAGTTGATAGGAGAGGAAACTGAGGCCCAGAAGAAGGTGCCCATCCACAGGCCCACAGCGCCAGGCAGCCAGGACTTCTCTCCCCATGGTCCCTGTGAGCCCCGAGACCCTCTCTCCTCAGGTCTCCTGTTCTCCTGTTCTTGGAAAGCAAGATATGATGACGTCCCCAGGTGTCGCTCACGGCCTCCCTAGTGCCGTTGGTGCTGTGCAGAGCCCTGTGGGCTGGAGGGGGCTCTCTAAAGAAGCCCCCCCCCCAGCCTGCTTTTCTGGCATTTGGCCTTCTGGCTAAATGAGAGTCTAGTGGCCCACCTGCCTTACCCAGCCCAGCTGTTGTTATCCTGGCCAGGCCACGCCCCGAGGGGATGCTCACTAAGGGAGCCTAAGAAGAGGAAGCCTCATGCCTCCAGGACCCAGTTTTAAGGCCGAGGCTGCCTTGGCCGAGTCAGAGCCAGGCTCACGGCCCGGCCCGGTCAAACCGAGACCTGTGCCCTCTGCCTGGGGCCCCAGGCTGGCAAGGGTGAGGGGCTCCCAGGGCAGGCCCAGGCAGGCGGGCAGAGAGGCAGTGGTGAGCGGGGGCGCCTGTCGTTGGAGTGAGGGTCTGTGGCTGCAGTGTTCGGCTGATTGGCACTGACTGTATTTGTTTTTGTTTTTTGTTGTCTTTTTCCTTTTCTTGAGCTTATTCTTACTTTTTCTCTTTCCTTTCTTCCACCTCTCCCTTTTCCTTAACCTCATCTTCTTCCCCCGTCCCTGTTCCTCCCTTTGTCTCTGCCCTCACGCCTTCCTCTCCCTTCCTGGTTCTCCCTCTTTCCTCTCTTTCCTCCCTCCCTCTCTTCCTCTCCTTTCCCTCCTCCCTCTCTTCCTCTCCTTTCCCTCTTCTCCCTGCCCTTTGCTTCCCTCCTCTCCTCTCCTCTCCCCTCCATTTTCCCTTGTTGTTTTTTGTCGTCTCTCAGCTGGAGGTTCTCCACTACCGACTCAGTCTCTCCAGTAGCCTCCACAGTTCTCCTGCCCAACCCAGCTACCAGGCCCTCTACGCGTACCAAGTACAACATCTTTTTGTTTGGTTTCCTTTTTTATTCCTGCTGACAATCTGCAGAGAGTGTGTGTGAGCATGGACTGCAGAGGAAGACCCCTGGGGTAGCGGGGGACTGGTTTCCAGGGGGTTTAAGAAGTCCCATCAGAGCAGATCAGAGCTCGGCGCTGGGTGGACACAGGGCTTTGCTAGAGCCTAGAGTAGGGACGTGTGTGTGTGTGCGCGTACGTGCATGTGTGTGCGTGTGCAACAACACGCTGTGATCATCTCCTCCTATGGTGTGTTCATCCACACTCCTTTCAGTCGGTCCTGCATGGGAGAGAAGGGAAGGTCTTTGCCCAGGGAGGGCTGCTGGGCCCGGGCCAGGTGGCCAGGGCTCCTGAAGGGTCCTGGGAGGGAGGAGGAAGGAGAGGGGGCAGGGGTGACCTCGGAGGGGGTGTGGGCTGACCCTGTGCTGACCTTCCTGTCAGCGCAAGTGTCGGGACCTAGCTGTTTGGGGAAGAAGTAACTCAGAGACTGGTCTTGGGAGGCACCAAGTCACTCGTGTGCTTCGGGCTGGCATTGGTTTATTTTCAAAAACGTTCATTCCATTTGAGCCAGTGAGGAGGAGGATGCCGTTATTTCTGTCACGCTTCAGGGTTTTACACAAGCCTTTCTGGACATTGTCTTCTTTGAGCTCTTACCGGCCTGCTACGATCATCCCTGTTTTACCCAGAGGGGTTGGCTGAATCGCCAGTGCAGTGGGCATCAGTTGGAGGTGGCATCGCCCCGAGTGGCTCCAAAGCATGCCCGGCTGTGCCAGCTTCTCTCCGCTCAGTAGCGGAGGTGTGAGAGGCCTGGAAGGCTACCTGCTGCTGGGCCAGCCCGCCACACTCCCCTCCCGAGTGCAGCCTCAGTCAGAGTCAGGTGTGACTGGGAAATATTTAGCAAAGAAAATGACAGGAGAGCACAGGCAGCGTTAACATGATTTTCTAGGTCAGTGTGTGGAAAGTTAGGAACTCAGAAAGGGAAAGTGATTTCTCCTGGCACAATCAGCAAACTGGTGACAGATCTGGGTCAAACTCCTCCTGGGCCTGGTGTGGTCACCCCTGCTCCCCTCCTCCATCCAAGAAGGCGCTGTCAGTAGACAGGTAGCTCTTCGGAGAGGGAACACCCTCCCCCTCCTTCTCTTAGCCGTTTGGAGCAGAGGGAAGAATGCCCTTCATTTCCGTGCAGGTTTATTGCTCTTCTGTTATGAGTAGCAGCCCATTCAGGGCTCTAAGATGCAGCCATGGAACAAGACACGGCCCCTATCCTTAGGTTGAGGGAAGAGACTGGGAGGGCAGGCTGCGGGCAGTCTGCCCCACATACCTCTTAGGCACCTGCCATGTGTCCCTGCCCTCAAGGAGCGGATTACATTCTGGAAGCAGGTCTGGGGTGAAAGATGGAGAAGGCCAGTCTGGCCAGACCTCAGGTGTGTGGAAGCGAGCAATGGGTAATGCTGTTGGAAGAGCCAAATTTCCTTCTGTTTTTGCTGTTGGAGGTTGAGGGAGCTCCTGCATTGGATTGAGCCAGGCAGGGACGTGGCCAGGCCTGTACGTTCAGAGTAGTGCATTGGGGGTGGGGGTGGCGATGGGTAGGGATCGGGCAGGGGAAGGTGTTAAGGCTGGGACCCATTACAAGCAGGGTGCACTTATAGTCCAAGTAGTAATGGCGGATGAAAGCCTGAGCCAGGCCTGTCTGTGTGTTGAGTCTGAGGTGCCTGCCGGATCTCCTGGAGGAGCTGTCTGTCTGGCAGTCTGAAAGCCCAGGAGGCAGTAGGAGTCATCTGCATGGAAGTGATCACAGCGACCATTGAATCCGTGTGATTCACCCAGAGAGAGGGTCTGGGCTGGAGCCGGGCCACAAAGGTGGAACTCAGCCAGAGAGCTGAGGGAGTATGGGTGGAGGAGGAGGGTGGGCAGGGTCTGAAGGTGCTGAGTATCTGGAAAAGGCCACTGGGTGGAGCATGTGGGAGGCCTTTGGCAAGGTCAGGAGTCAGATCACAGAGGGTTGGGCAGTGGAAGGGGTTGCCATTCTTTGTTGGCGAAATTACCAGATACGGGCTTTGGGGGCACTTAGGAAAGAGCCAGGCTCCATGGGTGCTAACTTGGATTGCCGGGCAGGTCCCGACCAGCTACGTGCGCTTCCTTTATTAGGTCAAGGAGATTCCACTGACCCCGAAGTTAGAGTCTGAGGGTGTGGGTTCAGATCCCTGCCCCGTGTGACCATAGGGAAGTCGCTTAACCCCGTGGGCAAGGTGACCTCGCCTGCCCTTCCAGCTCGTGACACAAGATGGAAAGAAGCCGATAGGCCAGTCGTCTCCTTCCCTCGTGGCTTTGTAGTTGGTGGCAGCCTTAGATTACGCTGGAGGGAGGGATGTTAGCCAGAGCGGAGGAACTCTTTGCATTTTCGGGTGCCCTGGGCAGCCTACGGACCCTTTCTCATGGTTTGGAACACATACAGTAAAATATATAGGATTGAAAAGGAGACCAGTGCCATTGAGAGGGATCAGAACCTTAAAAGATCCCAGAGGTATAGAGCCCCTGCAGCATCTTACCGAGCTCCTGTTATCACCTCTCGTTTGGGCCAGGCCTGGGACAGAGCTGGAACTGCTGGTTAATATTGGGCTCTCCATCAGGGCCTCTCACTGACGCTGGGTGAGTCTGCCCTGCTCATTTTAGTGCCTTCGTTTGGCAGCAAGTGCCTCATTGATGATGGGAAGACTCAAGCACCCCCCAGCTCTGACTTCGATGTCAAAAGAGCATTATTCTCAGGTCTGCTTTCTCGCCAGCCAGATGCATGGCAGTGGCAGGCTAGGGCCTTGGTCTGTATCTGGATTGGGGCAGGCCAGTGCTGGGCCTCGGTCTGTGTGCGGATCGGGGCAGGCCAGTGCTGGGCCTTAGTCCATATCCGGATCGGGGCAGGCCAGTGCTGGGCCTCGGTCCGTGTGCGGATCGGGGCAGGCCAGTGCTGGGTCAGCACTCCAAAGGTGACTCTTCCAGTTCCGTCTTTTGTCTAGGAAGAGATTCACTTCTGACCTGTGTGGGAGATGTGCTGTCTTTTTGCAAGTGCCTGGGTAGGGACTGGGGAGGAGAGCATCCGTCTTTGGAAACCTTGAGTGCTGTAACTTGTTGGGAGAGATGAGCATGGAATGAATGTTCTAGAATTTACTCCAGCTTAGCTGAAAAGAGGGACGGGGAAGCTGCGGGCCTTGATAACAGTGCTCTGGGGCCATCGCCACTTCTGTCTTTGAGATGGACTATTGGGGGAAAGGGGGAAACCTTGGCTGTTTTAGGGGTGAACGCAAAGAGCTGAGGAGACAAGGAACAGTTACAGAATGCGTGCCGATTTCTGGCAAGTGACCGGACAGTGGCCTTGGATTATTTGCTCATTTGAAGAATCTAAGGCTCATCCTTGGGATTCTTCGTGTGAAGTACATGATAGAAAAATCCTGACAAGGCCTTCTTCTTTATCAGTAGTACAGCCATGTACAAATGTGGGTCTGGTTGTGTAAGAAAAAGGGGATGGAGCGTTGGCAGCCTTGATTTTGCTGGCTCTGCCACAAGGCCTGCAGGGGCTCTGGGAAATGGTCCCCACTCTCAGGTAGCTTTATCCTACTGCAGGAGACAACATGGATATATGTAAGGTCATGCACACAAAACGTGACCAAGGGAGAATATTCCTTTCCTTGGTGCCTGCCTGGAGAGGCGGGGGGCAGACCAGGAAGGTTCCTCATAGAAGGGGCTCTCAGACTGAGTGTTGAAGGACTGTGGGCATTCCCAGAGCTGGGGGTGAGGAGAGGCTGTGCTCCAGGCAGGAAGGACAGAGTCCTGGTAACGGGAGCTGGACTGTCCAGGGTGGGGGAGAGCCAGGGGTCTCGCGTGTGCTGATTACATATGGGATAGGAAATGTCAAGCACTTTGCACATCCTGAATGGATATAGAAGCTAGCACTTTTAGTTTTCATCGAAAAGTCAGAATGTAAAACCTGTTAACAAGATACAGTTTGATTAGGACACATGGTGAGCACGGTGCTTAAATTCCAAGAATCTGCCGTGTAGAAAAAGGGGGATGGAGGGAGCCGTGTGCATGAAGTGAGCGGTTTATATGAAAAAGCCCGGTGGTTTTACTTGGCCAAGGCTCCACCAGCGTGAGTCGTAGTGAGAATGCTAATTGTAGTGCTAATGACAATGCCAGCTGACCCTAGTCGAGCAGGCAGCTGGGCATTCCTTATTTCCCTCCAAGCCTTGGAGCAGCTCTGGGGGCTGGACAAGGCAAAGAGAGGTCGTTCTCCTCGCTTGTAGCTGGGGCAGTGGTGCTTGCCCTTAGTTCTGAAAGGACCCAAATGGAGTCAAGTTACAGTGCTTCCGATGTGGCCGAGCAGACCAATAGGAGCTCAGAACGTTCTGCCACAGATCGGGCACAAATAGTCCACGTGAACATTTGGGTGGATTCTCTAAATTTGCGCCTCTTGCATTTCTTGTGAGCCCCTTCAATTCTGCTGTGCTCATAGAGCACAGCACCTTCCCTGATGAGGGCATGCCATGCTGGGCGGTCCTGTGCCAGCGTCTCCCGTGTCGCAGTTACAAAGTTCTTCAGAGACTTTGACGGCGTCCTGGTATCACTTCTTTTGACCACCATATTAGTGCTTGCCTTGTGTGAGTTCTCTGCAAAATCGTCTTTTTCACAAGCGCACATTCGGCATTCGAACAATGTGGCCAGCCCATCGAAGTTCTGCTCTCTGAAGCAGATACTGAATGCTTGACAGTTTAGTTTGAGAAAGGACCTTGGTGTCTGCTGTCTTATCCTACCAGGTGATCTTCAGAATCTTCCTAAGACAATTCAAATGGAAGCGATTCAGTTTCCTGGCATGGCGCTGGTAGACTGTCCAGGTTTCACAGGCATGCAACAATGAGGTTAGCGCAACAGCTCTATAGACCTTCAGTTTGGTAGGCAGTCTAACACCTCTTCTCTCCTGCAGTTTCCTTTGGAACCTCCCAAACACTGAGCTAGCTCTGACGATGCATGCATCAACCTCATTATCAATGTGTACATCCCTAGAAAGTACACTACCAAGGTAAGTGAACTTGTCCACAGCATTGAAAACTCCATTTGCTATAACCCATCGATGGTTCCACATAAGGATAGTGTGGTGGTGGCTGATGGAGCTGAAAACCTGTTTTCTTGGTGTTAATTGTTAGGCCAAAATTAGCACAAGCAGCAGAGGATCGATCCATACTTTGTTGCATCTCAGCTTCAGAGGCCGCATTGAGTGCACAATCATCTATGAACAAAAAGTCATGCACCAACACTCCTTCACTTTAGTCTTGGCTTGTAGCCTTTTCAAGTTGAATAGTTGATCGTCAGCGTGGTGGCTGACCTTGATGCCATGTTCGTCCTCATTGAAGGCATCCCACAACATCGCAGAAAACATCCTGCTAAAAAGCCTGGGAGCAAACACAGAGCCTTGCTTCACAGCATTGGTGACTGGGAAAGCACAAGAGCTTTGTCCATTATCCAGAACCTGGGTAAACATGCCGTCGTGGAACTGGTGCACAGTGCTGAAAAAATGGTGAAAATGATGGGGAAATTCAGAAGCTGCTAAATGAAAAGTGAGAACTCCGCAGGGTTTACCATCTCTAAGAAGGCAGCGTTTAATTCCATCAAAAGTAAAGTACAAGTGAAGCTTTGAGAGACGCGGGATTCTTGGCTCAGTAAGAAGGCAGATGAAATTCGGTTTTATGCTGGTAGTAATAATCCAAAGCACTTTTATGGTGCCCCGAAGGATGTGTATGGACCAAAGACCTAGGGTGCATCTCAGCTACTCAGTGCTGATGGAGCCACACTGATTAGTGATAAAGACGTGATCCTGGAGAGATGGGACGAACACTTCCATTGTCTTCTCGACAGACTGTCGTCAATCAATGCTGAGGCCATTGACTGTTTACCTCAGGTTCAAGTCAGTCCCTCCCTAGCTGATGTTTCACCTGAAGAAGTTTTGAATGCCATTAAGCTCCTCTCCTGTGGCAAAGCATCTCTTGCTGACTCTGTCGCAGCTGAGATTTACAAGGCAGGGCCTGGAAGATGGTCATGTACCTGAGAGCCAGCGTGGCTTCAGAAGGGGTTGAGATGGTGTTTGCTGCCCAATGACTCCAGGAGAAATGTCAGGAGCAGAACTGAGGTCTGCACCCAGTGTGTATAGATCTTGCCAAGGCCTTTGAAACTGTCAGTCGTGAAAGTATATGGGAAATTATGTCAAAATGTGCTTTTTGATACAATACTGAGGTTCATCAGTATTGTACAGCTGGGGAGATAACTCACCTGCCTGAGGTTGAAGAGCTTTGTAGAGGGTGGAACTAAGATGTGGCTGCTGAAAACAAACAGACCCCCAATTTTTTAATAAAAAGGCCATTTGATCTTCAGCTGCTTGATGAGAAAGCCATCTCCTCTCCAGAACCCAGGCTGTTGTAGGGGTCATCCCCAGCCTGTGGCCTGGCCTGAGCACACCTAGAATGTCATGCTGAGTCGTGGACACATACCTTTGGAGAGGAACACTGATAAGGCCAACTTGAAGAAGAGAACCTTTTGCGAGGAACAGATCGTCCCTGAAGGGCTGTCCTGGCTTCCTGGCCAGGCCAGAGACAGCACTCTGGAGTAGTGACAGAGGGGCTGGTTTCAACTCAGCCACACAAGGTTTAACTTCCTGACAATCAGCAGTCCAAATAAAATAGGGTGCTCACGAGCTCCCCCCGCAGGGATGTGTGAGCAGAGGCTGGGTGCGGGAGAGGGGGCCCTCTGTGTCCTCAGAGCACCTCACAGCACCCGGCATGGACTTGAATTGGGTGGGAAGTTGGAGCAGAAGACCTCAGAGAGGCCCCTTCTCATTCTGTGACGCTCTTTCAAGGTGTCATCTCTGCCTTGCCTGTGCCAGTGCTGTCTGGCAGACCCCATTGTCTGCGCCCTCCGTGGTACCTCCCCTTATTACTGAGCAGAACTGTCAAAGCCAGTTGATGCAGCGTCTAGGTGTGCACCCTCCCTATGCCGAAAGGAGGGGAGAGGTTTCGCGTGTTCTCTGAAATCACTGGTCGTCCTGTCTGATCCGAGCTCAGGCGCCATTTGATGTCATTTCACGATTGTCCTTCTTAAAGACATTGTGACTAGAGTACGGGGAAGGACTAGGGTGCTGGCCACGGCATGGGCTGCTGGGGCAGTACTGAGGACAGCAGAGTGTCCCAGAGTGCAGCCTCTCCTCGAGCTCTTCACAGGGGGCCTCCACGCAGGTCGAGGGAGCTGGGATGCAAAGCTCCAGGTAGGTGGGGATGGGTAGGGACAGGAGAAGGACCTTCACTGGATGAAACTGTATCTGCTTCCTCCCCACACTGGGGAGGAGTAGAGAACCCTGATGGCAGAAGGGAGTCTGGGGTGATGGGAAGAGCATTCTGGGTTCAAATTCTGCCACTCATCCTCATGGGATGTTGGTGATAGTCTTGGCAGTACACATTTCGACGGTGCTTTATCACTTGATAGACGCTCTTTGGAGGCCCACCACGACCCTTCACGGTGGGTGTTAGTGCCTCATCACAAATCGTGGACAATCAGAAAACGTTTATTAAGCACCTACTGCATGCAAGCTTGTGTTTGGCCCAGAGGAGATGAAGGTTACTCTGTTTTGGTTCCTGCCCTCATGGAGTTTACTCTCTAAGGGAAGGGTCACACCACAAGCACAGAGAAGGTCCTTTCCAATGCCTGGGGAGTGAATAATGCCAAAGTGGCCTTTGATGATGGGAAGGAAATCTTCAGTTGCGGAGGAGGGAGGACGGCCGTCCCAGACATGGGAAAAGCGACAGGCGTTCACAGAAGAGCGGGGAGACCGAGTCATCGTCCAGTTCTGCTGGGACAGATGAGTGCGTGGAGGGGAGTCTGAGGAGTCGGAGGGTCTGAAGGGAAGAAGGGCCTGGTGTGCCAGTGGGGCTGCCTCCTTGTGATTATTTCCTTCACCCCAGAGCCCCGGATGAGCGGTGTGGCATCTGTGGATCCCAGCGGCAGCCCTGGGGGCCAGTGGGTGGAGGAGGAAGCCACGGCCCAACATGGAGAGGATGAAGTGCTGTGTCCGAGCAGCTGGGCTGGTGCCTGCCCAGCTCTGCTCCTGCTCTGCTTTCTCCTCTAGAGGAGGCCTCTGATCGGCCCCTCTTTGAGGCCCATGCTACTGAGCGTAACTTGGGGGCCGAATGTTCTCCATAGAAACCCACACCCTTGGGCTGTGGGCTGCTCCCATCCCTTGCGCAGAGATGCTTAAAGCCAGGAAGGGGAAGGGGCTTGCCAGCTCATCGTGGGTCCTCCCAGTCCCGTCCTAGAAGGTTTTTCATCGTGGTGCCTCCCAGAGTGAGGGCTTTTGTCAGGATTTGTGGGATTGGTGCTCCGTGGCTCCAGACGTGTCCAGTACTGACCAAGCAGGGTCAGGCACAGTTTGTGGGTACTCAGGCCATTTTGAAGTGTGCAGATTCTAACTGGGCTGTGTTCCCATGGGTGGAGGTGTTTGGAGCTTGGGTTCCTCCTGCCAAGAAGTTTATTGGCCAGGCCTGGTTCCCAGCAGGTGCGGGGGTGGGGCTGTCTCTGGGCCTCAGTTTCCGCATCTATAAAGTGAGGCTAATGCTTTTTGCACTAGTTACTCCCTGGACGGTGGTGAGGAGAGGGCTTGCAGAATAGAAGAGGGCTGGTGACTGGGAGCAGGAGAGGAGCCCCTCCACGCCTGGGGTTCCTCCGTCGGGTCTCCACATTTCTTTCCTTTAACTCTGCACACAGGAATCCTTTAAGCCCACAGAAGAGCATGTGCTGGTGGTGAGGCTGCTGCTGAAGCACCTGCACGCCTTCTCCAACAGCCTGAAGCCCGAGCAGGTGTCCCCTTCCACCCACTCACACACAGCCAGCCCCCTGGAGGAGTTCAAACGGTGAGTACAGAGCCCTGGCTTCCCTCTCGCCTCCCCATCCTGGGCGGTCCTCGTTCCATCTGGGAGGGAACTCCCCCCCCCACACCTCGGGGGGCCTCCTCTCGGTGGAGAGCCTCGGCCCACGTGTTCAGACAGACGGGGCATGGGCTGTGTGCTCCCGGCCCTGACGCCTGGCCTGTCACCCCTTTCCGCGGCGTCTGTGATGCTAGCTCCCCGTGGCTCGGCCTGTTTGCGGCAGCCCTGAGACCCAGGGGCAGGCGGAGCTCTTGGCCTTCCTCGGGGTCATTCACCTTTCTTTAGTGCCAAACACCAGCTGCAGGCGGGGCCCGGGCCTCGGGAAGCTGGCAGGGAGCTAGTGGGGGGATAAGATAGCAGCAGATAGCCAGGCTACATTACTAGGGGACAGTCGGGTGGCCTGGAGTCAGGAAGACCCTGGACAAGTCACTTCACATCTACCTGCCTTCGTTTCCTTATCTGTAAAAGGGACGATAGCTGTGAGGAGAGGATGGTTAGTCTGTCAAGCTCTGCTGGTGTTGTTCCAAAGGGCACGTCAAAGGCTTGGCTCACAGAAACCCACGAGACTTGGAGTGGAAAAGTCCTCCTTGTTTTGTAGAGGGGTCAGCTGAAGTTCAGGGGGATGAATGGTCACCCCTGTGCCGGTAGACTGAGCTGCCTCTGCAGGCGGCCGCCCTCAAGGGCTTCCTGGCCTGGGGTGGGGGGGCATCACGGTGCTACCACCACAAAGGCAGGAAGACTTCCTGTAGGACCCAGGGCCCAAAGGGATTGAATTATGCCCAATGGCCTGTGAACCTGTGCACCTCGCTGGCAAACCTCCAAGAGCCTCCTCCTGCCCACCCACTCCTCACCCAAGGCACCCCAGGCCTTCCTGTGCCCTGGCCTGAGCTGTCCCCTGCCCAGTGCACCGTCCCAGGATGGTGACAGTGCCCGATGCTGTCTGCAGTACTGCAGACAAGCCCCTGGGTCCCCGCTGGTGGAGCTGGTGTCACCCACGTGGTCACGGCCTCCCACTGAGCTTGTAGAGATGAGAGAACTCCCTTGTACCCATGCTCTGGAGGTTCAGAGAGGCCACTGGAAGGGAGGGAGCAAGCATTTCTATAGCGCCTGCTGTGTGCCAGGCACAGTGCTAAGCATGTGACACATAGGAAGGATCTCCTTTGACCCTCACAACGACCCTGGGAGGGAGGGAGGGACTGTTGTTATCCCCATTTTATAGGTGAGGTTCCGTGACGTGCCCAGGGTCACACAGCTAGGAGTGTCTGAGGTGGATTTGAACTTGGGTCTTCCTGACTCTGGACCTGGTGCTGGAGCCACGGTGCCACCAGCTGCCCATACAGGGCAGAGTTTCTTAAGGTGCTGAATGCTGGCGTGAGCCCCTGCCTGCTGTCCCAGTCCATTAGGGCTGCCGCGCCCAGAACTGGCAGCACGTCGCACTCTGACGTCCCGGCCTCTGCCGTGTGCGAGGGGCTGGGACGCAAGGGCTCCGGCGTGGCAGGACATGAGCCTGGCTTCCTCCTGCAGCTCCCCGGGGAACGTGCACACGTGGTATGTCAGAGTAGTGGTAGAAACCATAGGAGCTGCCCTCGGGTGGCTCTTGTACAAGTATGACCTCAGGTGATCCCCCAGCCACCCTAGAGGTAGATGCTGTTATTACCCCCATTTTACAGGTGAGGAAACTGAGGCAGAGCGGCTTGCCCAGGGCCAGCTGGCTGGGATGCGTCTGAGCCTCGGAGCCCCATGGAAATGGGGGGCTCATGCTCGCTAGAGGCTGCTCCCACCTGATGCCGTGTTGACTTTGTTGTGTGTTCTGCTGCAGAGTGGTCATCCCTCGCTTTGTCCAGCAGAAGCTCTACATCTTCCTTCAGCACTGCTTTGGCCACTGGCCCCTGGATGCTTCTTTCCGAGCGGTACGTATGGGCCGCACTCGGCGCCTTCCCTAGGAGCTGACCTAGAGCGCAGGCCCCACGCCCGGATGCCCCGGGTCCCTGATGTTCACCTCCCCGGTGGCTCAGCTGTGGTGAAGCTGGGGGGCCCCTCCCCCCCCCAGAGGGGGCTTCTTGTGTTTGGTTCTGGGCACCCAAGAGCAGCATCCGAGTGGGGGTAGGGATGGGGATCAGCAGGACAAACGGAGCCGAGCTAGCTTCAAGAAGAGAGTTGGTGGAGACGGAAGCTTGTGAGAGCTGGTGACAGCCCCCAAGAGGGCGGGTGTAGAACCCTGAAGGCCATGTTCAGCAAGCCAGGTGAGATTAGACAAATGAGGAGGCAGGCTTCCACGGATGGTAGTGGGCTCCCCCAGAAGGGGGCCCGCTGATTCTTCTTCAGCAGGCCTTCATAAAGCAACTGCTGAGTGCTAGGCCTAGTGGTGCAGAGACAGAAAGGGAGGGCCCCAAACAGGCTTGACCCACGCTTGAGGGGGCTCCATGTTCACCTGTCATCGGGGCAGACGTCTCTGAGGGGTCCTAGAACGGGGTGTAGGGCTGGGAGGGGCCTCAGAACAGGGAGTGTCAGGGCTGGGAGGGGCTTGAGAAGAGGGGGTGTCGGGGCTGGGAGGGGCCTCAGAACCGGGGGTGTCAGAGTTACAAAGCACAGCTCATGGAATACGTGTCTTCTCTGCCAGGTCCTGGAGATGTGGCTGAGTTACTTACAGCCGTGGAGATACGCTCCGGAGAAACAGTTTCTGGCTGCAGACCCTCAGCCTCGAAGCATCCCTGAGAAGTGGTGAGCGTGCCTGTCCAGTGCCTTGATCGGGCCCCCCGAGGTGCCACACCTTCTTGGGTTGAGGTTTCTGTTCTCTTCCCCAGCTCCCTTTTCTGGGCCTACATTCACCTCTCACGGGCGCCCTGGGAACAGAGGGAGGTGTTCTCCCCCTGGGTTAGCCAGGCTCCCCCACCATGTCTTACTCAGTCCCTCTTCTCCTGGAACCTCCCTTTCCCCACTTGTGGGCTCCAGAAGGACCAGGAGGGTGGTTCTGATCCCTCCCCAGAGCAGCGTCCCTACAGGACTAGGGAAGGCTTATGGCCTTCTGTCGGAGAGACCATAGGTCAGGGTGGAGGAAGGAGCACGAACAGACCGGCCGTTTGGGCTGTCCAGAAGGAGGCTGCCGTAAGGAGGTCATCCTCCTCACTGAAGCCACAAGTGGGGACGCATGGCCCTTGCCGGCCTGGGCTTGCTCAGCCCTCCTGCCGGCCTGACCTGGCTGCTGCTGCTGCTGTTTCAGGGCTCCCTTTGTGCAGGAAAACCTGCTGATGTACACCAAGCTCTTCATAGGCTTTCTCAATCGCGCCCTCCGCACGGATCTGGTGAGCCCGAAGAACGCGCTCATGGTGTTCCGCGTGGCCAAGGTCTTCGCCCAGCCCAACCTGGCTGAGATGATTCAGAAGGGTGAGTGGCTGCCTCCCCCACCTCAGCCCCTTCCCGCGGCACTTGTCTAGGGCATCCAAGAGGGGAATCACTCTTCCCATTTCACAGGTGAGCAGATAGAGGCTGAGACAAAGGGACTGGCCCATAGAGGCTTTGCCGAGACTTGAAGCTGAGTGTCTGTCTCCTTCCTGTCCAAGGTTCTCATGGTCTCTTGCCCCATGAGTCACTCTCTGCGGGCCTGGAGCCTGTCATCCCACTTCTGGTCCCATACGTGCCTTAGGGAAAGGGCCCCAGGCACGGGGTGTGGGAGACAGTGACAGGAGCTGCTGAAGTTGGCTGACCTGGGGCCTCGCTCAGGCCTACCTCGCTGGGCAGTCTCATGCCATCCTGGTGGTCTCCTAGGTGCCCCTCCTCCTGCCTGTCTGCCAGGCCTGCCCTCCTTGCCTCCCTCTGGCTTCTCTCAAGGCCAGGTGGAGGCGCCACCTCCTCCAGGAAGCTTCCCCTGAGCCGGAGTAGTCAGCGTTCTCTCCCCCCATCCCCCACCCCATGATGACCTGTGACTTATCTGTTTGCCTGTTGTCATGCGCACACGCACATGCACACGAGCTTTAGAATGTAAGCACTGTCGTCTTCTGTCTCAGGACCTCTCATAGCACCTTGTAAGGGCCATCAGTGTCCCCATTTTACAAGCTGGGAGTTGAGCTGAAGAGGAAAAGGGATGTGTCCAGAGAGGTCAGATTCTTATTCCCAGACCAGTGCTGCGTCACCAGCTTTATTTCTCCACGCCTCCATTTCCTTTCCTGTCAGACACTTCACTGTCTTTGCCCAGGGCTGTTGTATAGACCCCAGCGCCCGACATAAACGGGAGCTCTCCCTCCTAGCCCTTGAGAGGAGCATCCAGCCCTATGGGCGTCGTCACGGCGGCCCCCCTGGTCCTGCTGCATTAGAGGCCCTCTGTTTTCTGCTTTAAGGAAGACCTTGCAGCAGTCATTGACTCATGGGCCCGCACAGTCAGAGAGAGCCCTCCCTGTGCCCTCTCTGGCCTCCTGATCCTCCCTCCAGTCTGCACTCCTTGCTGCCACCCAAGCCCCGCCCAGCCTGGCCCAGTGGATGACCTCACTGCTGCTCATGCACAGCACTCCCATCTCCCACCTCCATGTCTTTGCACTGACTGTGCCCCGTGCCTGGAGTGCTCTCCCTCTTCACTCCCTGCTTGATCCGAGGCTCAGGTCAAGTTTCTGCAGGAATCCTTTTGTGACCCGTGCTTCCCTGCCCTTCCAGCTCTGCGTGCTCTTCCTCCCTCAGCGACCTCATGTTTGTTCAGTCTCCCTCATTAGAATGTAAGCTTCCTGAGGGCAGAGATTATTTTAGCTTGTCCTACCCCTTTGCCCAACCCGGAGCTGACAGGCCGATCTCTTCAGGAGGGTGATGAGCAAACTCTGGTCCTGGCTGTAAGAGAGACCACAGAGGACCCTTCTGTGGGGCATGGAGTGCGAGGGGCTGGGCTCTGAGCCCTGCTCCTCCCCTCCCCCAATAGGAGAGCAGCTGTTCCTGGAGCCGGAGCTGGTCATCCCGCACCGCCAGCATCGTGTCTTCATGACGCCGCCCTTCTCAGGGAACCTGCTGTCCTCCTGGCCCCCCGCCATCACAGACGCCTCCTTCAAGGTGAAGAGCCACGTCTACAGCTTGGAGGGCCAGGACGGCCAGTACAAGCAGATGTTTGGCCCCGAAGTCCGGACCTTGGTGAGTCTGGCCCCGAAGGTGGTGGCCTGGAGGGTCCTTCCCTCTGTACAGTAGAGTCTGAATTACCCGCACTCGCTCCTGGTGGCTGCGTTGTTGCCAGAGGTGACGGGAGCTCCGTCCTTCTGTCCATCCTTGAAGGTTTCCTTTTGGAGCCTGGGCCTGGATGTGGTCAGGCTGGGCCGAGGTCACACACACGTGTGGCCTTTTCCACTTTGCCTTCTGCCCAGTTCAGGAGTGCCGGCTCTAAGGAAGGCGTGTCTTGGGAGCATAAACCTTCATTTCCAAAGTGAACTTTGAAGATGGGCCCAGTGTCAAATATGAGCTTGCTGGCCTTTCCGAGGCCAGGGACAGGCAGGGGTGATTTACTGTGATGCCTGGGTGTCCCACGGGTGCAGTCCCAGCAAGGCCTGGCCCTCACCCGCCCGCTCCCGCCCCCCCCCCCAACAGCTGCTCCCTGGTCATTCTCTGCAGCCCCAAGCAGGTCTGCCTCCTCCGTCCCTGTGCGCAGGGCCTTGACGACCCCGTGCCCAGCCAGCCCCAGGCCCCATGGTTTCTTTGCAGTAGAATGTGGATTCCTGAGGACAAGGACTTTTCTTCTTTAGCTCCAGTGCCCAGCATGGGGTGGCACATAGAGGATGCCATATCCATGCTCATGGAATTGAATTGACTGAGCCAGAAGCAGCTGGAGTTCTGAGGGATTTCCTGAAGCGATAAGAAAGACTCAGTTCATCTGCTTGTCAGAATAAGAGCAGGACTGTAGAGCTCTGTTCAATGTCAGATGTTTCAAGACACCCTCGTTTTTTAGCTACATATCCTGTGTGCCTTGCTGGGTGGCGAGGAGCCTGTGGGCATTTGGTTGGGTTGACCCGGGGCAGCTGGCCAGGAGTTCCCCCTCAGGCCATGGGGTAGGACCTTCCAGCGCCCAGTCTCTACTGGCACCATCTTTGAGAACCCAGGGTACCTTCCATTCAGCAAGGCGGCATTGGGGGAGCTCTGTGGTGGTCCTACAGTTAAACTTTACTAGGAGACTTTCCCCAGCAATGGGCAGTGGTGGGGGTGGGGGAGTGCAGGGAAGAGAGAAATAAACAAAAGGGGATGGAGAGGAGTGAAAGTGAGAGGTGCCTGGAGGGAAGGAAAGCCAGAAACCAGTCTGGGGGAAGGGAAGATGGAGGCAGACTGGGGGCCAGAGGAAGCAGAAAGAGGAGAAGAAACGGGAGCTGGGGTGGGGCCGGGCACTGAGCGGGAGACCAGACGGGCCAGAAAGAAGATTGACCCCTGCTGGGTGCTTGGCCTGTGCTAACAGAGACTTTTAAGTGCCTCTTATGTGCCTGGTCCGGACTGGGCTGGGTCAGTAGGTCATGTTCTCCAAGAATTTACAGCTTGATGGGACCTCAGGGTCAATCCTGCCCAGCTGACCCCTGGTGTCCTTCCCCATCCACACCTACTCTGAGCCAGGCAGCTGCTGCCCAGAGAGTCCTTCCTCTGTGGGTTCATTCCTCACTCGGGCTCCACATGGAGCTTTGACATGGCCCCTGCTGATCAGTGGGAGTGACCAGGCATCGACAGGCCAAGAAAGATAGGACTGAGATAGGAATGCTGCTGTTTGAAAGTGGGGTACTCTTGGCTGGCCGGGACAGAGGAGTCTCCCCACAAGGAAGGGGGCCATCCACGCCCTGGGTATATCTGAATGGATGCCTCCCACGGCTGGGGAGACCTGCCTGGTTTGGCATGAAGTGGCCAGCCAGCTTCAGGGGCCTCCCAGCACGCCCACCACAAGGGCCTAGAGAGTTCATTGGGATTTTGTACGCTGATTGCCGGCGTGGGCACCTGGGCAGATGAAGAGGATGCAGGCCCCTCCCTGAAGGAGCTCACAGTTAATGAGGGAAGGAGGCGTGTCCATGGACCAGTGTGTGATGCTCATTGGTGTGGACTGAGCCCCGGGGAATCGGGGAAGGCTGCAGGAAGGAGGTGGCTTGCTGGCTTGGGCTGTTTATTCCTATCTGGGTTCTAGGTGCTGAGACTGGCCCAGATGATTGCCCAGGCCAAACAGACAGCAAATTCACTGTCGGATTCCTCGAGTGAGACCTCGGCCAACCGGTCCTTTCTCTCCTGGCTGGGCTTTTGCCCCATTGATGTGAATGGCACCTACTGCACTAACGATCTGGATGAGATGGGCCAGGACAGCATCAAGAAGACGGACGAGTACCTGGAGAAGGCCCTGGAGTACTTGTGCCAGATATTCCGAGTGCGTGCCGTCCACCAGGGCAGGGCAGGGCAGGGCAAGGGTCCTCGAGCAGTCCTGGAGTAGACGGATGGGTCTGCCCAGCCAGTGGGCAGGGCCACTTCCAAGAGCACCAGCTTCTTCCCTTGGGCAGTCAGGAGAAAAGGGAGATGAAGGGAGGGAAGGAGGAAGGAGGGAAGGGAGGGAGGGAGGGAGGGAGGAGGAGAGCCCGGGACCCTGCACAGGATGGGCAGGTGGGAGAGGGCTGCGATGCACCCTGCGTCTTCTGGAGGATGACTTGATCTGTGCCCGCTGAGTTCAGGCTCTCCCTGACTGACCTGCCCTCCCCCCGTGTGTGCCAACAGCTCAGCGAAGCCCAGCTCACCCAGCTCATGATGAACGTGGGCACGGCGCCGGATGAGAATGGGAAGAAACAGCTTCCCGACTGCATCATGAGCGATGAGGGGCTGGTTCTCACCCCACTCGGCAGATACCAGGTCAGGACGGGCCAGCTTCTGGGCACTCATAACCACGAAAGCTGATGTTAATTTTATGTCCCTCACCTTGGCCTCACCAGATCCTGAGGGACGAAGCACTACGGATGCTATTCTTATACCCATTTTGCAGATAAGGACACTGCGGTTGAGTGACCTGGTCGGGGGGGGGGGGCTAAGTTCCGTAGGGTTGAGCCCGCATCAGGGCGTCTCTGAATGGACGTGGAGGTGGCCCTGTTGAGCCTCTGGCTGAGCCGGACCCCGCCCTGGTCATCCAGGGTCTGGCGGAGGACCTCTTCCCCTCAGACACGGATGCTCACACAGGCTGTCCCTGGTGGAGCCAGAAGACAGACCCTGTTGACCTGTGGGGTCACTTTGGTGTGCATCGGGTCAGCGGCTTCGGCCTTGGGTGTCCAGCGGCTTGCCAGCTTCTTGGGGGCTGGGCCCCCATCTGGGGTAGCCGGGTTGCCCTGGGCCGGTCTGGAGAAGGAAGTGGATTCCCGTTCATGTCAGGCTCGCTCTGAGCGGCGCGGAGGGCGGGGGGCCTGGCTCTGCCCCGGCTTGACCCTGGTGTCCCTGGGCCTCCTGGGACCTTCATTTCCTCCTTTACTTTAACCTACACGTTTGGTGGCCCTGCCACTGAGGCGGCAGTCCGTGGCTGAGGGGAGAACTCACATGGATCGGAAGGAGGCTGTTAGTTGTGGGACATTATGTGGGTCACCTGACCTCCCTGCCTCAGTTTCATCATCTCTAAAATGGGGCCATGTAATGCCTGGGTCTGAATCCTTTTGTAAAGGACAGCCGTGTCATCGGGTCCCTTCCCGGCCGTTCCCCGCGGGGCCTCGGCTCTGCCCTGCCGCCTGGCTGGCCTCAAGGGCTTCCTTCCTTGCTTGTAGATCATCAGCGGCCTGCGGAAGTTTGACATTGAGTACCAAGGAGACGTAGAGCTGCAGCCCATCCGCAGCTACGAGATAGCCCCCCTGGTGCGGTTGCTCTTCCAGGTGTCCTCCGCTGTCAACCGCCGGGTGAGTGGGGGCCGGGGGCGGGGGCGGGCAAAGACAAGGAGGAGGCAGGGGAGGGTGAAGACAAGGGGGGTGGGGCATCTTCGTGTCTGCCCGCTCTGCTGGGCTCCTTGGACCCTGGCTCGGTCCCTCCCCCTTCGCTTTGTTTCTCCTTTGGCACAGTAGTCCAGTGGTCACTTGCCCCAGCTCTGGGCCCCTTCACCCTGCTGTCGCTTCCTCCTGGTTGAGACTCAAGTCCAGAATTGCGGTCCTTTGCTTCGGTCCCTACACCTCTCGCAGGGTGAAATGACCACTCACACGAGCTGGCAGTCGTTTGGTGGCCCTCCCTTGGGGAGCGGGAGAGCGCGCTGCACACACACGAGCCCTGGCGGTGACATGCAGGCGATCGCTCACCCCGCCAGGTTGGGCCTGTCTTTAGACTCTGTCTAGCTGCTCAGTGGCAGCGGCGGTGACAGATCCCATGGTGGCTCCTGGCCTGATTCCCTCCTGTGGTCCCCATCCCACGCCAGGGTGGCGAGGGGCCTCATCGGTGGACGGCTCGGTGCCCATCTTTGTGGCTGCCTGAACTCGGAGCCTCTGGCCCGGATGTCAGAGACTCCACTTGCATCCTGTTCTTCCGTGGCTCCTCTGGAGTGGACTGCATGTCCATTCGTGCCCGGGCTGTGTCTGCCGGCTCTGCCGTCCGGGGACGCTCGTGCCTGCCTGCGCTGCCCTTCCCCCTGCTGGCCCTGGAGCCGCTCGCTCTCCCCCAGCTTGCGCACGCTCCGGGGGCCCGAGCTTTACTGCTGGCTCCTTTCTTGGCCGTGACATGTGAATTTCTGGGTTTTTCCTGCTGCCCACGGGAGCACAGCTGTAGGGCTTCAGGCTGAGGTGAAGGCGAGAGAAGCGCGAGTTGGGGTGGCGCGCTTGTCCGTGGTCGCTCCGTAGGCATTGTCTTGACCTGGGATAACTCCTCGAGCGACCCTGGTTTCTTGACCTGTAAAATGGTCAATAGAAATGGTCACTATAGGTACTATAGAAATGGGAAGGGGGGGCTCCCAGTGAAATGAGGGGTGGGGAGTTGGGGGGCTTGGTGACTTCGAAGGCGCCTCCCATCATTCCCATGCTGTGGCCTCGCAAGCCCCCCAGCAGGGATCCGGGCCAAGCAGACTTAGGCTCCCCCAAGGGGTTCTGTGACTCAGCTGGAGCCCCCTGGGCTCCACCCTCCTGCTGGCGAGAGTGTGGGGGGGTCGTGGGTGGGTCAGTGCTCCTGGACCTTGGGCCGCCTCTGGCTCGGTTCACTGGAGTTGTCGGGGACAGGGGCCCTCTCCCCGGGAACAGCCAGGATTTGCCTGCTCAGGCGGGCGAGTTTGTGGCTGTTGGTTTTGTTCTTTGAGTCTTCGGGGCCGGACGTTCTCCCACTCAGAGTGCAGCCTCTGCACAGAGAAGGAGACACTCTGAGCTGGGGGCCGGGCCGGCAGGCAGGGGAGACTGCAGTGCTCTGGAAGCAGCAAGATTCTGTCCTCTCCAGTACTGAGCCAGAAGGTGGTTCAGGCGGGGCCTGCCCAGCTGCATTGCCTCCCTGTGCTCCTGCCCAGGGCCTGGCCAAGGTCACGCGCCTTGTTAGTGGCAGAGGTGGCTCCTGTGCTCGTCCCCTGCCTTCCGTGACCTCCCTTTGCTCTGGTTCAGTTTGCAGGCCACATGGAGGCCCTCTGCTCGCGGGAAGACTTCCTCGGGGCCTTCTGTCGCTTCCACTTGACCGACTCGTTGCAGGCTGAGAAGAACAGGCTGAGCCCCGTGGCGCCGCACCGGGCTGGCCGTCGCCGCGGGCCCCGGCTCAGCCTGCGTTTCCTGGCCAGCTACCGCACTCTTTTCACCTTGCTGATAGTGTTCTTTGTGGCATCTGTGTTCGGCATCGGGCCCGGGCTCTGCATGCTCCTCATCTCCGTCCTGTACCTCCTGTATGCCGTCGTGATGACGGCGATCACCCAGAAGCTGAAGCCTCATCAACACTGACGTGGCCGGCGGCAGGCTTGTCCTCCCCCGCCTGGGGCCTCCAGACCCGAGGGCGCTGTGGCCCACGGTCACCACACATCTTGTGTTTGTTAATAATACAGCCGTGCACGTTTGCAGCTGCTGTTGTGTAGGGCAGCCAGAAGGAGGGGTGCACGGCACGTCAGGCTCATGTGGATCGACAGGTGCCCTCTGGCGGAGGGCTGACCATGGGAGCCCGTGTTTGCTGTAATGGGCAGGAAGGGCCTCGGGGCCAGGCAGCCATCGTGGCCTGCATTTTACTGGGCAGGGTCGTACTGGGGGAGGGGAGATTGGGACGCCAGGGTCCTCCCCTCTCTGCTCTGCTTCTCCCCAGCCAGCTGTAATAGCCTCCCGGGGAGGTTCTGGATGTGCCGAGAGTGACGAGGACAGGTACGGAGATGGCCCTGGCTCTCTGTCCTCCTCTCGGGGTTTATCGGGTTCACCCTTTGGGTGCTTCTGGTTATTCAGCAAAACCACAGTGAGGTTTCCATGTATATTGAAATCCTCTTTGTGTGGGATCCCTGGGGATGGAGGGCGGAGAGCAGGGTTGAGCAGCTAGGGGTTGGGGAAGAGACATTTCCAGCTTGAAATGTGTGCTGGCCATCCCGACTCTGAGCAGGAAGAGATCTGGGAGTGTCACATGGACCCTTCCTCAGCTTCCTTAATCCTCAGCCCTGCCCACAAGGGGCCCTACGGGTGCTGGGCTGAACCTGGTGTCATCCTGATGGGATTTCCCCATCCTAGACCTGAAGAAAGAGTTCCTAAAAACTCATCAAAGGGAAATCCCAAGCCTGCCATTGCTTTTCCTCAAAGCTCAGCGTGGCTGAGACAAGGGGGATGCCTTCTCTCCCCTTCCCCTCTCCTGGAGGAGGTATTTTCCTCAGAGATCAGTGACCCTTCATTTTATCTTGTGGATATGGAACCGATGTTGTTGGGGAAGGTGGACAATCATACTCGCACAAGGGAAGGAGGCTGGCCGCCTCCCCAGCCTTGCAGCCTTCATAATGTTCAAGGTGCACAAAACCGTACATCTTTGAATGTCATCCCTTGGGAATGCCAGGGCTTTTAGGTGTGTCAGTGTTATGGGGGCTCTGACCCCGGAGGAATTGGTGTGCCTGAAGTCCAGCCTTTCTGGGGGATTTGTGGGTGTCCCTCGAGGTGTTCTGGCAAACTTGCAAAGTGAATTTTTTGTGGAGTGAGTCGTGTTTTCCTAGTGAGTTTCCATTATAAAACCAAAGACGTATTCTGTTGGAAAAGTTTTGCACTCAGATAAAGAGAAAGTTGTGCTTTGGGTTGTCTGAAGCCTTTGAAGGTGCATCTTGAAGGCTCAATGACATCTGTCTTGCATCAGACAGTAGCCGGAGCTCGCTTCCAGCCCTGCCGGCCCCAGGCCATTCGGGGTTGTTGCTCTGGAGTTTCTTCCAGCCCTGACATGGTGTGATTGGTGGGGAGAGGCCCGTCACATCGCTTTGGAGCAGCAGCGGTAGAAGTCATGGTGAACCTGCCGCCAATGCCCACCCCATCCCTGCCCCTCCCATGGCGTGGGCACCTCTGGCACAGAGCCCAGCACAGAACCGAGGATCCTAGGTCAGAGGCACACTTCTCAATCTCCAGATCGTAGTAGGAAAAACAGCAGAGAATCAGGGTTCAGAGCCGGGAGGGCCTTTAGAGATCATCGCGTGTCCACACCCCTTCCCATTTTCCAGATGAGGTAACAAGTGCAGAGAGGAGGGGTTGCTTGGTAACCCCATTTCTCCCAGGCGAGGCCTCTCATAACTCTCATACATTTTGCTAACGTCTTTTCCCATTTAAGTGCCGTTTCTAACCCCCTTCCCAGACGGAGCACTTCCTTGTGACAAAAACCTGCCATGTGTTCATAGTATTCTGTCCTGGTAGTCCCCCACCTCTCCTGTGAAGATGAGAGTAAAATCGTAGCCTCTTTCCAGGCCTGTGTTCTCAGTTCTGCTTCTTTCTCTGCATTAGTGCCTGCTGATCACGCACTTGGCATCCTCTCTTTGGTCCGTGAGCCTCCTTCATTTCCAGTTCTTCACTGACATAGAGTTCTAGAGCAGGAAACAAACCATGTTCTAAGAATGCTCCTCTGCTATAAGAAACAATGACTATGCAGACAGAGACTCCTAGGGAGACGTGGGTGAATCGATGCAGAAGGGAGCGAGTGGAAGGAAGGAGAGTGGTGCAGAGAGGTCTGCAGCGAGGTGGGCTGGGGAGCGTGGCCTGCTTGGTCAGGCTTAGGGGATGGGTAGCTGCATTAGCTTTGTGTGTGTGTTTTTTCTTTTTAACATTCTTCCTTATGCAGGGTGGGTCTGAAAATGAAGATGAGGTAGAACAACAAAGGACCCAGCATTTGGGTTGCTCTGGGTATTGCTGTTGGGCCTTTGCTTCTGGCCCGGGAGGGCGAGTCCCGAGTCAGGATGGTTTAGTGGGACACTTGGGGGCGCCTCCGACCACACGGACGTGCCTGTCTTTTCACAGCTCCGATGGTAAATGTTCCCATCTGGTGTCATCTTCACCAGTTTGTGTGGCAGGAGGCAAAGTGCTGAGGCTTGCTTCATTCAGTAATTCTTTCATCAAGCCTCTGGCGCAGTGGGTGGAACCAGTCCTGAAGCCAGGAAGACCTGAGTTCAAGTCTTGTCTTTGAGACAACATTAAACTTCTCAAGGGCCAGCCCATCTCTGTAGAAGGAGTTTCCTCTCCTGAGAGTTCTCTATGCCAGTGAAGTCATAGCGGTAGCTCCACACCCTTATTAAAGAGCGAGGGTGGTTCCATACTGCCGTTAATCGTCAAACGTGTTATCTGAAAATTGCCAGTTCTTTGAACGCTTCTCTTTTGGAAAATTAGCGGGTCAGTTCTGTGTATTTTGGATATCTAACTCTTGCCAGCGATGTTAAATGCAAATATTTTCCCCACTGTATGTCTGATCCTCTTCTGTCACATAGATCTTATTTGTGTAGATGCTTTTTTTTAAAAATTGCATGTAGTCAGAACTGAGTTGATTTTCTCATAATCACATTTCTGACCCCATTCCCTTCCAAACCGCTTATGGTGTGACATGTGATTTTTTATATGCTGGTCGATTATTACTTTTACCACATTTCAAATTGACATGGCAGTTCTCATCAGAAATATTTGATAGCGGACTAAAAAAATAAATCAATGAAACATACAGAAGTGGGTTGTTTTTCTTCTTTAAGGCCCCAGGGCCCGCCCAGGTCGCCCCCTCTGCTGCCACACGGTTCGGGGCCCCGCGGGGGCCGGCAGGCGCCAGCCCTGCCTCGTCCGCCCCAGCTGCCTCCCCACTGGACAAAGTGTACCTCGCACACGGCTAGAGCTTTGCGGCGCAACGTGCGCTGAACAACTCAACCCATCAGGGTGGGCCCCAAGCTCAGCGACCGATCGCGAAGGGGGCGTGTCGAGTTGACCAATGGGGAATGCCCCACCACTTCACGCACTCTCCGCAAGTGACTTAAAGCGGCTCCTGCGTGTGGTCGGAGATCAGCCAATGGGGTAAGGCTCGTGGCCTCGGCCTCGCTTTCCTCATGAAGATTTTCCATCGCCCATATTAATGGAGACGTCTTCCCAGCCTGCAACCGAGTCTCACGCTCTCAGAAGTTCAGCCAATGGGAGCTCGGCTCGCTCCCACCGCCCCAGCACGCTGCTGAGGCTCAGCCAATCGGAGCCAGCCTCCGTGCCCTCTAGGCGGCCCAGCCAATGGGAGCTCAACTCGCGGCCTGGGGCGGAGCGGCTGCTCAGCCGGGCGGTGACCATGGTAACGCGGCGGCCCCCTGCGAAGTAGGCCGCTGCGGCCGCGAAGCCCGCCAGGGTGCGTCAGGGAGCTGGGGACGTGGGCGAAGCGGCCCGGGGCGGTAGCGGTCCCGGCGGTGCGGAGCGAGGCTGTCCGCTGGGCCAGGGGCGAGCGCCGCGAGTGGTCCGCGTGTGAGGGCCCGGGGCTGGTGGGCAGGCCCGGTTCGGCGGCCGGCCTGAGCCGGCTGCGGGTCGTGTAGATGCCGCAGCCGCAGCCGACCAGCCCCGGGCCGACCCTGGGGCTCCTGGGCATCGGCCCCGCGCCCGTGGTGATGGCGCCGCCCGCGGCCTTGCCTGGCCTGGCCAGGACGCCCGAGCTGCAGAAGCGCGTGCTGGACCTGGAGAAGAGCCTGCAGTTCGTGCAGCAGCAGCACGCGGACACCCTGCTGGGCCTGCACGCCGAGGTGGATCGGCTGCGCCGGGACAACCGCGGTGAGCGCCGAAAAAGTGCAGAGTCGGTGCTGGGCCGGGCGCGGGGACGGCCGCCCGAGGGGCTGGGGGGGGGGTGACTGGAGGAAAACCATAGAGCCACCCCCGAGGAAATGGTGATTAATCCGCAGAAACCTACCTGGGGCAAATGACCAAAAAAACCAGTTTGGGCACCAAAGCCAGTGACCACCAGTGGGGAAGGAAGAAACAAATCTTGGCGTTTGGACGTAAGGACTATCGTTGCTTTGACAGGCAGGAGAGTCCCCAAGCCAAGCATACACTCTCTTCCCCATCCCAGAGCCATTTCATCCATTTACACTCCATGTTATCTTATATAGACATTTCCTCCCCCCCCCAACATTGTCTCCACCGTTAGACTATAAGCTTCTTGAGGGCAGGCACCCTGTTTTTGCCTTTCTCTGAATCCCAAGTGCTAAGTACAGAGCCTAGCGCGTAGCCATTCGGTGCTTGTTGATTAGGGCAGCTGAGGGATCCCATGTACGGAGACCTCCCCACCCCACGTCTCCTCCCCAGGCCTGGGACCTCCTTCCCTTGCCATGACGGTGTTGGAGCCTGAAGACCTCTTGTCACTTCCCAAACCTGCCCGTGGCTTCCAGGCTGGACTCTGCCCAGTCCACCTCTCCCCACCCTGGCCCTGTTTGCCCAGCCTCCCAGTGCTCTGAAGCTCAGCCAGAGTCCTTCCAGAAATGTTTCACACGAGGGCTGGTGCTCAGCTGACCAATCTCAGGGCCAGTGCATAGCTTTGGAGAACCTAGGACCCCCCCCACCTCACCCCAGACCTCCCCCAGACAGTTACAGCTGGCACTTACCTGGCCCTTCACGATGTACCAAGCACAGTGCTCACAACGACCCCATTTTGCAGGTGAGGAAACTGAGGTAGAGGGAGGCTAGAATGGAGGAACACAGCTAGGTTCTACACTGTGCCCTGCCCGCTGGACCAGGGCCTGTCTCATAGGAAACCAAAGTTTACATCTTGATTGTACACCCCCAAAGTAGCTTCTCTAACTTAGCCTGTTCTGTTGCTGAGCCCTTTGAAGTCTGCTCTGACCAACGGCGGTTGGGGGGAGATTCTGAGCCTGGGAGATGAGGGGCTGGTCCCACACTTGAAGCCCCTTTGGGGGGGAGATGGACAAGGCAGCCAGAAGACACCCCTATCTTTGCTTGATTTCAGATCTTCACTATAAACTCATAATGAATCAGAAGCTGCAGCGGAAAGGTACGGCCCCCAGTCTGACCTGAAGGGAGCTTACTGTGCTGGATCTAGAGCAGGGGGGGGGGCTTGGAGAGCACCCCCTTTGCTCACCAGCCCAGCCAGGCCCGGAAGGATGAGTTTCAGTGCCCTCCTCCTCCCGATCAAGGGTTAACAGCATGAATCTACCTGAGACCAGGTGAAGCTGAGGAAGACAGTGTAGCCCAGGGTCCCAGCCAGGTTCTAGGTATCCCAGGAAACCAGAGGAAAACTTGGGACCTCTGACCTGTCCTGTGAGATAGGGAGTGCTCGGAGTGGTACTGTTGTCTTAGCAGGGAAAAAGCCGCAGCTCACTGGAGGGGAATGATGTGGGGGTGGGGGAGGGGAGAAACATTTATTAAGGGCCTCCGGTGTGCCAGGCAGAAAGACGATCTCATTTGGCCCTCACAGCAACCCAGGGAGGGAGGTCATGTTATTTCCTCCATTGTACAGCTGAGGAAACTGAGGCAGTCAGAGGTGAAGTGACGTGCCCACAGTCATATCTGCTGAGCGTCTGAGCTCAGATTGCATTTGTGGCTTCCTGACTCCTGGCACTCTATTGCATCACCAGATGCCTCTATTCACCCCTAAGAAGGGGCAAAGGCAGGATTCGAACCCAAGTCTCAGGATTCCAAGGGTTGTGTCCACAACATAAAACACACAGAAACAAGAACGAGGGGTGTTGTTTGTGAGCAGCGGGAGAGCTGCTGGAAGGCAGGTGGGGCAGAGCGCATCCTGGGGCTTGGGACCCACGACATCTCCCCCCTCCTGCTGCATGTTCATCTGGGACCTGTTCTCCCATCCCTGGAATGTCCTGCAGCCAGCTTCACCTCCCAGTCCTGCTTGAGATGAGCTCAGGAGCCACTTCTGGGGTGAAGCCTCTTCGATCTCTCCTCTTCCCTCTGCCCCTTCTCTGTCTCCTCTTCCTGCCTCTTTCCCTTTCCTCCTTCCTGTCTCCTCTTCCTGTCCCTTCTCCTCCCCCCCTCTCTTTTCTCTTCACCCTCCTCTTCCTCTCATCTCTCCTCTCTCCACTCTTATCCCTTCTCCCTCCTCCTCTCCCTTTCTCTCCATACTTACCTGTTTTTCTCATTGTTGTAACTCTCTGGCCCTCCAGCATCGAATTCCCTGCTCATGGAAGGCAAGGAATGTTTTGTTTTCCTCTTTCATCTCCAGCACCCAGCCTGGGGCCTTTGCATACCATAGGTGTTCAATGTTTGTTGAAGACAAGTAGGAATTTCCCCTGAGAGAAGTTGCAGAAGCACTTTGAAGCTTGCTAGGAAATTAAGCTTCATCTCCACGAAAGCTGCGCCACAGCTGACTGGGGTGTGCTGGGAACCCTGGGCTCCCCCTGCCTGGAGATCGCGTAGCCACGGCTGAAATGTCCTTTGTCCCTGACGGTCTAGAGGGGATGCCCACTCGGGCCCTGACGTTCTGGAGGGGACACCCACTCAGGCCCTGACATTCTAGAGGGGACGCCCGCTCGGGCCCTGACGTCCTAGAGGGGACGCCCGCTCGGGCCCTGAGGTTCTAGAGGGGACGCCCACTTGGGCCCTGAGGTTCTAGAGGGGACGCCTGGTCAGGTAGATCCTGAGGTTCTAGAGGGGATGCCCGCTCAGGCCCTGAGGTTCTAGAGGGGACACCTGGTCAAGTAAGTCCTGAGGTTCTAGAGGGGATGCCCGCTCAGGCCCTGACTTTCTAGAGGGGACACCCACTCAGGTAGGTCCTGACGTTCTAGAGATGTCCGCTCGGGTCCTGACGTTGTAGAGGGGACGCCCGCTCGGGCCCTGACGGTCTACAGGGGACTTCTGCTCAGGTACAGGCTCTCCACAATCCCTTCACATGATGAAATTCTTGAATCAGTTTGAGAATGATTTGTGGGGGAAAGGACAACTCAGAGGAACCAGTAATAATAATTAGTAATAACTTTTATACGGCATTGTAAAGTTTATAAGTGCTTTCCCATATATCATTTCATTTGATCCTCACAGCAACCCTGGGAGATAGGTGCTATTACTAGCTTCATTTTACAGATGAGGAAACTGAGGCAGAGGTCAAGTGACTTACCCAGAGCTACATAGCTGGCAAATGTCTGAGGCTGGATTTGAACTCAGGTCCACCTGACCTCAACAAGGTTCTACAGGGTCATATGATTGAGCTAGGAGAGGCCGCTGTCAGAGCCATCTGAGAGCTGGCTTTTTTTGGCAAATTGTCAGAGCTTCAAACTATCCGGCAGCTCAGTCCTCTAGTTTGGCCTCTTTCATTTTACAGAAAAGAAACTGAGGCCCAGAGTGAAGTGGCTTGTGTGAGATCTCACTGTAAATTAGTGGCAGAGCTCGGGACTCAATCTCAGGCATCTTGATTTTCAGTCCTGGGGCCTTGTGGGTCTCTCCGGGAGTGGGGGGGGGTAATAAAGATTTATGCCTTGCCTAATGTGTGCCAGGCACTGTGCTGAGCTGCTGACGGATATGATCCCTACAACAACCTGATGAAGGAGATGCTGTTATTATCCCCATTTTACATTTGAGGAAACTGAGGCAAACAGAGGCGCAGTATGAAGTGGCTTGCCCAGGCCATACTCGGGTTTTCCTGACTCCAGACTCCAATTCTTTCTCCGTGGTGCCACCAGCCCACCTCACCCACACGGGGCGTTAACTCCTGAATGTTGTCTTGTAGGCGTGGCTTCTTCCAGTCCCTATTTTCTCAAGTCCAGCTCAGGTGTGGTGTCGTCAGGTGAGAGTCAAAGGACAGGGGAGCACTTGCTAGTGGGGCTGTAGAGCGGTGGGAGCGGCACAGCCCTGGCCCACCCTGAGTCCTGCAGACGGGCAGAAGAGGGAACCCTTTTCGGGGAAGGGACCACGAGCTAAGCAAAAGCAGAAGGCAGCTGTCAGCCCAGCACACAGGGCTCGTCACGTCCCCTCGTGTCACAGAGAGGGGAGGCACTTGCCTGAGGTCACGAAGTAAAGGGTTAGCCCCGTTTGAACCCTGGCTGGCTGCTGGCTGCCAGACCAGGGCAGTTCCCCTCGATTGAATCTGCCGTCACCCAGAGGTCAGCATGCCCACACTTGTTCTGTCTAGGGCAGCGGCAGGAGGGGTGGGACCAGATGACCCTTCTGGCTCTGAAGTCTTTGGTCCACGACCAGCAAGTTTTCAGACAAGTGTTCCCAGCCCTGGTCTGCTCTGTGGGGGCTGAGAACAAAAACACTTTGTAACCAGCGGGTCAGTCTGAGCTGCCCCGCTGCCTCTGGCCCGGGTCCAGCATCAGGTCCTCCAGACGGCTTCTAAAAAAGCACCCCTGACACTTGATCTCTTGCTCCGTGTTCGGACCGCAGGTTGCTCATCGTCCAAAGTCAAGCATTTGTTTTGCTGCCCAAAGAAACATGAGGTGGGGGAGTCCGGAGAAGAGAAGCAGGGCCCCAGCGTCAAGATGGAGAAAGGCCCAGCCAGGTAGGTGCTGGCTAAGCCCGAAGGGCTGGGAATGGGGAGCAGAGGCGGACAGACCTTGCTCACTTCATCTGAACCCCCCCTCCCCTCCCGGAGCAGGGACTGAGGTGTCTTCCACCCTCCCCAGTGCTCTTCACAGTGGAAGGGAAGCTTATTCAGAGGAGCCTGTGGTTGGTGTAACATCTCTTAGGCAGGGCATTGCAGAGGACCCTTGTTCACAGACACGTTCTGCCCACTCGAGGCTCCTGGGATTTGGAAAGCTCCTAGGAGCCGAGGAGGCTGGCTTGTCCTGAAGTCTCTGGCCCAAAGCTGTGGCTCTTGGCTTCTAGCTGTAAGGTCCGGCCAGTGGCACTGTGGGCCGTGACAGTTACCTTGATGGCCTTGCTTGCCAGGAGCTGTGAGAGAGAGCGAAGGCACGTGGCATCCAGCCGGCCTCGGGGTTGGGTGGCGTTGGAGGAGGGGTCCGGCCCACTGGGTGACTTCGGGCAGGTCTCTGCACCTCATTAGGCCTCGAGGGCTTTCCTGTCAAATGAGGGACTTGGGCCAGGCGAGTGACCAGGCTTGTGTTGCTGCAGCAGAGAGCTGAGAGCCACAGAGCTGGAACCCTCCTGGCTGTGTGGCCCAACCCTAGTCATGAATGTAGGACCCCTCTTTCTGTTCAGGGACTGGTTGGAAAGGCCTCTTAGGTCTGGAGTCAGAAAACCCAGATTTGAAACAGCGTCCTTGGGAAAGACAAAGATCCCAGAGTCTCAGGGCTAGAAGGAAGCTTGGCAGCTGCTGTAAAACCCATATCTGACAAAAAGAGCCCCGTGCACTCTGGGCCCAGCCTCATCTGCCCCTTGGCTGTGGTCCTTCAGCAGGCTTGCAGGCAGCTCCCACACTGCCCCCTGCCCCAGCCCCAGGTGCTTTCATCAATCTTTATTTGACGTGGATTCCAGACCTCTCGCTGTCCTCAGGCCTCCTTGGGACAGTGTCTTCCTTAGCCAAGGACTCTGGTCAGAGCAGAGGGCAGGCCGGCCATTGCTTTGACCACAGCTCATGGTCCCTTTAGCTGTTGGCTGTTTGCTAAAACTTTTTTTCCCCTAAATGCGGCCTAACTTTTCTTTCGCCATCTTCTGCTGGTGAAGTTGATTTTTTTGAGCGCAACCATAAGATGTCACATTTACGCCTGTGTCCTTGCCTATGGATCTCGGTGGATCCTGGCAGTCATCCGGTGAGTTGGCTGTTCTGTCCAGCTTTGTGCTGCCCGTGGACTGGATGAGGACATCCTGGCCCTGCCTTCTTCATTCACAGTCACTGAGGGAGAGCCTAAGCAGCCCAGCCCCACATACAGTTCCCTGGGGCCTCCCCTGTGAGTCTTCCAAGATCAGTCGAACCACCAACACCCGACCTTTCTGCAAGGTGTATCTAACCAGCTGTCCTGCTGCTTAGCCCACATCTGTCCCATCCTTTCTGTGAGACAAGCATGAGGTAACCCTCTCTCTGCAACATCCCCTGACCTACCAGGGTTGTGACCGTTCAAAAAGGACACGAGGCTGATCTGGAATTCCTTGGTTCTAAGGCAGCCCCAGGGGCTCTGTGGGAGCCCTGCTCCCCCTTCCGCACGGTCACTGACCATCCCTCTGATCGTTCTGGCGTCAGCCAGAGTCGCGGTCGCCGGCTCATAGCTGGCTCACTGTCTGTCCTCTTGCTTTCTTTGCTCTTCTCCGATCCTTCCTGCAGGATCTCTTCCCATCTTCCATGATCTTTCCGATGTCACTGAGAATGATGTTTGCCTGCGTCAGACGCTGGCGGTGGCTCAGAGGTGACATTGGCTGGTTTTTTCCAGCCCTGATCCAGGGGACTGAATTCCTCAGGACAGCGAGCTGCTGCTCTCTCATGCTCGCTCTTGGCCATCTGGGCATCTCGGCAGAGAAGCTGAAGCAGCGTCAGGACGGAGTGACAGCCGCCTTCTCTCTGCTGACGGCACCGTTCCATCCAGCCCAGGCCAAGCCAGGTGTGGCCTTTCCTTCCTCTTCCGCTTTTCCCTGACATTTTGCCAAAAATAAACAAGCAAAGCCTTCCTCAATCACAGATCCACTTAGCGCCCTTTGTTCTGGCCTTTGACTCCATGGACTCTTCTCCTAGGACTGCATCAGCCCTCTGGAGCTCTCCTCTCCTAATGTGCTTTGAAAACAAGATCAAAGCCAGCGGACAAGGCCCCTTCAGACATTGCCATTTTTCCTCCACGACAGAATTTGTCTCCCTCGGTTGCCAGAATCTTATGAAGTTTCTCACCCTTCCTCTGCGGACATCCCCTGTCTAGATTTTAATCCCTGAGAGCCTGCACCTGCTCCCTCCGACCTCTGCACCCCGCCTCTGGGGCGCAGGTCAGACTAGCAGAGGGAAGGCCCCTCCCCCGCCCCCGGGCTCCCATCATTTTCACCTCACCTATCGGTTTTTTCCTTGGTGAGAATCAGATTCAGAATAGAATGTGTTTTAGTTTCCCATCTCCTGAAGCACAAAATTATCATCATGGCCAGTCAGGAAGTTAAGAGCTGCTCTCCTTGAGTAGAGGGAGAGAGATTCTGTGGAGGATGAGACGGCTGGAGTCGCCGTGACGGTCAGCCCAGGGGCCCAGGCTGGGGCCTGGTTCTTTACCTCCTTTCTGTTCTGGTGGTCTGAGGACAACACTGTCCTGCTTCCACCGATGTTCACCCAGAGGTTTCGTAGGATTTCCTTGCATCATTACACCTTCCTAATATACAGTGCTAGCCCACCCTACTCCCACACTTTTACCCGTCTGGTTTTTCTGAATAGTTTACCTATCCAGGGCCATATCTTAGCCATGGGTCTGTCCCACCGTGTCTCAGTGTTTACCCTTGAAAGTAAATGTTGCCTCCTTATATGCACAGAGTCTGGAGTCTGGAGTCAGGAAGACCCGAGTCCAAATCCAGCCTGAGACAGGAGCTTTGTGACCCTGGGCAAGTCACTTACCCTGTTTTCCAAAGTTTCCTCAACGATAAATGGGGATATCCCAGGGTGGTTGTGAGGATCCATGGAGACAGTATTTGTAAAATGCTTAGCACAAGGCGTGGCACCCGGTGCTGCACAGATGCTTACCACCTGAACTTTATGAGGCTTTTCTACTGGCTTCCTTATTGAGTTTCCTCTCCTGTGAACTTGTGTGCCTCTCAACTGCTGTGGCTTCTGTCTACGATCTCCTCCTTGACGGACAGACTTGGGCTGTTTTGGACTCCATGCCCTCTGACCCTCTTCCGTTTGAAGCCCCTCACTGGCCTTTATCAGGCGTATTCCCTCCCTCCATTCTTGTATCTTGAGCGTGGTCTACAAACCTGAATCCCATTCTCAGATGCAGCCTTCTCTGGTGCCTCTCCAGCCTTTGGTGGAGTGCTGGCAGGAAGACCCCAGGCCACGAGGCTGTGTGCAGTCTTGGCCAGGAAGGCTTTTTTGGGGCCTCCTGGCAGCACAATTTGTGCCCACAGGTGGTTCTGTTTTGATAAAAGTCCATTAGGCCTTGGCATGTGTGCTCCCCCCTGCCCAGCCCCGGGGGCCTAGCTCTTTCCTGGAGGACCCCTTGCCTCATCGCGCCTTGGACCACAAGCGGCTCCTTCTGTCTCAGCATCCTTTGCTGTCATCTTGGGGAGAAGCCTGATGCTGGGTTCTCGCTTCCAGGTATGCAGTGATCCTTCCCTTCCTTCTCCATGGGATCTCCTTCCCTTCTGCCTCTCCAGACCCGAGGATCAATTGCTCGGTCGAGGCATTCATTCATTCCTTCAGCCTCCCAAAGAGCAGTGTCTGGGCAGTGTCGGGAGCAGAGACCCCTCACACTCGGGGCTGGTCGCTGCACTTCCCAGCCGTCCATACGGCGGCCTCGGTCCTTAGCTTCAAGCCTACTTGGGGGTTCTACAAAAGCCCTGCTCGGGTGCCATTTTAGACACCTTTATACAATACACTATTACCCCTACCAACTTGGTCACTACACCTAGTTTCCTTTCATTAGCCTCTTACTACTTTGTTTTCACAAATTTACTTGACCATTTCCTACCCACCCCGCCTTACAAACTACCTCCTCTAGTCCTCCTCCTCTTTCTGTCATTTCTCCTCTGTCCTTTTTCTCCTTAAGATCCATCCATCAACAAACATTTCACACCTACCACGGGGGCCAGGAATTGCGCGAAGTGCTGGGAGTCTAGAGACGACAACAGACACATGAACCAACAGCTCTGGACAAGATAAGACAGGAGAGAATCAACAGAGGGGAGACGCTGGAACGACAAGGGGCTGGGGAGAGCTTCCTGCAGAAGGCGGGATGTTAGTCGGCACTTACAGGAAGCCAGGCGGGCCAGTGGTCGGAGCAGAGGAGGGAGAGCAGTCCAGGCCTGGGGGATGGCCAGAGAGAATGCCTGGACCCAGGAGCTGGAGGGTCTGGTTCACGGAGCAGCTAGGAGGCCGGGGGGATTGGATCAAAGAGTACACGTTGGGGAACGAGGTGTGAGAAGACCAGAGAGGCGGAAGGGAACAGCTTAGGGAGCAAGGTGACACAGTCAGCCCTACACTTTAGGAAAATCACTTTGGTGGCTAAATTGGAGGACGGATTGGAAGGGGAGAGATGAAGCAGGCAGACCTCCCCCCAGCCCCCAGCAGCTACTGCAACAGTTCAGGTGTGAGGGGATGAGGGTACCAGGGTGGGGGCACTATTGGAGGAGAGAGGGGCGTGTATTGGGGAGATGACACAGCGGAAAAATTGAGAGCCCCTGGCACCATATTGGATGTTTGGGGAATGAGAGAGTCTGGGATGACCCTGGATTATGAGCCTGGGACTGGGAGATGCTCTCCATAGTAATAGGGAAAGTAGGAAGAAGGAGAGTTTCGGGAAAGAAAACGAGCTCAGCTTTGGACCTAGTTGATTGAGTGTTAAGACATCTCCTGGACATCCTGTTGGAGATGTCTGAGAAGCAAGAGTGAAGGTCAGCAGAGATTGGGGCAGGCTAAATTCTGAGAGTCATCAGCATAGAAATGGTAATTAAGTCCAAGGGAGCTGAGATCACCAGTGTAGAGGGAGAAGAGAAGGACAGAGCCCTGAGGGGCATCTGTGGTTAGAGGGCATGATCTGGAGGAGGGTCCATCAAGGTAGACCCAGAAGGAGCCAAAGTCAGAGTGGGGAGGAAAACCAGGAGAGACTCAGGGAGGAGGGAGGGATGGACAGTGCCCAAGGCTGCAGAGAGGCCGAGGAGGAGGATGGAGAAAAGGCCACTGGATTTGGCATCTAGATCATCGGTTGCTTTGGAGAGAGCAGCTTCAGTGGAATGATGAGTTTGGAAGCCAGACTGTAAGGGATTAAAGGAAAGGCGATAGAGAGGAGGCCACTAGTGTAGATGGCCTTTTCCAGGAGTTTTGCCATAAAGAGAGAGAACAAATAATTTATAAAATAAGACTGAGGTCTTCTCCTTAACCTTTTCTCAAATTCTCCCAAATTTCTCCTCGGTCCATAAGCATTTATTGAGTGCCTCCTTTGTGCCAGGCACTGTGCCACACTGGGGACACAGAGAAAGGTAAAAGGCAGTGCCTGCCCACAAGGAGCTCCCAGTCTAATAGGGGATGTACCTGGAGAATCTGGGGAGGTCTACAAAGGGGAGGGGCTTGCATTTCTGCATTCAGCATCTGGCTTTCCAGATATACGGAGACCCTCCGACGCCCCGGGTGGCGCTTGTCTGAGAAGAGGTGCCGCCTGCACCAACTGGAAACATGCCCTTTGTCTGTTGTCGTGTTTTAGAGCAGAAGACACGGAAGCGTCGCCCTCCATGCTGATCCCCATGATGTCCTGCCAGCCCCAGCTCAAACACATCCTGGGGGTTACATCCTCGCCGAAGCTCCCCCCACACACGCGGAAGCTGTCCACTCTTCAGCAGTGTGAGCTGGTCATTCGGCAGCTGTGGAATGCCAACCACCTGCAGGCGCAAGAGGTGAGCCCCCACCCTGCTGGCCATGGGAGAGCAATGCTGGGGCATCCAGCAGGGGCGTGGCCGTGCAGAGCGTGCCCTCAGCGGCCTTTCTGTCCATGTCCTTCAGCTGCAACACCTGAAGTCCGTCCTGGAAGACAGCACCCGACAGGCAGCCGAAGGCCCTTCGGCCAACCGTTCCAAGTAAGAGGCCTGGCGGAGGAGGGGCAGGGGCCTGCCCTGAACTAGACATGACCTGCCTGTCTCTTTTGTCTTTTCTCAAAAGGAGGGCATTGGGAGAAAAAAAAATAACACCCATCAGTGTGTGTTCTCTGCAGGGTCCTGTGCCAGGTACAGGGGGTTGAGAGGCAGGCCAGCAAAGACTTGGCCATTGGGTTCCCGATACACCCTTGAAGCGGCAGGAGCGAAGCCAGGCTGCGCTAGGGGATGCATCCCCACTTCGGCCTCCCTCTTGGAGGGGTGGGGTGGGGAATCTTCCCTCTCCAAAGGTCACAAGGATAGGATCCTTCTCCTGGGGATGGAGCCTCACAGGATAGAAGCCCAGAAAGAGCCCCAAGTATATGTATAAAATGTGTGGGTACAAGGCGCACAGAATGGGAAACCAAGCCCTTCATGGTAAAGAAACTCCCTGTGGATGAAACACGGCTCTTCCCCGGCTTACTATCCGACAAGCACCTGGCCACCTGCATCAGAGGGGAATTGGGCACTGATTTGTGGGCTATTATGGTGATGTAGGCATGAGGTGCAGGTGGGCCCTGGGGCTCTGCCCGGGCCTGTTGGGGTCAGCACTGCTCACATGGCCATCCGCTTTCTCCAGCTTGCCCCAAATCTCTCTTAGGGCAGACATTTTCTTCACTCAGGCATCAGGAAGGTATGCAGTTTCCCAAAGTTGCTGTTAAGAGTGCAGCCAAAAAATGGTAAGCAACTGGCTTATGCAGCATCAGAGATGCTCTGCATGGGCAGATGTCCTGTCTCGGGCCTCGCTGAGGCCTCCACCTCTTCCATGAGAAAGCCTGGCATGGCTGGTCCCATCTCTCCTCGTCCGTTCATGGGCCCGATTCCCTGGCGGCGCTAACAAGACAGTTAGCTCTAACTCCGGCCCCTCAGTGAGGAAGGCCCCAGTAAGGCAGGTGGAGGTCAGGCAGGGCTGCCCACTGCCAGCTCTGGCCTCACTGAAGCAGCCAGACTGACCATGCCAGTGACACGGTTCTGTTCTCCTCATTCAGTTTGATCCTAGCCCCAATACCTGGGGCAGAGAGAGCAGTCCTGCCCGCCCTGAAGCAGACCTTGAGAAATAGCTTTGCCGAGAGACAGAAGAGAATGCAGGCTATCCAGAGCCGCCGTCTCCACCGCACGGTCCTGTAGACGGCACCAGGCTGGTGCGGACGGGGGACCAGGGAGTGGGAGCGGGAGTGGGACCACAAGCACGTGGGGGCGGCAGCCTGAGCAGATGCCTTGCAAGGTCAGGTCATCAGCAGCGCTTCTCGCCTTGACCTCTGACCATCAAGTTCTCGTCAATGAGATGGTGTCAACGCTTCCTTCTTGGCCTCATCAGTCAGACTGCTGCCATTTTCCCCAAAACACATGCTCACATAAAAATGAATTAGGAAATTACTTTTTCCCTACCAGCTAGACTGTTGAGTTAAATCTTTATCTACATTCCTCGTGTTGTGTTCCTTCATAAGCCACTTCATGAATTGGTCTTAAGTTCTGGGGGGTGCCCCTGCTTCCACCATGGACTCTGGCATCCCCAGGTCCAGGCAGGCCTGCCCTGCTGACCGTCAGGAGCTGTGCCCCCAAGTTGACCCCTAGAGCTCCCGTTTATACAACCGTGTGAAGGTCGGCCATAGGTCACTCTTTAATGTGGCCGGTATAAAACCAGAAGGTGGAATCAAAAACATTTTTGAAAGCCCCTGTCATGGTCCAGGCAGGCTAGACAGGTCTGGGGTGCAACTCGGCCACATATCCAGCCTGTCATCCCGGCCCAAGGAGGGCATGAGGTAATGGCTACTCAGGCAGGGGGATACTCCATCAGAGCCATTCTTAAATATGGGGCAACTCTGGCCAGTGGCTCCGGTCTGTTAGACTTCTTCCTCAGCTCCTGGGACATTTTTTTTTTCTTCCCATCCAAAGAGTTTGATTTTTAGGGGAGCACCTTTTGGCTGCACCAAGCCACCCTGATCAACTGAACCTATCAGGAGAGCCTCCCTATGCCTCTTTCTAGACCCCTCACCCGGCTTTACAGAGTTGGGCAGTTTTACCAGGCCCAACTGACGAGCAGGTCTGGGGAGCCCACGGAGGGCAGTCCAGGCCCCGGGGCTCTTGCCCATCGCCAGTGGTTCTGAGTGTAGACTTGGGTGGCCCCTTTTTTCCAAGAGGCAATGTCTGGAGGTTACTCCGTGGCATTCTTCCTACTTGACCTCGCTCTTCCTGACCACACAAACTACCTCTTACAAAGAGGGTCTTCCTTTTGCTTTTCTCCCCTTCCTCTCTCTGAACCGGACGGTTATGTTCCTGAAGGACGAATTTAGTCGAACGTCTAGATACGAGGCCCCGTGCCAGGGTGTTGTTTTGTTTTTGTTGTGTCTGACTCTGTGACCCCATTTGGAGTTTTCTTGGCAGACATACTGGAGTGGTTTCCCATTTTTTTCTCCAGCTTATTTTATTTACAGATGAGGAAACTGAGGCCCACCGGGCTAAGTGACTTGCCCAGGGTCACCCAGCTAGTCGGTGTCCGAGGCCAGATTTGAACTCATGAAGATGACTCTTTGGACTCCAGGCCTGGCACTCTATCCACTATGGCACTCCTAGCTGCCCCAACTGTCAGGATCCACTGATACAAAGACCGGAGGGCAATGGCCCCTTCCTGTGAGCAGCTTATAATGGATGGGGAGAAAACCACTTGGGCGGTCCTACACGTGCCAATACAAAAGTGAGCTCCCCAGGGGCATCTCGAAAGGCCTCATGGAGGAAGGGGACTTGGGACGAGTGGGCGAAGAGCAGCCTTGCAAAGGCCAGAGTGGGGAGAGGCAGCCCCCGAGCAGCCAGTCTGCTGGGGTACAAGAGTGGGGGGGACGGAGTCAGGTGAAATTAGTCTCAAAAGAGGGGGTGGTTGTTCCACTATCTCCATGCGCTTTCTTGTAAAACCACAGGAAGAAATACTCCAAGTCAGTAATAAGAAAAAGGTAACTACGGTGCACAGTAAAGCCATGCTGTGCGATGACTGAGTGACAGACTTAGCCCTTGTCAGCGACTCGAGCATCTAAGAGTCTCCAAAAGTCTCATGAGCTGGAATGCAGATCAAAGCACACTGTTTGCTCTTTTTTCTTCTGTTTTGTTTCTTCTTTCTCGTTTCTCCCACTGGTTCTAATTTTTCTTTACAATATAACTGATGTGAAAATATGTTTTCAGCTGAATGTTTAAGTAGAGCCTATATCAGATTGCATGCTGTCTTGGGGACGGGGGAGGGGAGGAAGGAGACAGTTTGGAACTCAAAAGCTTATGGAAGTGAATGCTGAAAACTAAAAGTTCAAAATTAAAAAAAAAAAAAAGAAAAAGGTAACCCCAAATCCCCAGGCCCCAGCTCACACTCAGAAAACTGGCAGAGAGGCAGGGGATGGGAACGGTCAAGTCTGGAGGCCTGCTGGTGCCCCCGCTGTCAAGGGAGCTGTGAGTTGGTCAACCAGGGGGCAGGCGCTGGTGAATCACAAGATGGGGATGAGGACGTCCATGCCCTTTGTGTGATTTTGGAAAGTCTACCAGTGACCACTCTAGACGCGAGGTCATCCAGGCCGAGCCCCGGCCGACTTTCCCATGGTCCCATGTGAAGTTGGTGACAGAGGCTTTTTCCACTCTTTCGTTTCTGGACTAGAGGGCAACAAAGGAGCTGCCTGTATTTGGGCATTAATGACTTTATGAAATCAAACGGTGAGTGACCATCCTGTGAGCTAAGTGATGGGGTGGCCACCATTCTGGTGCCTGGTTATGTCAAAAATGAGTGAAAATCACTTCGTGTCAAACACAGGAATAAATTTATTATAATAATCCAAAGAACCACAAATAATATATAAGTGTGTGTGTACAAAATGTTGCCCCTCCCCCTCAGTCAGCATGCCCCGCCTGAGGCCCCACCCCCACTCTTTGGCAGGGGCTGCCCATGTGGCAGCCTCGAGGGAGGTCCCGGAAGGGACTCTTTCAGGGAGGAGCCAGTGCCTGGGATCCCAAAGCTCAGTTGGGGGAAGGGAGCAGATTCTTCCTTGGTTGAGAAGCCTGGCTCCCATCTCTCCATGTTTCACGTTCCCGGTCCTGAGCTCTGCCACTACATCCCGGGGGAAGCCAGTGACAACCCCAGGAGTCAATGAAGAGTCATGAGTGGACTCAAATTTGGCTTTCCAGAAAATAAGCAGGCAGGTGGGGATGGATTGGAAGGTGGCCGCCTCTGACTGCAGGACAACCAGCAGAGACCTCATGACAGGGCCCAAGAAAGGGGGAGGCTAGTGACAGCCCAGTGTGACGGGAGGTGGGGGTCCAGGCCAGATGCCGTGGGAGGCTCCCTGGCCCAGCGGGAAGGGGCCTTGGGACCACGACTACCAAGCCAAGGAAGGAGGCTGCATTCAGAGGACCTCTCAGAACCTGCTTTCTTAGCTGCCTCCACGTGAGGAGGAAAGAATTAAACAGAAAGGGAAGCTTCCCATGTTCTGAACTTCCTCTGCTGCAGCCACATGGATCTGTAATCTAGCGTGGGAGAAGAGCCATCCAGCCCTGAGCTCCCCCTTTTCTCAACAAGCAGGGATGTGGAAGCCAGAGAGGATGTTGGGGCCAGGTGCCCCAGCGGGGCTCAGCAGGGGGACAGCAGCGGGGAGGCTGAGAAGAAACCATCAGGTGACAATATGGAGGCCGTCGCCCTGGGGGAGTGAGTGACTCCTGGGCGGGGGTCTACAAGGGGACCGGTCAAGTCCCTCCCTAAGACAGCCGTTCACAAACAATTACACAGCCTGCAGAAACGAGTCTCGATGCCAGGCGAGTGGTACAAAGGCAGGAGGGGATGGGGGAGGCTAAATCTACTGGCCGGGCTCTCCGGTGAGCTCCACCTGGCCACCACCACCACGAGGCTCCTCCCGCTGAGGTCTGGCCCGGCTGGAGGGGAGAGGGCTACGCAGCTGAGAGGCAGGCCTGCCGGATACTCTGCGCCCACGTGTTGAGGAGAGCAGTGACTGAATGCTTGTCGGGGAGCTGAAGCAGCTTGGAAGTCATGTACTGATGCACAGACTGAAGGAATGGGTTGGCTTCTGGAAAGGAAACAAAGGTAAGGGCTGACCTCACGCGGGCAGTGAGGACAGAGGAGGAGGGGGCCGCCAGCTCCACGCTGTCCCTCAGGACCAGCCTTGTAGCTTCCAGTTAGCCCCCCAGGGAGGCTCTGCCTTTGGGACTTCTCTCAGCTGTCCTCCTGACTCTCCCCCACCCAGGACCATCTTAATGGCACAGGTCTGACTCCACACTCCTCTCCAGCTGTCCTTCACATGTTACTGTCATGGGCTGTCTAGGCCCTACAGCATCTCTCCACCCAGCAGTGAATGCCAGTGCCCAGCAAACATCCTGGCTCGCTCACCACCTTCCCTCGGGTCATCCGAGTCCATCCACATCCCCCTCTAAAGCCAGAGCTCACAGCCTCCTCTGAGATCCAGACCTAGCCAAGCGAGTCCCTCTCTGGCGGTCTCCGGCTCTGCCGAATGAGGGGTGTTGGCCCAGAAGCTCTCCAAGGTCCCTTCCAGCCCTGACCATCTCTGCCTCTCTGGTCTCCATGACTAAGAAGCACCTCCCCCCAAGAAGTCTTCTCTGACTGCTACAGCCCCGCCTCATCTCATCCTCTGACCCGAGGCACTGGCTGATCACACCCCTGGAGGTCACGGGATGTCAAGAGAGGAAAGTGACCTCGGGGAGGACTGACGAGTCCAGGCGAAAGACCGCTTGAGCCAACGGCAGTCTGTCCCTGCTCTCCGGCCGGCCGAGCGGGCACATCCCATCTCAAGAAGGTGGGGCTCATTAGCCACCTTGTGCCATGAATCACTCTGGTCATCAGGGAGGCCTGTCAACTGCTCCTTGGAATGTTTTTAACAATTTCACAATAGAAGGAGATGCTAAATTCTAGTTAGACAAAACAAACGCAATTGATTTCCCATCCATTTATTTCCAATCTGTCCGTGGCCCCCCAAAGGGTTGAGATCCCCGGCCAGGTCAAGCTGCCCAAGGCAGGAGATGGCCCCTTTTCACTTCCTCGGGATTCCTCCTCCCCCAGCACCAGTGCTGAAGAAGCATAAACAGACCACCAAGCTCCTGGTACCCACCTCTCAGCCCCAGGAATCTGCTGAGCCCGAGGAGGACGGCAGACGGCAGCAACATCGTCACCCACAACACCCCGTGCTCAGCAGGCCCCGCGGGTCCCTGCCCCAGCCCCCCTCCCTTTCCGGACCCATGAGCTTCAGCGGATGGACGTACCGTATTGCCAGTGCCTGTCTATCCACAGAGGGCTCTGGGCCGGGTAGTCTGCGGGAACACTGAGCTCCAGCGGCGGGACGCTGGGGAGGTTCTTGTCATCTGCACACGATACAAGACGCTGGCTAGTCCCAACAGGGCCGAGCCGGGGCTGGCTTCCCGCTGCACCGCACCGCCTCCTGGCCCAAGGCGGGCTGTCTGGGGGGTCCCTTTCTCCAGGGCCTTTGCCTCCCCCCCACAGAGATGGTTCACCAGCAGCTGTAACTTGTCCCCCAAGAAGAGCTACCAGAAGACACTTCCTTCTGTTTCACTGCAAGGGGGCAGGGGCCCACACCACATATAATAGCAGAACTTTTTTGGATGTGTTGATTGGTTTTATGGCATTTTCCCCTTTTGTTACATAAAAAAAAAAAAACGTGTTCTAAGAGATGGCTTTCTGGGACAGAAGAGGGGGGAGGGATTCAGAAGGAAATCAAGTAAAAAAATCTATGATTTAAAAAAAGACATCTCAGCAACACTCCCATTCTTCCATCTCCTCTGGGGAAGCTGCAGCCTGAATGCAAAGCTACCAAAATAAAGCCACTAGGACAGCACATCTAATGGAAGACTCCAGAGCTGGAAGGGGCCCTCGGAGGCCCCTCGTCTCCACTTTGTGCACGCTGCCCACCTGAAATGAGCCCTCCCACCCAACTGCCATGGCCTTCTCTGACGGGCTCCCCGGGACACGGAGTTCTGTCTCTCGTGAGGCCAGCAGTGGAAGCAGAAGAGTCGAGTTGCAGCTTCAGGAGCCTGGCTTAGACCCTTAGCCTGGGGACCTGCTCCTTGCCCGCCAGAGCTGCCCTGCCCCAGGGCCTACAGGTGCCAGGGGCCTCTTGTCTCTCTGGGAGGCCCTCCCACATCTGGGAGCCTTTAGATAGTGTGGTCAGCCCCTGTGGCTTCCCATGAGAAGTCTAAGAGCCAAGCCCTCCAGGAAGTTACACAGGTCCCTCCCAAGCTGGGACACGGCCCTCCAATGTGGAAGTGCTGACTGATGGCTCAATGTAAATGGGAAATACATAACAAAAAAATGCAGTAAGACACAGGTAACATTACATTTCAAAACAGAGATCAGCAGCCCATTTCTACTTGAGCCTGACCCCACTGCCCATGTCTGCCACCGCCTCCTCCCCCTCCTCCAGGAGAACACCCAGAGGACCTGGGGAGGACTCACCCAGCTTACAGATGAGATGTACAGTGCCGTTGTTACTGCAATGGGAGGGGTTCAGGTTCACCAAGAATTTCGGATTCAGTCGGGCCACTTCTCCTTGTAACACATTGGGGATGGTCTGCTTTTCATCATCCTCATATTTACGTTTCCGAGGGGAGATGACCGGAGCTCTGAGGGAAATTCATTCCAATTGCCGGCTGGAAGAAGGTGGGGGGACAGCGCCCGGGGGACGGTGCAGGCCGGCCCAGCCCCACCCCGCCTTGTCCCCAACACAAGGTTCAGGACTCAGAGGGGGTCCCCACCCCAGGACTCCCCAGTACATACGTGATGGGAGGGCCGTGGATGGCCTCCATGGCCGGCACGAACGTGCGGTACAGGGAATGGTTGAAGACCGGGGAACGGATGTTGGCAAGAACCGCGTCCAAGAGGGGCTGGCACAGGTACTGCTGCTTGGTGGGCGGCACAGGAGGCGGCGGAGGGGTGGGCTGCAGAAGGCACAGAGACCGGTCACGAGACAGCCCTAGGCCCAGCCGACAGACAGAACCACACCACCACGCCACCTGACTCACCGGGCCAACCGCTAGGACACCGTTTACAAACCCTGACATCCTTTCCCAATCCTCCCGTGCTCCCCTTCCTCCCCCTCTCATACCGCCCAGACGTGTCCCCCACTACATCCTCCTTCACTCTTGTCTCAAGGGACGAGGCGGCCCTTGTCGCCCAGGCCAAGCCCTCTGCCTTCCATCCTGTCTTCTCCAGCATGCTGCCCTGCCCCATCCTCCCCCTCCTTCATCTTTAATCTCTCCCTGTCTCCTGGGAGCCTGGGATTGCAATCAGCTCCTCCATTTTCTTTCCTCTCACTTTTTTCTAACTCTCCACACTCTGGCTTCCAACCTCATCCTTCAACCTAAAGCTCTCCCTCCAAAGTGACCAACACTCTCCTAACCGTCCATCTGATGGCCTCTCTGCAGCCTTCGACACTGTCCATCAATCTCTTCTTCCTGATCCCCTTTTCTCTAGACTCCCCTGCTCCTCCTCCGCCTCGTCAGACCACTCCTTCTCCACTTCCCTTGCTGGTTCTCCATCAGGATCATGCCCAGTAGCCTTGGGGTCCCACAGAGCTCTGTCCTGGCTCCTCCTCTCTACAAGTTTCACTTGGTAACCTCACCAGCCTCTGAATTCAACTGTCACTCTAGGCTGAGGATTCTCAGATCTACTCACTCAGCGCTGAGCTTTCTCCTGCCCTTTGTCTCGTATCTCCAACTGCCTAATGGACATCTCAAGCTGGATCCACTAAAGATATCCTCGATTTGACTTGTCCAAAACTGAGCTCCTGGGTACACTAAGATGGCAGAGCGGTGGGAAGCAACAGGGCTCACTACTGCCCACAAAACTCCTCCAACAGTCCTAGAAAACGCACCAGACCAAATCCTGATGGGAACATCCAGAAAAGGTCCTAGGGGTCATTTGTCCGGTCCAGGTCGGCATAGGGAGACAGAAGGGAACTCTGGGGATGCTAGGGAAAGGCTCGGGGTCAAAAGCAGGCACCCTGAGCACTCTGGCATCCAGAGCAGGATGTCCTAGACCCCTCTCCTGGGGCACCCACAGACCCATACAGGAATACTGCAATGGCGACAGGTGCAAACTGGGATCTTTGTCACACACCACTCAGTTCCAGGTCCACGACTCTAGGGAGACTGGGTGTGGCAGCAGCCTCCCCGGGTACGGAGGCCCCGGGTGGTGCATGGGGAAAGGACCAAGTTTAGCAGCCAGCAGCAGAGGCCCAGAGCAGAGGCCCAGCCTGCAAAGGAAGAGCCAAGGAGGAGTGTCAGACCAAACAGAAGCCTACATGTCTGCTGCTCTGAATCAGCAGAGTTTTCCAGCTGGCTCACAGGGAGCGTCCATCATCAGCCTACTCTGCAGAGCTCTGCCCCAGATGAGACCACCGTGGTGACTGCACCAAAAACTGGCAGGTCTCCAGCCTGTCCGTGAGACTCTGGGATAACACAACAGTTAATACCATCAACATTAGAGTAGGACCGGCTCAGATCTTCGCTCCAGAAGTGCCACAGAGTCCAGGCTGAATATCAAGTCTGAGGTTGGAAAGTAGACCAGAAGACTGAGCAAGCAAGTAAAGCCTCAGTGAAGAACATACTCAACTGAACTGCCTGAGAAAGTTGCAGGAGAGGAAAAAAAATGTTTAAAAAATGTTTTTATAAATGAAATCAGAGTACTCGAAGAAAAAAACTGGAAACACTGAGAGCTATAGAAGAAAGAACTGGAAAGGGAATCAACAGCTTGGCACAAGAGATACAAAACCCTGCCCAGGCAACAAACTCCCTGAAAATCAGAAATGGACCAAATAGAAACCAGCGAATCCTGAGGCAACAAGAAATACCAGAACAAAGTCAAAACACTGAAAAAAAAAAACCGTCCAGATCTAGAGGGCAAAGTAGAAATAAAATCCTCTGGTCACCTCCTAAAAAAAAAAAATCTCCAAATGAAAGCTCCTAGGAACATTATAGCCAAAATCCAGAGTTTCCTGGTCAAGGAAAAATATTGCACACAGCCAGAAAGAAAGAATTCAAGTCCCGAGGAGCCACAGTCCAGACCATGTGGGACTTAACGGCCACTACTATGAAGGAGCAGAGAATGTGGAACAGGATACTTCAGAAGACAAAGAATGTGAGGAAAAGCCAAGAAGAATGAACTCGGCAAAACCCAGTATAATGCTATGGGGGGCCATGGACCTTTAAGGAAACAGAGGACTTCCAAGCACTCCCGATGAAATGCCTAGCGCTGTGGGGAACCTCTGAAGCTCAAACACAAGAGGCCAGAGAGACACCAAGAGGCCCACGTGAATGAACAGTGACAGCAGACTAAGCAAGGACACACTGATGACATTTAAATACAGGAGGTGACGCATGTGAATCCTGGTGTCATCAAGGCCCACAGAGGGCGCCCGACATGCCCTGAAGAGCTTAAGAATGGCACACGGCACATTCACAAGACCTGACAAACAAACAGAGAAAAGAAGAAATGCTAAATGAACCTTTTTTGAAATAAAAATTACATTCAATAAAGAAACTTGGAAGCAGAGATTAAAAACTAATTGGAAACGAAATAATCTAATCCTAAAGAATGAATAGGTCAAAGAACACATCATAGAAACAATCTCTAAATGCTCACATCAATAAAATAGAGAAAGAATCCAAAACCATCAGTAAGCATCATATATAATGGGGACAAACCAGAAGCATTTCTAATATGGCACTAGAAACGTTAGCTTTAGCAATAATAGAAAAAAAACTTAAAGGTATTAGAATAGGCAAAGAAGAAACAAAACTATCACTCTTTGCAGATGATATGATGGTATACTTAGAGAATCCTAGAGAACCAAGTAAAAAATTACTTGAAGTAATAAACAAATTTAGCAAAGTTGCAGGATATAAAATAAATCCACATAAATTATCGGCATTTCTACATATTACTAACAAAGCCCAACAGCAAGAGATATAAAGAGAAATTCCATTTAATGTTACTGTAGACACTTTAAAATATTTGGGAGTCTACCTGCCGAAAACTCAGGAACTATATGAACACAATTACAAAACACTGTTCACACAATAAAATCAGATCTAAATAATTGGAAAAATATCAGTTGTTCATGGGTAGGCTGAGCTAATATAATAAAAATGATTATTCTATCTAAATTAACTTACTTATTCAGTGCCATACCAATCAAACTACCAAAAAATATTTTATAGAGATAGAAGAAACAACCAAATTCATCTGGAAGAATAAAAGGTCCAGAATATCAAGGGAACTAATGAAAAGAAATGCAAGGGAAGGTGGCCTACCTATACCAAATCTTAAATTGCATTATAAAGCAGCAATCATCAAAATTACTTGGTACTGGCTAAGAAACAGAATGGTGGATCAGTGGAACAGGTGAGGTATGCAAAACACAACAGTCGATGACTACAGTCATCTACTATTTGATAAATCCAAAGACTACAGCTCCTGGGGAAAAAAAACTCACTATTTGACAAAAAATGCTGGGAAAGCTGGAAAAGACTGTGGCAGAAACTAGGCATAGACCAAAATATCACAGCATATACCAAGACAAAGTCAAAATGAGTACATGATTTAGATATAAAGACAGATACTACAAGCAAACTAGGAGAGCAAGGAATAGTTCACCTGCCAGATTTATGGAAAACAGATGAATTTATGACCAAACAAGAGATAGAGAACATCATGAAATGCAAATTGGATGATTTTGATTACATTAAATTGAAAAGTTTTTGCACAAACAAAGATAATGCAAACAAGATTAGAAGGGAAGCAGAAAGCTGGGGAACAATTTTTACAGCCAATGCCTCTGATAAAGGCCTCATTTCTAAAATATCTAGAGACCTGAGTCAAATTTATAAGAATACAAATCATTCCCCAACTAATAAATGGTCAAAGGATATGAACAGGCAGTTTTCAAGATGAAGAAATTAAAGCTATCTGTAGTCATATGAAAAAATGTCCCAAATCACTATTGATTAGAGAAATGCAAATCAAAACGGCTCTGAAGTACCACCTCACACCTATCAGATTGGCCAACATGACAAAACGGAAAATGATAAATGTGAGAGAAGATGTGGGAAAACTGGAACACTAATGCATCGTTGGTGGAGTTGTAAACTGATCCAACCATTCTGGAGAGCAATTTGGAGCTATGCCCAAAGGGCGATAAAATTATGCATACCCTTTGACCCAGCAATAGCACTTCTAGGGCTATATCCCAAAGAGATCATACAAATGGGAAAAGGACCCACATGTACAAAAATATTTATAGCAGTTCTTTTTGTGGTGGCAAAGAATTGGAAATTGAGGGAATACTTCAACAAATTGTGGTGTATGAATGTAATGGAATACAGTTGTGCTATAAGAAATGATGAGCATGCAGACTTCAGAAAAACCTGGATAGACCTGAATGAATAGATGCAGAGTGAAATGAGCAGAACCAGGAGAACATCTAACACAGTAACAGCCATGCTGTGCAATGACTGACTTTGATAGACTTGGCTCTTCGCAGCAATGCAAGCACGTAGGACAACTCCAAAAGACTCATGATGGAAAATACTATCCACATCCCGAGAAAGAATCATGGAGGCTGAATGCAGATGGAAGCGCACTATTTGCTTTCTCTTTTTTTCCTTCCTTTTCGTTTGGTTCTTCTTTCTCATGGTTCCTCCCATTGTTTCTAATTCTTCTTTACAGCATGACTAATGTGAAAATAGCCTATATCAGACTGCATGCCGTCTTGGGAGGTGGAGAAAATTTAAAACGCAAAATCTTATGGAAGTGAATGCTGAAAGCTAAAAATAAATAAATAAATAAATAGTTAAAAAAATAAAATAGAGAACGAGCAGATCAATGAACTATGCAACTAAAAAACTAGAAAAAGAACAAATTTAAAACCCCCAATTAATGGAAATCTTGAAAATCAAAGGAGAGGTTAATAAAATTGTAAATAAATAACAATCATTGAACTAGTAAATAAAATGTTTTCTTGGCAAAGCTACTAGAAAGGTTTGCTATTTCCTTCTCCAGCTCATTTTACAAATAAGGAAACTGAGGCAAGCAGAGTTGAGTTACTTGTCCATGGTCACACAGCAAGTGTTTGAGGCCAAATCTGAATTCAGGTCCTCCTGATTCCAGGATTGGTGCTCTATCCACTGAGCCATCTGTCTGACCCATAATAAATAAAACTAGGAGCTGGTTTTACGGGAGAAAAAAACCACCACAAAATTGACAAACCATTGGTTAATTTAAAAAAAGAAAGAAGGAAACAAAATTATTACTCTTGAAAATGAAAAGGGTAAATGTACCACCAATGAAGATAAAATTAAAGCAATTAGCAACTACCTTGTCTAATTATATGCCAAGAAAAAAGACAATCTAAATGAAGTGGATGTACATTTATGAAAACGTAAGCTACCCAGAGTAACAGAAGAAATAGAATACTTAAGTAACTTTTTTTTTGAGGTAATTGGGATTAAGTGACTTGCCCAGGGTCACACGGCTAGTTAGTATCTGAGGCCAGATTTGAACTCAGGTCCTCCAGACTCCAAGGGTCAGTGCTGCCCCTAATAATTCTATCTTTGAAAAAGAAATTGAACAACCCATAAATGATCTCCCTAAGACAAAAATTCCAGGATCAATGGATTTAAAAGTGAATTCTCCAAACACTGAAAGACTAATTCATCCTAAAATTATGTAAACTGTTTGAAAAAAAAAATAGGTAAAGGAGTTCTACCAAATTCCTTCTATGACACAAATATGATTTTGATACCTAAACCAGGGAAAGAAAAAACAGAGAAAGAAAACTATAGGCAAATATCTCTAATGAATACTGATGCAAAAAATTTAAATAAAATACCTGCAAGGAGATTACAGCAGAATATCACAAAGATTCTACAATATGACCAGGTTGGAGTTATACTAGGAATTCAGAGCTGGTTCAATATTAGGAAAGTTATCATCATAATTAGGGGTGGCTACGTGGCGCAGTGGATAGAACACTGGGCCTAGAGTCTGGCTTCAGATACTAGCTGTGTGACCCTGGGAAAGTCACTTAACCCTGTCTGCCTTAGTTTCTTCAACTGTAAAATGAGCTGGGGAAGGACACAGCAAAGCACTCCAGTATCTTTGTCAAGAAAATCGCAAATGGGGTCACAAAGAGTTGGAGAGGACTGAAACAACGGAACAGCAACATCAGCATAACTGACCATATCAATAACAAAAACAACAAAAATCATGATTCTCTCAATAGATACAGAAAAGGCTTTTGATAAATTACAACATCCATCCCTACTAAAACAGTAGAAAGCATAGGAATAAATTAAACTTTTCTAAAATCAAAGGCAAACATCATCTGCAATGGGGATAAGCTAGAAGACTTCCCAATAAGATCGGGGTAAAGCAGAGGTGCCCATTATCACCACTACCATCTAATATTGTACTAAAAATGTTAGTTTTAGCAATAAGGGAAGAAAAAGAAACTGATGAAAGACGAATAGGCAACGAAGAAACAAAATTACCCCTCTCTGCAGACAACATGATGCTTTACTTAGACAATCAATTAAAAAACTAGCTGAAACAATGAACAACTTTAGCAAAGTTACAGGACACAAAATAAAGTAATTAGCATTTGTATATATTAGCAACAAAACCCAGTAAGAAGAGACAGAAGGGGAGATTCCATTTAACATAACTGCAGACAGTATAAAATACTTGGAAGTCTACCTGCCAAGATGAACACAGGAATTATGTGAACACAATCACAAAACATACTTCATACAAATAAAGACAGATCAGGGGAATTCTGTGGGAAAAAAATGTGAAGGAAGGTGGCCTAGCAGTTTCAGATTTCAAACTATATTACAAAATGGCAGTCATCAAAACAATCTGGTACTGTTTAAGAAATAGAACGGGTGGATCAGTGGAATAGTGAAGGCATATAGTAAGTACAGGTAAATGACCACAGTAACATAGTGTTTGAGTAGATTCATGCTTTGGAAAAGAACACACCATCTGACAAGCTGGGAAAACAGGAAAGCAATTTGGGAGAAATTAGGTGCAGACCAACATCTCATACTGTATGCCAACATGAGGTCACAATGGGTAAATGATTTAGACATAAAGGGTGATCTCATAAGCAAATTAGTGGAGCATGGAAAAACGTACTTGTTAGATCTATAGACAAGTGAAGAGTTTATGACCAAACAAGAAATAGAGAGGATCACAGGGAGGTTAAAACGGATAATTTAGATTAGATTAAATTAAATTCACAAGTTTCTGCACAAATAAAAAATCGAAACCAAAACAAAACAAAAAACCCCAAAACAGCCAAAGTTAAAAGGAAAGCAGGAAACTGGGGGAGGGGGAAATTCCTAACAAGTTTCTCTGATAAAGTCCTCATTTTTCAAATATATAGGAAATGGTGCCAATTTATGAAAAAAATGAGCCATTCCCCAGTTGATAAATGGCCAAAGGACATGAATAGGCAGTTTTCAGAAGAAGAAATGAAAGCTGTCAATAGTCATGTGAAAAAATGCTCAAAATCACTAATAATTAGAGAAATACAAATTAAAACAAGTCTGAGGAACTACCTCACACCTATCAGATTGACTAACATGACCAGAAAAGGACAAATGCTGGAAGGGCTGTGAAAAAATTGGGACACCAATTTTGGAATTATGCCCAAAGGGCTATAAAGCTGTGCATCTCCTTTGACCCAGCAATACCACTACTAGGGCTGTATCTCAAAGAAATCAAAGAAAAAGGAAAAGGACCTATTTGTACAAAAACATTTGTAGCAGCTCTTTTTCTATGGTGTCAAAGGCTTAGAAACTGAGAGCATGTGATCGGGGAATGGCTGAACAAGCTGTGGTATATGACTGTGATGAAATACTATTGCGCTGTAAGAAATGATGAGCAGGTGAATTTCAGAAAAACCTGGGTAGACTTACATGAACTGATGCTGAGTGAAGTGAGCAGAACCAGGAGAACACTGTACACAGTAACAGCAATATTTTAACAAGGATCAACTGTGGAAGACGTAGCTACTTTGATCAATACAATGTTCCACACCAATCCTAAAAGACTCATGATGAAAAATGCTATCCATGTCCAGAGAGAGCTGACAGAGTCTGAGTACAGACTGAAGCATATCTTTTCTTTATTTTCCTGCCTTTTTTTTTTTTTGCAACATGGCTGTTTCAGAAATGTTTTGCATGACTTCATATGTATAAAGGGTATCATATTTCTTGCCTTCTTAATTGGGCAGGGACAGGGTAGAGGGAGAGAGAATTTGGAACTGAAAATCCTAAACAAAATTTTTATAAAGAAAATTATGGGAAGAGAAAGGAAGAAGAGGAATACGGTCCATGAATGTTAAGGAATGTTACTGTGCTGTAAGAAATGCTGAAGGTGACAGATTCAGAGAAAATGGGGAAGGACGGTATGAACGATGCAGAGGGAGGGGAGCACAATCAGGAGAACACTATACGCAAGAGCTACAACACTGTACAGACAAACGAGTCTGGAAGATTTCAGAACTCTGCTCAATTGTGACTCCAGAGGGCTGAAGATGAAGGAAGTGTGTTCCTGACAAGGCAGGATGAATGCAAGATGCAGAATGAGGCAGTTCTGGACAGGACCAACGTGGGAAATCGGCTTTGCTTGACTATGCTTTTTGTTACAAGGGTTTTGCTTTTCTCTTTCCAGGTTTGGCGTGCATAGAGAAAGGAAAAAAAACTCTCATTAAAAAATATGAGGGGCTTGGCTGTGAGAGACTCTGTACAGTTCTAAACGCAACATCCTTCTAAGTGATATGGTCCTTTTTGACGCCCCAGAAGCAGCGGCCATCTGCCTGAGACTTGACTCTAGGGCCCTCCCTAGGCTTGACATGCATGAGGCTCTGTGCATCAGATAAATTCTAGGTTAAACCAGCTTGTGTCTATGCATTGGCTCCGGGCTGTGAACACAGGGTGCCTAGGCTATCCTTTCTGCCCCTACCTCCAGCAGGTCCGGTGAGGCCTGAACAAGACCCTGTGTGCCACTGCAGGGCTCCCCGTGCCCACATCAGGTCACTCGGCCCCAGCCTGCTCCCCACACTCACCACAGCCATATCGTTCTTTAGCTTCTCCAGAGCAATCTCACACTTCTGGAGTGTTTTCAGGGGACACCTGGGACAAGAGAAGACAGCCATCAGCCTGACCCCAGGTCAGGGGTTAGTGGGGCTAGAAATAGGAGATGCAGCTGGGGCCTCACCTTGGCTGGTACCCACACAGTACCCCTGGCAGCAAGGTAGGAAGGCAACCGTCTCCCCACCTGCACTCCCACACAGCCTCAGGGCTGACCAAGTCCAGATAAGTGAATGGGGCTGGCAATGGGGGGCAGAGGAGGGTATTCCTGCCACCTCCCACCCTGGGCAGCCCGCAGCTGGATCTCTGCATTCAGGGAGGAAGCCAGCGAGTCTAGTGTCAGCTAAGAATCAGTGAACTGTACTCAGGGCTCCTGAGCCCGGAGAAGAGCCAACTACGGAAGGCAGGCTCCAACCGTCATCTCTGAGTTTCTGAAGATCCGTCCCAAGACAGAATCAGAAGTGACTGGGAGAAGGCGCAGGAAAGCAGATTTCGGTTTGATATGAGGAGAAACTTTTTCACAGGAAGAGTGCTTCATCACAGAGGGGATTTCCGGGAGAGGTGAAGAGATCCCTCTATCTGAAGATTTCAGAAGACTGCTAGAGGGGGTTATGATTCAGACGGGGCTGGGCCAGCTCACCTCAAGTCGGGGGTTCTGGACCTGGAGGCTGCAGGCTGGGCTTTCAAAAATACTTTGATAATTCTAATTCAATATACTTGGTTTCCTCTGTAATCCTGGCATTTTATTTTATGCATTGGATCCACAGCTTCACTAGACCGCTAGAGGGGTCCGTGATACTCAACAAGGTTAAGAACCCTGATACGTAGTAGCTTACATGGTAAACACTCTGACTCTAAGACTTAGTCTGTTGAAAACAAAGTAAAAGAGTCCAGGTTGTTTGCTCAGTCTGGGAGAGAAGAGGGAACGGACAGTTACGGCACCCTGGGACGCCTGTCCCAGAATGCTTCGTGGAGGCCCAGGCGACGGAAGGGGAGGGGGCTCCTCTGCTGGGGAGAGGCGCAGGGACGATGCTTACCGCTTGGATGGGTCTGTAAGGATGTCCAACAGGCTCTTCATCTTACTGAGATCCTTCTTCCGTTCTGAAAAAGAGTGGAGGCCGGTGAGAACTGTCCACGGGAGCTCCCAGCGGAGGCCCACAGAGGCACGAGGCTGCAGGCACGTGGCGCCCAGAGCGTCCGTGGTCAGGCCTGCCCTGGACGCTCTCCCCCCCCGGGTGACTCTGCCCACAGCCAGCGCTCCCGAGCCTCCTCCCCTCCCCCTCCCACGCCCGGGCGGCCGAGGCCAGGGCACCTTCGTTCTTGTCGATTTTATTGATCATGCGTCGGAGGGGTTCGATGTATTTGGACAGCTGCTTCAGCTTTTCCAGGTACTGCTGCTCCTCAGCCTGGCTGGAGCTGGCTGGGCTCAGGACCGAGCTGGGGTTCACTGCAACGGAGGACAGCAAAGGAGAAGGGATGCTTCTCCCGCGGCTTCCCGCCGGCTGGCCCCTGGCCCCCCGCCCTCAGTGCTCCTCCCGGGCACTGCTCCGAGGAGGAGTGACAGCTGTCCTGGCTGTCTGCGGGGGCGTCTCGTCCCTCTGCCTGTACGACTGGAAGTCGTCAGTGTTGCATCCCATCTGGGACTGAGGACTGTACGCTGCACACAACGGGGGCTTCATATCGGTCAAATTAGTCCTAGGCTCAGCAGATGGTCTTAGTGGAGGCAGGATGACGCAGGGAGCTGGGAGAGCTTTAGAGACCAACCCATGGAAATGTGCTCTTTGACAGGATCTAGGTGCTCCAAGGCCTGGGGTGGGGGGTGGGGCAGGAAGGGGCAGACTTGCCCAGGGCTCCACAGCCAGCACAGCCCTCTTCCCAGGACACCACGAGTACACACATCCCTGGGGGACTACAGCACTTTGGACTTAGACTTCGTGGACCTGGGCCAGCCAGTGAGGGCCTCCTGACCACCTCTGGCCTCCGGCTTCCTGGCTGGAATGGAGCTCAGAGCCAAACGACTCAGGGCCCTGCCCACAGTGGTTCGCCCCTGGTAGTGCGGGGCGTCACACAGGCCCGGCGCTCTATGACGTTCCTCTGCTCAAACAGAGGATCCAACACGTTCCAGTTCTGGCCACGTCCCCCCCCAAGCAGAGAGTCCAGCACTGCCTGCCCCACCCAGACCACAGAATGGAGACGGGCTCAGGTGGGCCCCCTCCAGCCCCTAGGAAGCCAGCCGGCCACTGCCCCCCCACCGTGGGGACTCACCCGGGGTGTTGAGCGGCCCGGGGGATGGAACGCTGAAGGTCTGTGGAGTGCGGGCAGAAGCCGGACTCTGAGAAGGCTGTGGAGAGGGGCTGGGCAGGAAGCTGCTGGGAGACGGAGCAGGGCCAGAGCTGCACAAGGACAAGGGGACAACATGCCTCCAACTGAGGGGAGCTCACGGAAGGCCAAAGAGGCCAGGTGGCCAGGGCTGAGGCCCCCAGTGAAGGCCAGCTGGGTGACCTGGAGAGGGTAGTTGATGCTAACAGGTCAGGAGGACGTGGGAGAAAAGACTAGGAGGACGGGGAGGCCAGAAACAGGGGGAGCTGAAGTCATGGAGTAACTGCTGCGATCACAATGGATGAAGCTCACCTAACGTTTGAGTTGGGCTGTGAGGAGGGCTGGCCAGGCTGGGGAGATGGCTGTGGGGGAGGCGGCATTGTCTGGGGGGTCTGGGCTTGCTGGACAGGGGATGGCGAAGACATCATGGTCATGCTGCTCTGGCTGACCTGAAATGAAAAGGAGACGGTGTCACATTCCCTGCCAGCCATGGGTGGTTGGGCAGCCCGTGGAGCACACTGTCTCTCTCTTAGAGAGAGAGAGAGAGAGAGAGAGAGAGAGAGAGAGAGAGAGAGACACACACACACACACACACACACACACACACCCCTAGAGTCAGTCTTCCATTTCCTTACAGTCATAAGGTCCCAGCTCCAGAACTGGACAGGCCCTCAGAGGCCATCCGGTCCAACCCTCTTTTTTACAGAGAAAGGACACTGAGGCCTGGGGACAGGAGGGGAGGTGACTTTCCAAGGTTACACAGATAGGTCAGGAAGCAATGGAGAGAAGACACAAACCTAGCTTCTTTCACTGAATTCCCCTAGCTTCTGCTGACTTCTGGCATCAGGAGGCCTTTACCGTCTGGCCTGAGCAGGCCTGATCTCTGGCCCCACATTCCTAGACGGTCCCTCTCTGCTGCCATTGGGATCTAATGGTCTCAGGGGCCTTCCCATGGGGGACATCCACTTAAGAATAATCTTTGGCCAGCTCACGGCATTCCATCAATCGAGATTTTCAGCAGTCACTCACTGCCTCTCAGGGCAGCTTGGCCCCCAGGCTGACAGTGCGTCCTCCTGTCTTCCCTTTTTCTCTTGTCTCTAAAGCACATTCCAACCCCCACTCCCACAGAAAGCCTGCCCGGCTTCTCCCCACACCCTCCACCCATCCCTGAGATCTCACAGCTTCTCAAACGCACTTAACCTGTGACATCATGTCACAGGGTACCCAGCTCTTTTCCTCCTACTCACAAAAAGAAAAGCCAACAGATGTAGGTTTGCCAAGTGCTTCACACAGATCATCTCACTGGAATCTCACAACAACCCCGTGGGGTGGGCGTTATTATCATCCTGATTTACAGATGAGGAAACAGAGGCTGAGAAAGGTGAGGTACTTATCCAGGGTCACACCCCTAGGTGTCAGGGAATGAACTCAGGTCTTCTTGACTTCAAATTCTTTTCATTCTCTCTCCCTTCCAGTGTCCAGCAGAGTGTCCAGCTCTGTACGCAGTAAGAGCTTAATAAAGGTTTGCTCAATGACTTCCCTGAAAAGCGCCCCTGGCCAGGGAACTGCCTACACCAAGAGGGCCTCTATCTGCCTCCCCAATTGCTACCGTCTGGGGCCAAGAAGAGCAGAGGGAAGCCCTCCTCAGCCTCGTGGCAGCCTTCCCGAGGCCTGAACACAACTCTTACGTATGTCTGTTATGGACATCTCTGTACCCCGTCTTCTCTTCTCCCAGCTGTACATCCCTGCCAGGTCACAAAAACCAGGGAATCTGAGCCGCGTGGGGCCTCACCTCAGACGTCACCTATTCCAGCCTAGGCCCTGACACAAACCCTCTCTGCAACATTCCCAGCCAGCGAGGTGGTCCTCTTCCGCATGACAGGTGAAGCCATCTCTCAAGCCCCCCATTTCCCAGGCTTCTCCTTCCCATGCATGGGCCGCAGTCAGTCCCTCTCCATCCTGGGTATCTCCTTCCCAACACAGCTTCTCCTCGCAGGGTCCTGACCCTGGCCACTCTGCCACGTACACCAGTCCTCAGCCCTCAGCAAGTCTGAGCACCTCCATCTGACCTCCTCGAGACAGGCCTATCCAAGAGCTCTCCTCCTGGCAGAGGATGCAGCCTGTATGTGGGCAGGGAAGGAGGAGGCCAACAAGAGAGGCCCTCATCCTCCACCTAAAGGACATTCCCAGCAATTACTAGGAGTTAGAACAGTATGACAGGAGGCTTTTTAGGGCACGTTCCAAACTCTTACGATAAATGAATCAAGCACGTGGCATCCTGCATTGGCAAGGTCAAGGTCGCTCAGCAACTCCATGTAAAGCCCCCCTCTTTGTCTTCTGAAAGGCACCTCACAAAGAGCCATCACCGTCTTAGCCAACCAAAGTGAGGAGGAAAGAATGATGCTATGAATGACCTGCTGAAGAAAGGCGGTGCAGGGAAAGAGGCCAGTCCAGGGAACCATGTTAGTTGTTAGGACCTAGTTAGCGCAGCCAATGATGGGGGCCTTAAGGATCATCTTGCATGAATTCCTCAATCCACAGAGGAGGGAAATGAGGGAAGCCCACTGAGGGGTCACAACCCAGCAAGCAGCCCATGGCACCCAGGAAAAAGTCCTGGGCCCTCAGGTGACCTTGGGCACTTCCTTCTGGGCCTCATTTTCCTCCTGGACAATGAAAGAGGCAGACTACATGAACTGGGCTCCTCGCACCCCGGAATCCCTTTGGGGTGGAGCGAGGACTTCCTCAGACTCCAAAGCTGGCATTTTCCCACCACTTCCCCTTCTGACTCACTTTCCGGCCTTCCTACAGTCTTGTATTGAACCTGGTCGCCTGTGCGTTGGTCCACAGGCAACAAGGACAAAAACACAGATGCGTAAGGATTCCCTCGTTGCTTTGTTAAATGTTAGGAGATCTGCTGGGTTGTTTTGTCCAAGGTTATTGTTTACAGCAGTAAAGAGCAATCTGAAAAAGAACAAGCACTGTGCCACTTGCTATTTGCCTGAGGGGGCCAAGCCCCACCCCCGTCTGGAATGAGTCTGGGATGATGGGCACGTCTGCCCAGACGCTCGCCCATCCGTTCCCTAAAGCTGGCCACAAACTGGGAACATCTTTAGGTCAAATATTTCTGTTTATGAAAACTACAGGGAGTATTCCCATAACCTAGGTTCCCACCCTCAAGCTTTCTTCCTATTTGCCAGTTGTGTCAATGTACACTCCCAGAACACTGGACCAGGTCAAACCCCAAAGGAGCAGAAGTCCCCGACCCCCCTCACCAAGAGCCATCCACCTGCCTCTGGCCCCGGGCCTCAAATCAGACAAACCTCACCCACACAATGCCAACGATGTGCTCTAAACGTTACAAGATACCATTCTCCAGCAACCTCTATGAGGCAGCTTCTGCACTTCCTGTGACCCCTATTTTAGAGCGGACAGGAATGACGCCCCTGGGCGCATGATGTGGCCTTGTCTGGTACGTGTCAGCGTCAGGATGTGAAGTCTAGACTTTGATCCCAAGTCTAGTGTTCACTTCCTTAAACCATGCTGCCTAGATCCTACCAGAGCTTCTGGGCCAACCTTGATTAAAAGCACTGGCAAGGACTGCAGGGGGAGCAGGCCTGGAGTCTGAATGTCCAGGCTCCATGTTTGACTCTCCCCAGTGCTCTCCTGGAACCCTAGGATTGGGTCCAATTCATGTCTGACCCTAAAGCCCTCCATAAAGACCCTCCCTCCCTGCTGGCTGTCCCAGCCGTTCTGGTCAGCTTCTGCTGCCTGCCTGCCCTTCCTCCCGTGCCCAGTTTTGACCTCTGTGGCCGAGAACAACAAGGTTAACCCGCCTTCCACACCAGCCAACACAATTCAATTCAACAAACAGGAACTGCACTTTAAAAGAGCTATACCCCCACTGACTGCTGCCCTTAGCCTAGACCTGTCAATTGTGATGGTGAAAAGCTCTTCAGCTTCATGTAATCAAAGCCATTTGTCCTTCCAAACTGCTTCTCTCCTGTAAGAATCAGCCCTCCAGGCACACCTGTGCAGCTTCTCTTCTGACTTTTTGGTGGTAAAATCTTTAGGATACAGGTCATCGTCCAAGTCTCAATTCACTGTGGCGGATGGCATTAGATGTGGGTTTCATTGCTAGCACATTACTCTCTGATATTCCCAGAACTTGTTGGAAGGGAGATTACTTTGGGTAATTTATGTTGTGAGTTTTACCAAGCACTGGTTTACTGGTTCAATTACTGCTGATTCTTCCCCATCTACTCTGTTTCCCCGCCTACTCTTCTTCAATTTATTAACCAGTACCACATGGTTCTGATTTCTGCTTTATAATACGGCTTAAGGCCTGAAAATGCAACTCCTTTTCACTTGTACCTTTCATCATTTTCCTTGATCTTCTACCTCTCTTGTTCCTCTTCAAATCAATGTGAATTAAATTGTCTCTACTGATGTCAGGTATTCTTTCAATAAGGTGAATGGTAGAGTATTCAGTCTGCAAACTAACTTTGGTAGTACTATCATTTCTACGGTATTGGCAAGACCCAGCCACGAGCAGTGAATATTCCTCCAGCTAAGCTGCTTTTTATTTCTCTCAGGAGAACTTTCTTATTGAACTTACACAAATAATAAGTGTGTTTTAGCAGACTGACTTTACAACATTTTATGCATTCTGCATTGAAGTGGGACCTTCCTTTTCTGCTATTGTCTCCAAAATTTTGTTACTATTTTATAGAAATCTATTAATTTTAATGGGTTTGTTTTGCAACTGGCAACTTTGCTGAGGGTCCATTTCCACTAGTTTCTTTTTTTTTTCTTTTTTGGTGAGGCATTCAGGGTTAGGTGATTTGCCCAAGGTCACACAGCTAGTAAGTGTCAAGTGTCTGAGGCCGGATTTGAACTGACTCCACGGCCAGAGCTCTATCCACTGTGCCACCTAGCTGTCCCCGTTAGTTTCTTAAAGAACAAGGTTGGCCCCAACAAAGACAGACGAAACATCCGCCTCCTGTGCAGAAGTGGGAGGTTCATGGGCATGGAATATTGCATTTAATGTCCATTTTTTTCAATTAGTTTCCCCCTCCTTCTCTTCTTTCAAAGGAGTCACTGTTATAAGGAATCGTTTCCGGTGTGCCAGGCCCTGTGTGAAACAATGAGGAGACAAGGAAAGGAAAAAGATGGTCTCTGCTCTCCGGAGTCCAATGGGGGACACCACAAAACAAGTCTGGACAAAGCAGATCCAGCCACGATCAACGGGGGGACTCTCAGACTCAGCAACGCCACTACTGGGCCTGTTCCCCAAAGGGATCAGGGGAAAAAGCGAAGAACCCGTGTTCTAGAATGTCCGTAGCAGCTCTCTGTGGCGGCAAAGAACCAGAAATCAAACGGATGCCTGTCGAGTGCGGAACGGCTGAGGAAGTCGTGGTCTGTGATGGTGACAGAATACTGCTTGTGCTGC